TCGTTAATAAACGCCCTAAAGGTACCTAATTGGAGCGTCTGCCTGGGAACATTAGCTCAAAACAGAACAAGAAGAACTAAGAACGCAAATGACCTTGCCTGATGTAAAGTGGTGATGAAATTAGGGTTGCCAACCCTACTATATCAGGCGATCAAATACTACACTCGACTGCAAATAAACTGGGCCAACCGCTAGTATCTTGGAACTCTAATTCGATTCTTTCAAAAAGTATAAAACTTACATCTATTAAAGCTCTATCTACAAAAAGTTCATAATTATTAATATGAGTAAAAATTTATTCTAAAGTACTGTCAACTTACTTTGTAATCGAGCAAGAATTGCTTTTGCTAATTTTTTAATAAAGTCGCGATTATCGTTCTTATTTATAAAATGAAGATAAGCTGATACTTCTTATCATTTCCTTAGTTTTTCTCCATAGTTTTCTCAGACGTGAGTATTTTTGCTTCGTTCGTTACTTCTGAATACCACAATTGGAAAACGATTCTTCCTTGGTTTTTTTTAAATAAAAATTTAATTAATTGATTAATCTCAATAAATTTTCGTTCATTTTAATCACCGCGACACGCACTTTCTGTAGTTATAATTTTGATAGTTGTAAGTTGTATACCTTTTACGAAAATCAAAACGGAGTTCCGTGATAGCTGCCGGCAATAATTCCCTAATTATACATGCAAGTAGCCCAGTTTATTTGCAGTCGAGAGTATATTTTAAAAAAAATAGTCGATACTACTATATTGTGCTTAAATTAGACTTTTGCCAGTAAAAGCTTTCTTAACAATAAAGGCATATAGCAGCAAAAATATATTTATTTAAAATAATAAAGAAATTTTTTAACTACATTTAGTATGTAGTTTTCCCATTTTTTGCCATCTACTATATTTTTAGTGGTAACAATTTGAAAAAAAAGGAAAATCCAAAAGTGCATGACTCACATTCACGAAACAGAAACCCCGTAAATAAATTCCATTGAATTTCATTAATATCTTTAAAACGGTTATCAGTTCAATCATGATAAGAAATAGGGTTCATCCTCAGTATAAGTGGAAATTAATTCAAAGGGATTAATTACAATTAATTGCGTATATTTTTCTAAAACGTACAGACAAACAAGTGCACAAACCAACGGACAGCAGTACAAATATTTCTTTAACTACATTTTTTTGGTATAGTTAAAAAATAAATGAAAAAATTCGCTGACTTTATAATTTAATATGTCTAGTTTTCAAAACACCCCTTTTTTATTGATTTAGTGTCTAACTTGGGAGACAAGAATTTGTAAATTGTAAAATCGTCAACGGCCTATCGAGAGTAAAGCACTCCCACACGCTTACGCGTTGTGAGGCGTGCAATACTAAATTTGATAGAAAAAAAGTTGGTAAACCTAGGTGAAATCCAGGTGCGAAAATAAATTAAAAGCTGTTGCAGCAGTTTTACCTGCCACAGCAGCCATCTCCACCGTGTCAGCCTGCACTAATGCTTTTTCACTCCTTTTGAGTCAGAAATCAGAAATCAATATATCTTTATTCAAATTGGATGTATAGTACAACTATTTTGAATCGTCCAAACATTTTTAGAGTCTTTCAAAAGAGTAAATAAATGACGGAGTCATCTTAGAGGTGCGAGCAATTAGTATTCCATGCACGCCATGAAAATGAAAACCTGGGTTTTCCTAGAACGTATGGTGTTTTCACCATTTTCAAGAAAGAAACCATCGCCCTAGAACTGAACTCAGCCAAATTTTTGGTACCCAATTCGGAAATATCCAAAGTTCGAGCTCTATGGCAAGATTATCTTATCTCTCTTGATATCTAATGTCTAGTTGCTCCATGTCCGAATTATCCCGCATGTTCTGTTGTCTGCAGAACAGTGTATGCTTCCAAAAGGAATCATATGATATCATTATTATGCAGCTAAAAGGCTATTGGGGAACAGAACGGAACCCTGTGACACGCCGACATTCATTCACATGAACTGCAAGCTACTTCCGTATTTCTCTAGGTTTGTGTTTCTTAAGTGTGTAAGATTGCCAGAGCATTATAGGTTTTGGGGAATAAGGTTTATTAGTAGACTGGTAAAGTGAGGCTGTGTCGCACAAGAAAGGAAATTATTATGTAACATTTCCTGAAATATTGCAATCAGACCTTTCTACCCTAGTAGAGGTTCTATTATAGCTTAATAAATAGACTTAGCGTAAAAACAAGGCCAGTGAAAGCCTGCCGTTACTAAATAGGAAAATCCGGCATTTTTTTTTGCGTACGATAGTGCACATTTTCGCATTTGGATAACAATTTACGCACCAGACGAGGTAGATTCATGACCATGAGCCTGCTCATCATCATCATGTACCTACAGCTGGGGCACAAGGCTTCCTTATTGACGGAATAAGAAGATTGGGCCGTGACTCACCACGCGAGTCCAGAACATGTCTTCCGAAGCACTAAGAAGTTTGAGATAATAAGTTTTTGACCGTCCATCCAATGACCGACCATTGCAATCGCAGGCCGAACTACCTGAGCTGCGCCATTGAGCTTCACAACATTTGATTAATTTTAGTATTCGAATATATGTATATTAAATTCAGCACCAAATTAATGGCAAGCCGGAAATCGAATAGCGAATAGTGGCCGCATGTTAATCGAATTTCCATAGTCATGTGTATTCATTAAGTTTCGTAATCATTTTGTAAAACCCTTAGGTACTACTGTGCCAGCAAAAAGGTTATTGTTGCGAAATTATAGGTATACCTACCTGAATGAGGAAGACTTATTTTGTTTCCCGGGCATTGAATTTAATTATACTGTATTTAAACGAATTTACGGACAATACACTGGTCCGAAAATAATCGGAGTTGCAAATAAAAAAATCTGGACTCATCGAACAAAGTAACCCTGGCCCAATCAATATTTATTAAGAAGTTTTAATCGGACTAATATTAAAAACTAAAAATGTATAATTAATATACCTAAATATGTATAATATATATTTTTTTTTCTTCGAAACATGCTTTATAATTACCATATAAATAGACATTTTAAAAGCGCGGGTAGAAATAGCGCCGTGAGTTCTAAGCCTTAGTCCTCCGCACTTTGGGGCTATTTGTTGACCTGCCCAAGTCTTTATATGAAACTTCATGTTAAATATTAATAATAGCAATGCGTTTTGGGTGACAACACTTAACACCAGCAGAAATGTGTGTAATAGGTTGAAGGAAGGCCTCATTGGAAGATCTTTCTCAGAGCTGGGTGATGGTAGCTCGGGGGCCCGCTGCCGGACTGATGTTGGTCGGGCATTGTTATACATGGAGTGTTAGCCTCCGAATTTCTCTTGTGCGATGTAGGCTTCCATACGTTGTGAGTGTAGCGCCGGTAGCACCATATCTTGATTTCTTGAGGAGGCGAGTGATTTATTTCCTCCACGTTGATTATATGTGGAGCATGTAGATGTCGCCGTTACAAGGTAATTTGTATATTTAGCTATCTCATTTACTGCATATAAAAGAAAATCTCCAGATCTAATAAAATCAAAGTAGCTTGATAACAAAACCAATTTCAATGATAAGTACCTTTTACTAACAGCACAGCACCAGCGCGCACCTGTTTCGTATGATAAAAGAGAATGATCTAACACATTACCTATTTTCCTGTATTTTCACGGTTTATTTGCTGTGTTTGATCGTAAATGGTGTTACGAACAGTTTTGATACGTCAGCTTATTTATAGACGATGTTACGAGCCGCCGCGTTCGGTTCGTTGCGTGCGTTTATAACGCCTAATCGTAATGGACTGGGCATTTTAGTCCTGAATTTATGTTTAGCATTGTTTAAAGATGATGCGAAATTTCGTGTGTACTTGTTGGTGTTGCTTACGTACAGTCTTCTTATTTAATAAAATGTCTGAGTTCCTTGAACACAACACTAATAATGTAAGACCATTTTTAATTAAGGTACTCGTGGGTTAGGAAGAAAATATATAAATTTTTGTTCTAATGTATTAGCTTGGCGCTGTAATCTGTGTGTATTACAGTTGACTATTGTCGGCAGTGTACTTACACCCCCCTATTCACCATATTAGTGTTATCGATATCTGTTGTAGTTATCTTCATCATTTCTAACGCACGGACGCGAGCTTGTGCGAAGGTCGAACATAATGAATCGCAGTTGATTTATTCTCTAAACATGCATAGATGTGTTTCGTCATCATTATCCGATTGAAGTTCCTTGTTGTGTTGAGGCACATGCCTTCTCTATGGATTGAACTGAGAAGAGGAAGAATGCAGGCCAAGTGCAAGTTTGTGGGTGCCAAAGACTGCAGGTGTAGCCGGAAGCAACGGTCTAATACGCCTTCCAGAAGTACCGGAGCACGGATATGTTCCAGATAAAATTAACGACTGGTGCATTCTATGTTATGTATCACTTTTATTTTTAGTCTTATATCGAAGAAAAGACGGGTTCCTTATAGGATGCTATTTTAGGCGAATTCTCCTTACAATCTACACCCAACCAACCAATGCCAATGTGGTGCGGGCATGGTATGAGAGTGATTTATTGTTAATACATTTTTAACGCTCAGTTGTTATAATGCCGTTACCGTATTTATGGAAGAATATAATTAATATAAAGTTTATTATATTTTTATAAGCTTTGTTACTGCTAGATGTGTTAATCAAAAGAAAGTTTTACTTGAAAACATTTCACGCGGTCCACGGAGCAGACGGAACTCGAACCCGCACACTCAGCTATCCGAGCGGATGCACTGACCAAATATGCTACCGTGACCTTAATGGCCGTGTCAAATTTCTTCTAGTATTTCTTAGGCTGCAAGGCCGCGCCTCTTCGCATTGTAGATAACCCACATCAGACGAATACCTTTACGAATTTGAAAGAAGAAATAGCAATACTGCTTTATCGACCGCGTGAATTTTTTCTAGTACAAATTTTCTTTAGATATACATAATATGAAGTTGTATCGCGTTGTCCACAGCACCAGTTCCCGGCGATGACGGACCTGAAGCTCGGCGGCATACTGTACCTGATCGGCGTGTTCTTCTTCAAGTCCGACGGCCGCATACCGTTCGCGCACGCCATATGGCACCTGTTCGTCGCGCTCGCGGCCACCGTGCACTACCTCGCCATACTACGGCACCTTTTCCCCGAATTAAAACCTTAAAGACTGCCCATCATCCTATTGAATCTCGATTAAAGTAGAGCTCTCTACCTATTTTTGTATCTCAACTCGACCCCGAGGCCGCAGATTAAACGATTTACTCAATTACCCACCGTTCGTCGAGGCGGCAGAGGCAGGACCTTTTGTACGCCCGTTCCGTACGCCTTTTGTATAGGGGCGGTTATTGCACACTGTTGCTGTGTCTTCATATATATTTTGTAGCTACTCTGATCTCTATTCCATGCTGTTGAGTTCTTTGTATAGATCTGAATGTGATTGCATATCTCCAATACTTGTGCTCGCGTACATTGTTGCGCATGAGTTAATTTATAGATCTGATTTTAAGGCCATAGTTTATGATGTCATATTATTGTATTAGGTATCGTATGTTTGTATAATTACTATGTAGTGTACGTTAATTAGTTTTATTTTCAGAAAACGTGTGTACATTTTTACTTATAAAGTCAACAGCACATAAATTTACCACAAAATGACAAACTTTGTCTAACAATTTTGAACTTTATGTCAAATCTAACACAAACTGTTTTAGAGAATTTGTTAATTTGTATGACTTGATGTGTTGTTGATTATATTTAGTTAACAGCATGGACCGCGTTCGGCCAAATACCTACCATAGAAAATGATCGAGATGTGTGTATATTTTGTAAGATATTGTTGAAAGTTATTGTATTGTTGTAGCGTTTGTAGACGAATCTCAGAATCTCGAGACCAAATCCAACCCTTTTAGAGTACGTTATAGTGATGAAGTAAAGTGGCAAGGGGTTTTTTAGAAATGTTTATACTTATATGTATCCAGTTTTCAGCGAGATCTTTTATACACCTCAATGTGACTTTTCCTTAGGATTAGCTCGTTATACATTTTAACATAGCTAGATCAATGTACAATCTCCTAAATCAGTTAGTTTTTGTATGATAATTAACGGTTTTAATGTTTCCTGTATTCATTATGATTTGGTTCGGTGAATAGACTTATTTATTTGTCCCAATTTAGATAATTTTAAGAATTGCTCAATCGTATCGACTAGGTAATTTTTTGCTAGACTTCCAGATGTATTGTTAGTATTTTAAATTAATCACCTCCTAACCTAACTTTTATGTGATGAATAAAAATGGTGGTATGTTACTTTAAAGGCGATAATTGCCTGAACTTTGTTTCGATAACGGGAAGGAAATCTTTTGAACTATAAAGATTTAGTGGAAACTCTATCACAAAGTTCCTCGTCTTTACAAGAAGATAACTTTCATTAAACTAATATAATAAGCATAACCAGAAATACGAAAACACGTAGTGTAAATTTTTATCGCTCGTCACTTGTTGTTTCTTGCAGTCGGGAAACGTCGAGTTTGTTTCAAATTAGGACATTCCGACATAATGCTTGCCCCCAATCCTTAAATTGAATCGTCTGCTCCTTGCGTGCACTCACGAGAGCATGGTCGCACTCTATAGTCATTTCTAAGGTTCGTTCCGAAATTATCAAATGCATAATGATGCGGAACTAAATGAAAAACATGGCTGTCATATAAGCTTTGGAGCTTACGCGTTTCGCAGTTGTAACAGATGATTAAAGAAGGCACAGAGGCAAAGCTTCATACAGTGCGCATGTGTGAGTGAGCACTGGTGGCCTGTCGCCGCCAATTAGTGTTGCCAGATGAGGAAATAAAAAACGCGGTAGGGTGGGTACAACAATGCGGATTTTCAAACAAAAAAGCCGTACTTACGTTTTGTAAACACACCACTGGGGAGCAAAAATGTTTTTTTTTGTATAATAATTATAAGTGAGGAAAATAGAAGTTTTCTCAAATATTCAAAAAGCGAAATCTCATATTATGTTGAAAGCGGAAGGCGGATCTATTCGTGGAAAAGCAGTATGATCTCAATCATTGCCGTCAATAATAACTTTTCAAGTGTTTCACTTCCACTCACACGCGTGCAAATATATGAAGCCTTTGTTTCTGTGCCTCACTCATGTGGTTGTTTTAAGGATTAATTCGAACACTCATGTAAGTAGATAAATGTTTCCGTGGCTCCACGGGGCGATGTAGGGTTTCACGCTTCATATTTCTTCCGCATCATCGCAACTGGACACCACTAGATGGATGGGGTAATTTGATGTGTCATGTACGAAATGACTTTATTAAAAATTTAATTATTGAAGGCTCTCTTGAATCATCCAATATTTTTCCAACCGTTAAGGACATCTTGTATTAAAATTGTTGATGGCTAAATAATTTTGTAAAAAGCTTTGATAAAGTAATCAATATCATTATTTATTTGTTAATTAATTTCGTCTTAGTACCTAGATAACGGCGCGTGCAAATCACTTATACAACTTTATTACAATGTGATAAAGACTATTTTGCATTGTCATCAGTAAAAGTTTGAAAATTAACATTCCTGTTATTAACATTTTAGAACGGACCTTTTATAATAATACTAATATTTTTCTTTTAAAAATGTAACTTTACTAAAACGTATGACTGAAGCAAAGTGCAGCTTTTGAACTGGTCGTGGTAAATTGCCTCATTACTTGATTGTAATGGCTCTTTCACCACTTTATTGTCTCTAGTCAGTTGATTGCTACAAACAATTATTGTGATCTACAAATGAGTTTATGTATTAAATAAACATTATTATTAAAAACGGCACATTTAGATTATGTTAATTAATATTTTATTTACAAAATGTTCTGTCAAAGAAAATTTATCGATCGCTCTCGATGGAAAATCTTTTGGTTCTTTTAATTTTTACTCTCGTTATTTTGTTTGTTTACATACTGATTTATTGATAATATTTTTTTTGTAACACAATGTACCTTATGAGGGACTTACTTCGTAAAAGTTAAGATGCGAGAAAGTCTTTTGCCTTAGACGAATTACTACGTTACTGTGTAAAGATGCGAATTACTATGTTACTGTGTAAAAATTCGCAGTCTCTCAGTTTAGTTTCTTTGTCTAACTTTAAGTCTTTTAGCGAACTAAATAAATGTAAATGTGTAGGCCCCTGGAAGGCTGTGTATATTTCTAGAGATACTCCCCCTAATAATAATGCAAATGTCGAGTGCTCTATGTCTGTCTGCAAAGAGCAAAATATGTCAAAGCCACATTGACATCCAGTGCCGTCTTTGACCTATTGGAGGCCATGGGCATATTAGAATAATGGGGCCCCTACGACCCCCTTTTGGTGATTTAACAGGAACTAGGAACTTTTGTATGTGATCTGAGGGGGCCCCTATCAATCGCGGGGCCCTGGGCACTTGCCCAAAGTGCCCACTGGAAAAGAGGGCTCTGTTGACACCGTTTGCCAAATGATGTAAATCGCCTCCCTTAGAAGGTAATTGTGTAACTTTTACTACTTGCGCGCTTTCTTTCATATCGTATTTGCGAAATAGATTAGTTATATCACAATGTCTCTTTGGATGGAACAGTTAAAGTTAGATAATTAACCCTTAATATGAATTTTAGAAGGCAGGCAATGACGTCGGTTCGCTCTACTGTTCGTTGTGTCTCTTTCTAACTTGCCAGGTATAAAAAGTAATAAGTGTATACAATTATTATTTTTATTATTTAGAATTCATAATACGGCTTCTAATCATCAAAATTGCATGGTTATTTCCACACAAAACATTTTCTATCGGAAGCGATCGATCTTTTGCTGAACTATAAAAAAAAACATTAAAAACCGGTTAGTCAAGGTTATCACAGGGTAATTTGGTATTATATTATGTAAAATTGCACAAATCCCATGGTTAATTTACCATGGCGATGGCGGTGTTGAAATTATCTGTATTGTATTCGAAACTAATGTTCAAAACTATTTCGACAAAGTTTAAGTCATGAAATATGTAGATTTGTTTAGACAATCTCAACGTGTTAGAGGGTTGGGCACTATTTAAGTACCTATATAAATAAATAAGAAAATTAAATGTAATTTTTAATTGTAATGTGTAGAGTGCAAAATATTTTTAGTTAGGGACCGGTGGGTTACGAATTGTTGGGGGATTTTATTTCTAAGTTAAACGTGGGTGTTATAGGGTTCTGCGTAGGTAATGTTTGGGAGTAGATATATCCACCGATTGCACGTTACAGTTTAGTAGTATTAAAAACCTAGTCTTGAGAAGAGCACTACATGGCCCAATTACGATTGAATAATTTCAAAACTGAAGTACTGTGCATCTCTTTTTATATTAGTTACATTATATAAGTGCAATCAGATGAAGAGTAATAATGTTGCGATAATCTTAATTTAGTGCAAGCAATTAGAACAAGCGCCCATTGAGCCGCTAGTGGCGGCTATTGAACGCGTCCACAAGCTGCGAGTTTTTTCATACAATAAGTAGAGTATCGGCACAAACTAATACCGGCCATACACACTACGAGAAATCGTTACGATTAGACTGTACAGTCCGAACGGTACCGATAAATCGTAGCGTGTATGTTATAAAACTGCACAGTTTCCTATACTAAACGAAATCGTATAAACTGTTCCGTTCGAACTGTACAGTCTGATCGTAACGATTTCTCGTAGTGTGTATGGCCGGTATAAGCGTTGTAGTGGCCGCCACTAAGCCACTAGCGGCGGCGATCGGTGGCTGTGTCTAGCGGCTCAATGTGCGCTTGCTGCGGCGGTCGAAAATTATGAAGCCTGTTTTTACCGACTTTTATAAACACTAAAAAAGAGAAAGAGTTAACTGTATTTAAATATAATTTTACATGATGTGCAATGGAGTAGAGCCTATTGTTATATTTAAATGTATAAAATATCACTTTTAGTAAGCAGATTTTTTATATTAACGCCAAAAATCTCCAAAACAATCGTGATTAGTCTTCCAGACACGTTGTTTAGTAAACGTTGTCTTGACATTCCTTGTATGTAATATAAAAATCATTTGAGTGAATGAAATAGGTTTTGTACCTACCTAGGTTTCTTTGATCGCCAAGATTAAAATGTATAGAATAAATAAGCTATGAAAGGTTATGGATATGCGAGATTTTCAACTGCAAGTCTCTTTTACAATGTACAGAGGTTCAAGCACGGATTTTGACAGCTCCTTAATAGTATCGTGTTTTTGGAGTTTTATATGATATCAGTCGGTTTGTTGTTACCTTTGTCGATAGTGGCGCTTTTTAGTTTTCATAGAAACATTTACGATGCGATACTTTTCCGCAACTGTTAAAATTTGTGCTTGAGCAGAGGCCCAGACAGTCCCACATAGAAGTTACTATAAAATGTAAAAGTTTTCTCATTAGATTGTGAATCTTATTTCAAGTTTAATAAAGTTCAAAGTCAGTTGGAGAAATATGACAGTTTTGGGCAACTACGGTGTGTGCATCTTAAGCAAAATTCGACTGAGATAACTGGACCCTTAATAACGGCTACCAAGCAATGCCAAAGAACATTGTGCTAAGCAATGTTATTTCCACAAAAGAAAAAAGTTTATTTATTGTAATATTTTCGACTGTTATTATACAGTTTTTAGTAGTGGCAAGGATACATAGGTGCTTTCAATGTAATTGTAAAAACTCCTTTATTTTACAGTAATCCTAGATATTTTTTTTTGCCTGAACTGTGCCTGAAGATCCAAGATTTCTAAAAATATTAATAAAATCAGAGCTCTTTTTCCAAACAGACTAGAGCTGGTTCCATGTTAACATTAAATTAAGTATGTATGTTTTAAATATAATGTGCATATACTTATAAATAAACCATGACTAGGACATACATAAATGTCCCTACCTGATTTTGAACCCAGGACCTTTTTGGGGTATAAAGCAGGAGTAGCAGTTCAGTATAATTTAAACATTATATCACATTGTACCTTATATTAATTCCCACCTGACTATGTTACTAAAGTCGCATTCAGAGAAACGTTTTAAGTTTTTTATTGTGATAAATACTATTCTGTCACTTTTCTTGCAGTAATGATACTCCGGAGTTGCAGGTGTTCATAACCTATGGTGACCGTTTACCCTCAGGCGGTCTGGGTGCTTATTTGCCTTTCAAATAATTTATAAAACATGTGACATAATGAAACCTGCTAACATTTCTCAGTGCGGCCGATAGTGTATATATGTCATATTCCGTAAACGTAATTAAATATCTATTAGTATATATTGGCATTCCTATCTCAGATGTGCTCATAACAATTTATGGCATTATCGTCTAGACTTTAAAAGAGTATTAGTGAAATAATATAGCATATTTTACTTGCGACGTTTAAAATAGTTAAAATTGTTTTTCCTTTTCTGATTTACCGTCCTAACCATGGCATGATATACTATGACTGATATCTTGCCATTTATTATTTATTTAAGTCTAATAATGATTCTTTGACAGGTGAGTATATCAAGATGTAGATTGTTGAGTGAGACAAAGGTGTGTACCTTTTTCTCAGTGTAGAGTGGCATTATCATGATAGCCATTGAGAAAACACTGAAACTCCACAATAATATATTGTTACTTTTTAGTCCATTATTAAATTTGTAATTCAAATAGCAAGATTTATTACACAATACCATGATTTCAGTGCCATAATTAATACCCTACCAATTATGGGCACCTGAGCATAATATGACATTGAATGTAAAAATGATAAAACTTGTTGTCTGTATGTGTGTTAGAGTAAACTAAAATGGTATGTATAATGTTGTAGATGATAAGATGGTACTTGTGTACATGCTAAATATTTTGATGATATTGCCCAGTGATTGTACAACATAATTTTTTAACAGATACTCTAGTTGTTTCATGAATGTTACCTTTGATAATGGACCCTGGTATAGTTTTGTAGAGGTTTTTGGAAACTCAATAAAAAATAATATACAGAACACTTTTATTATTTATTTCTTTAGAAATGTTACAAAGTAAATAAAGCATACTTGTAAGTATGATCATAAATTAATATTGTGATATGCTTAAAAATAAAATGGTAGTATTAACATTGGCAAATTGTTTAGGATTACATTTTAGATACTGTTTTGATTCCCAATATATCAAAGCACTTTTCCATTATACAAGCAGTCGCTTCACATAGCATCAATCTTTCATAAATAATATTAACTATCTCACCTTCCTTATTTTTCTCTACACAATAGCATTTGTCGTAAAATTCTGTGAATGCTGTTGATATTTCATACAAGTATTCGCATAATGTATGCAAATATAAATCATTTGCTACTTTAAGGATTACTTCTGGGAACCTGACTAGCACTTTTCCTAGTTTCCATTCTGCTTCATGAGTGAATTTCATGCCCGATTTTTCAGCTTTTACTATCAGCTCTTTAACAGAAACTTTAGCAGTTCTAGCTATTGACCGAATTCTTGTCAACGCATACAAAAGATAGACAGCTGTATTGCCCTTGTCATCTAACATTTTATCAAAAGAGAAAATATAATCATTGATTCTATTGTGGGAAAGGTCTGCATATTTAATGCAGCCATATGCTACAGCCTCCTGGGCTTGTTTTAATTCTTCTGGAGTAAGTACTTTATCTCTACCTTTCTCGACTAATTTGTCCAATGACCTTTTCAAGCCCTCATCAAGAAGTTCAATAAGCTTTACAGTGTCACCAGATCTTGTCTTAAACTTTTTCTTATCTTCTCCCAAAACTACACCAAAACCTACATGTTCCACCTTTTGTCCATCTTTCAGTATGCCAGCTCTCTTAGCGCATGCTTCAATGACTACAAAATGAGTATGCTGCCCTGCATCTGTGACATAAATAAATCTATCTCCCTTTTCATCTTCCACCCTCTGTTTAATGGTACTCATGTCAGAGGTGTCATAAGTAAATCCCCCATCTGATTTTACAATAGTCAAAGGAATGGTATCATGATTATTAGGATTGCCCCACATGATTAATCTGCCTTCATCCTCTTCTAAGAAACCATTTTCTTTGAGAAATGCCACATCACGCATCATCCTACTCTGGTAGTAGGATTCACCCCTGTCAATGATTTTAATCTCTAGACGATCATAAATTTTCTGAAACTCCTTCCGTGACACTTCACAAATCAGTTTCCAAGCAGCTATAAAGTCAGGGTCCCCAGATTGTAACTGAACTACACAAGTGTACGCCCTTTTTTTAAACACCTCATCTTCATCAAATCTTTTCTTAGATTCCTTGTAAAATGCTTGCAAATCAGATATAGGCGGAGAATGAGTTTTGAAATCTGGGAATTTATCTTGCAAATGAGCAATTAACATACCAAACTGAGTTCCCCAGTCACCCAGATGGTTGATTCTAAGTACGTCATGGTTCAAAAATTCAAGTGTTCGACAAATACTATCTCCAATAATGGTTGATCTTAAATGTCCTACATGCATCTCTTTAGCAATGTTTGGAGATGAAAAGTCAACTATTATTCGCTCTCTCTTCACTGGGGGTGGTTTTACTCCGAAACGCAATATACAGTTTAGAATGTGTTCAATAAATGATTTATTTAAGTAAATATTCAAAAAACCTGCGCCTGCTACTTCTATTCTTTCAATAAGTGGTGAGGAAGGAGTTTTATTTAGAATATTATTAGCCACTTCCCTTGGATTTGTCTTGATATTTTTAGCTTTTAACAACTGTGATATGGGCATGGCAGAATTACATTGATAATCCCCAAACTTGGGGTTGTTACTGGAAAGGGTGATGACAATAGGTGGATCTTCTAAACTAGAATATGCAGATGAAATTGCAAGTTCAAAAACATTTTTCAGTTCATCTAGGATACATATGTTACCTTCTACAGAGCTGATATCGGATATCAAGGTAGGACGTTTTCGAACTTGTTTACTAATAGACTGACTTGAAGACGTGGAACTTTCAACTTTAATTGCATTTTCCAGAATAGCTAAACGATGTTTTAGCTTTTCATTATCAGTCAGTAATTTTTCCAATCGTGTATCATTCACGTAACTGAGATCACCTTTTGAAATTTTGTCCAACTCTTCTTCTATCGCTTTAGCTTCCTTTTCTGCCATAATCGTCCTTTCTTCCAATTCCTTATGGTGGGCGTCAGACATGTCGACTACTTATTTAATAACACCGAAAAACAAGAAGAAAACTTTTCAGCAATTACAAATAAAAAACGTAAACTTAGAATTAGAGGTTATTTTTTCACCGCACGTTGACGTTTTCAGTGTGACCAAAATATAATTTACGAAAATACCGATGTATCTCAAAAATAAAGCTGGTACACACTGGTGTCAATTCTGGCATGATTCTCTAAACTTAAAACTGAAAACATCAGTCTCTCCCATTTATTCTATGTAGAGAATGACATGGATAGGGACACGAAAAAAGTATCGTAACTTTGTGGTATCGAGTACTTTTCCTTTTGATACCGATACATTTGTACTCGATACTTGGTTTTCGATACTTCAACTAAATGAGTACTTTTTGGCAAGTATCGATACCATTAAAAATTTAGATAAGAGCCTTATATTGATGGCAACGCCATCTAGTGGAATCATAGCAAACCTTCTAAAACATTCCATTGCGTTGATATAATTGGAAGCACAAGCAATATAGTGTGTCCTGAGACTTACGTACTTGAATTACGCACGGTTAGTTTTGTAGTTGATTATATTAACATTACACATTTTTAAGAGTATCTACATAATATAAAAATTAGTGAATTAACATGTAACTTTTTATGTTTTTAATTATACGTACTATAATAAAATTTGATCGTTTTTCTTTTAATTTTAACCCGGGGGGGGGGGGGGTTGCTCATAAGGCCCTATGAAATGTACTCGATACTTCGAAGTATCGATACTTTTGTTTCAATACTTTTACGAGTACGGTACTTTTTTTCCGATACTACTCGTGAGTACAGTATCGATACTTTCTTTTCGATATCGTGTCCCTAGACATGGATACACTGTTGTCAAATTTAAGTTTAGGTTTAGAGAATCATGCCAGAATCGACACCACTGACTATTCAGGGGAAAAATACATATGAAAATAAATACCTAATTTCTAGAGAACTTTTCTTCAATATTCATTATTAAAATAAATCTGTATCTCTTTACTTTTCTAAAAATTAGCCAATAATATAATCATAAAAAATAATGATAACATTTTGCCAGAAATACCACTATTACAACGATTATTAGGCGTTGATATAAATTCCAATACACAAATACTGTTGTTGAAAAAATCTAAAAGAGTATTAAATTACCTAATTTGGTCACACTTGGTTTTGACATTGACGTATTATGACAGGGGTGATGACAGGTTCCTCCACTTGACAAGCTTGATGTTATCGTTTAGAAATGTACCTAATTAGAGAAAATTATGCATAACTTCACGATCAAAGTTCTGAAACCTCATATAAGTTCAAAAATAGTAATTTGAATCAGAAAATTATGATGATTTCTTCTGCTTCCTTTTCTTTGACTTTTGAAATTAAGTTCTCATCGTCATATCATAATTATAATCGAAAATCACTTTCATCGATTTTGTGAATAGTTGTTATAGCAACCAAGGTCAAACAAACGCGGCAAAAATATGTTTCAAAAGTGGCAAGTGTGAATGAAATTGATAAATTATATATTTTTCTGGATTATAGTCTTTTATATTATTATTTAACGTAACTCAAATAAGAGAAATGAACATTCGGTTGCCATAGTTAAGGTGTATCCAAGTTATACTAACCCGCTTCGCTCTCATGGCGCAACAATGGCACATAAACAAAATGGGCATGAATACGCGACGAAAGACAGGGAAATACCGTTCTGGCTTGAGGACATTACCAAGTAAGTTTTAACAAATAGTTCTACACACCCTCATATCGGTTCAATGATTAATGACCCACTTGCGAGTCAATACCATATTTTTTAGCACAATGCTCTTGTACATACTTCCGTGAAGGTTCACAAGGTCGCCAACCCCCTATATTCTTCTACATTGCATTCGATTTTAGTTATAATCAGACTTTAGGACGGCTCTGACGTTTTCAGGGAGATGAAAGAAACCCACATAAGCGAATTATCTCCACTAGAAGACGCACAACATAACATAAATTACCTTAAAGAGGAAAACCTTAGGTATTGTAACTATGTAATTTACTTTAGTTTACGATCCGCCTAAATACTCTGTTTGCTACAGTAGAATTTTTCAGGTTGACTCGAAGGACATCATTGGATACCACGTTGGATTTGATATCAAAGCCGAAGATACAAAATACGGCACATTCTGCAGGCACACTACGTCACAATCATACTAAAGGTGTGTCTTTATTTTGTTCATCCATAATTTTTTAGTCATCTTAAATAATTTTGTGTCTATAGTGTCTATTGCTCGTTTGGCAGGATATAATCAAAACGGCCGATGGAAATATAGAAATAACAAACTTGATTGGGGTCACTCTTCAACTGCTAGTTCTAATGATTTCTTATCGGACCTATTACCTCATTACGTGACTCCGAGACACAGAGGCAGAGTTAATAATATGGGAGATGACGATTTTCATGATGTCATCTTAGGACCCCGTAAGTATGGCAGTTGATTTTAGCCACGGACTGTTCTGTTAACTTTCTACAAATTTTACGATTCAGTGAAACCTTTCTTCATTGTCCTTCAGGTCTTCAAGAAAATAATAAAGTAAGAAAAAAAGTTTATCCGAAAGAGGGTTCTGTAAACTCTCAACAAAATGACGGTAACAGGAGAGCATCTTTCAAAAATTTCACAAAAAAACCAACGTCGTTGGGGTCGGTGTCGAGTGGTAAAAGTGGTAAATCTACACAAAAGGAGAAGTCAACTAACGAATTCGTCATCCCCGAACTTCCTGAGGGCAGACTTTTAGAATTAAAAATATACGCTAATTGGGGTGATAGATACTTAGTCGGTTTAAATGGAATCGAATTATTTGACACGAATGGGAAGTCCGTGCAAATTGAAAAGGTATATCTCGATAATATTATTTCTAAACGTTTAATGTTATGAAATCAATGCTCAATTCTTGTTGTTTGGCAATTATGTCTTTTAAATAAATTAATATGTTGCACTCACGACCTATACGACATTTAATAGCATGTGCAGAAGATGTAAGTATATACAAGATAGATAAGCGCTGTCTAAAAGACAAGAATACAGTATTTTTATTTTGTTTTCTAGTATTGGGTCATGGTAAAAGTACTCGCAAAGATTAAGTATGATTCAAATCAAAGTCAGCCTTGTTCTAAGTAGTTATAATTTAGCAGAAAGTATATCTTAGAGTCTTTGTCCAGATATGGACAGATTCAGATACGGGTGACCAGACTAACCACGGTCGAGCGGAGAATATCGTGGATGGGGTCGTACGCACGCGCGATGAAAGGCATGCGTGGACTGCGCCCGCGCCTCGCACCCTGCCCATCGCACTCAGCGTGCTGTTAGCCAATACAACGAGACTCGCTCTGCTGAGGATATGGGTAAACAAAAACACGTCATTTCTACCTTTAAAGTATCATGAAGTAGGTACGCACGGTAGAGTTTCAGACGGAAGTCTCGATACTTCAAGAACTCGGTATCAGGCAGCGTCTGTTTTCGACAGTACAATCTCGCATTCTAACATTCTTCGGACACGTTTCTCGGCGTAACAACCTATCCATAGAACGCCTTGTCGTCCAAGGAAAGATGGAAGGTACTAGACCGCGCGGAAGGTCACCCACGCGATGGACTGACCAGATCAAGTCAGCCGTTGGAGGTTCACTAAACGAGTGCAGCAGGATGATCTCTAGCAGGCAGCAATGGCGAAACATAGTGAAGCGCATCACATCTGGCCCCTCCAATAATACTACAAGTTCATAGCGATCACGACCGCTCTGTCAAGAGCGTACCGGCTAAGAAGAAGAAGTAGGTACTAATTAATACACCGTGAAATTTGAGTTACCTGAGTTTACTTGCGCATTCAGATAACTACATAGATAATTTTGTTTCTTTATTTTTTTGATGTGAAAACTTCTTTAGCACAGTTGTGATTTGAGATTCAATGAAACGTATAGTCTGTCGTTGCGGCAATGTCTACTCGAATCGGGGTTTTCTACACGATGGAAATAAATGATTTATTAACTAATCTATCGTAAGATAATCGAATTTTCACATATTTAAAAATTACGTCTCACATACAGAATTATAACAAATCCCGAATATATTCTACTCGAGGACTACGCTTGGTTCAAATAAAACTGGATGACCAAATAATTTTCCAAGGAGAAATCGCGCGCTCCAGCGGTGAACTGAAAGGCCCTCTGCAAAGTTTTGGAGACGTAAGTATTAAATGAATTACTTATTATGGTATGTACACCCTTGAAATATTAAGCGAATCTTTTTCTTCATACGCATCATCGACAGCTTATCTTAGTCTACTGCTGGACATAGGCCTCTTCAATTGCACGCCACTGAGATAGATAGATAGATAGTTCAATCTTTTACTTACTTAACGAAAATATAGAATAGTTTTTATTTACAGACAATCCTATTTACTAGAGATCCTGACATCCTTGAATCTGTTATGGTCAACGACAAGAATTTCCAAGCCTTGCTGAAAGATAATGAACCAGTGAACGAAACGACAACTCTAGATCGTCCTCCCACAGCTAATGACTACAATCATAACATGAGTCCTGAAGAGCTTTTACAATCGTTAGACAATGAAGAGAACGAAACCAAATATATTGCCAAACAGATTAAATTGACGCTCATGTCAAATTGGGGACAACGACATCTGATCGGTCTTACTGGTACTACTTCCATCGCTTCAATCTTATCTTGTGATTTACTTATTTTACTTACCATATCAATCAATTATGTTAATTTTGTAGGGATAGAAATAATGTGCTACAATGAACCGATCACTGTGTACCGAGCGTACGCGTACTGCTCGTATATAAACGACGAACAAACGCCGGACCGTAGCGACCTCATCGAATGCAAGAGCCTGTTCTCTGGCCGTAACATCACCACTGACTTCGAGGACATGTGGTGTACGAGCTTCGAGCCCGGCGTGAAGTTCTGCCACATAGTCATGGAGCTGAGGGAGCCTATGGAAATCACTAGTAAGTGTTTTTTTAATGATCCACAATCAAGTTCCATGAACTTTCTCATTCGTCTCGTCCCAACATTTTGCACTATTGATCTGAAGATCCTATCCGGTTATATTATCTCTTGTGATCCAAACGTAAGTCAATACGTAAATATAATAATTTTACATCAATATCAGTAAAAACATAGAAGAAGCCCAACAAACTTCAGATATCAACGCTGTAAGTTGGTTCTTCAAACATCAAAAATTTTTGATAATTCAGTCAGTTTCTAAAATGACCAGTGAAAGTAGAAGTTAGCAAATAAAATCAAGGGCGAAATACTGAGATCTACTTAGAAGAACCAGTAATAGAACTTGTAAAGACTCGAAAGAGTTGCTTTTGGACTAAGTTTGTGGTTTTTGCGCCGCATTCTACATCTATCTATAGGCATTCGAATATGGAACTACAACGCCAACCTGGAGCTGTCGTACATGGGCTGCAAGCACGTGCGCGTGTGGGTGGAGGGGGCGGCGCTGCACTGGCGGCCGGCGCTGCTGCGGCGCGCGCCCGGCGACACCTGCTACGACTACGTGCACCAGCTGCATCTAGCCGCCTTGGATGACAGGTCTGTTGCTGGTTTTAAATTTCGAATGCCAATTTCCAATCTAAATCTAGTTGTTTTTAGGGTACCGCACCTCAAAAGGAAAAAACGGAGGAACCCTTATAAGATCACTTTGTTGTGCGTCTGTTCGTCTGTCTACCAAAACCATTTATCTAAGATTGCGTGGAGTTTTTGAAATAAAATTAAAACCATGTACTCTCAGGTCTATGGCCCCATGAAGCTGTGAACAAATCAAACTTCTAAGTTAACGTAAAAAAATATTCGGCCTTTTATGTCGCGTACCTACAAAGTACGGAATCCTCGGTAGACGAGTCCGACTCGCACTTGTCCGGTTTTTTAAGTAAGTACGAACAAATGACTAACTACCTATATACTTACCAAAAATAAATATTAAGTAATACAGGGTCATTATGGTTGATTAAGAACAATGTTTAGATTCTTTTCCTAGGGTAAGAACCTGGTGATCCGTAGTACAGGTTAACCCCCTATTTCGGACGCCAGCTTCTTAAAACGCCTAATAATATTATTTAAGTGTTGCCTAACCTGTATTGTATCTGCCTTAATGTTTTGTAAGAAGAAATAACATTTATTATTATTATTTACCTACAACCCACCTGAAGTTGAGTGACGGTGGCGTCTTTAACACGAAGATGACGAAAGAGTAGCAGTTTTACCTGCCACTTCTTACCTTGCGGGCCTGCAGTGCCGTCTTTGACCTGTTGGAGGCCCTGGGCATATTAAGATAATGGGGCCCCTATGACCCCCGTTTGGTGATTTAACAGGAACTAGGGACTTTGTATTTGATCTGAGGGGGGCCCCTATCGATCGCGGGGCCCTGGGCACTTGCCCAAAGTGCCCACTGGGAAAGAGGGGTCTGCGGGCCTGTAAGTGGCTGCTTCAAACCTCTTTTAAAGGACCTCAGGTTGTAGGAGGAAGGGAGTGAGCGGGTAAAGTATTTCATTTGCAGATAGTGCAATAGTGGCCACAGCAAGTCGGTCAGCGCGCGTGTTCGTCTGAAGTAAAGGGGAAGGTGGGATGAGGGCGAAAAACTCTTCAGAAAACTTGCCATGGCTTAGATAGACGATAAAACGCACTTAATAACGATAGATCAAAAAAGTGTAATTGTAGAGACTCCAATGAGGGTATTTAGGCTAATTCAAGCAACCAGTTGGCGTCGCTGTGGCATGAGATCTTCTAATGAAATTTAAGACGCAATCGATTGATTTTTGATTTTGAGTTGAAAGAGCGTTTAAATTGATTCCTAGAAAATGACGACAAACGCGACTTGACGGATGAGTGGTCCTTTCGGTTCAGTGTTGCCACCTAGCGACGGTCGGACGGATAAGACTCGATTTAAACTATATATTACATAGTCAAACAAATAAGGAACTCGCTGGCGCAAGTGGTTAGCACGTTCGGCTGCGATCGTTAAAGTTTAGCAACTTTTGCAGTGGTCTGTCATTGGATAGGTGACCAAAAATTTATTATCTCAAGCTCCTCCGTGTTTCGGAAGTCACTCTAAGACGTTTGTACCGGTTGTATCTGCAATAGTTAGCACCCACTAATCCGTACAGGGCCCGCGTGGTGGGTCATGGCCCAATATACCTATGCCATCCATAGGGAAGGCCTGTACCCCAGCAATGGGGGCATTAATAAGCTGATGAAGATGATTACACCACACCATATAATCATACAATCCCGTTGACTAGGCTCGAGGACGCGAAGGATTCGGACAGCTTTCACATGGACTGGCTAGTCTACGGCAGCGGGTTGAACGCCGGCACGCCCACCGGCTTCGTGCTGCAGATCAGCATATTCTCTACATGGGGTGACCCCTACTACGTAGGCTTGACTGGGGTCGAGCTGTATGATACTAGGGGTGAAATCATACCGCTCACGGAGACTAGTAAGTAGGCTCAGATTTTTTTAGTTAGTTATTGTAGCTGCATGCGTGATTTTATTGTATTTAAGTGTTGATTTTTCAAGTGTCTTAGTTATTGTTCAGTAAATTGAACATGTCCATTAAAGTCTTTTTAGCATACTTAACAGACTTCATTTGTCCGGATATTGAAATCCGCTGATTTGAAATTCTAGCCTGATAAGATTGGCGGAAGTGAATATTTTTCTAGTAAAATTTATTTAGGTAGGTAGGTATAAACATTTTATAAAGAAGATCTAAAAATTGTTCCGTCTCGTTTGCACATCAGACGTGTGCGCGCACCCGGCGAGCGTGAACGTATTATCAGCGCGCGCGCAAGACGTGCGCACTCCCGACAAACTGATCGACGGACATAACGCGCGCGCGCACGACCCCGCGCACTCCTGGCTCGCGCCCCTGCTGCCCGCCACGCTCAACAGGTGCGTATATCATCAACACACAGCACGCGGGCACTCCCACAAACTGATCGACGGACATAACGCGCGCGCGCACGACCCCGCGCACTCCTGGCTCGCGCCCCTGCTGCCCGCCACGCTCAACAGGTGCGTATATCATCAACACACAGCACGCGGGCACTCCCACAAACTGATCGACGGACATAACGCGCGCGCGCACGACCCCGCGCACTCCTGGCTCGCGCCCCTGCTGCCCGCCACGCTCAACAGGTGCGTATATCATCAACACACAGCACGCGGGCACTCCCACAAACTGATCGACGGACATAACGCGCGCGCGCACGACCCCGCGCACTCCTGGCTCGCGCCCCTGCTGCCCGCCACGCTCAACAGGTGTGTATATCATCAACACACAGCACGCGCGAACTCCCACAAACTGATCGACGGACATAACGCGCGCGCGCACGACCCCGCGCACTCCTGGCTCGCGCCCCTGCTGCCCGCCACGCTCAACAGGTGCGTATATCATCAACACACAGCACGCGCGCACTCCCACAAACTGATCGACGGACATAACGCGCGCGCGCACGACCCCGCGCACTCCTGGCTCGCGCCCCTGCTGCCCGCCACGCTCAACAGGTGCGTATATCATCAACACACAGCACGCGCGCACTCCCACAAACTGATCGACGGACATAACGCGCGCGCGCACGACCCCGCGCACTCCTGGCTCGCGCCCCTGCTGCCCGCCACACTCAACAGGTGCGTATATCATCAACACACAGCACGCGCGCACTCCCACAAACTGATCGACGGACATAACGCGCGCGCGCACGACCCGGCCACTCCTGGCTCGCGCCCCTGCTGCCCGCCACGCTCAACAGGTGCGTATATCATCAACACACAGCACGCGCGCACTCCCACAAACTGATCGACGGACATAACGCGCGCGCGCACGACCCCGCGCACTCCTGGCTCGCGCCCCTGCTGCCCGCCACGCTCAACAGGTGTGTATATCATCAACACACAGCACGCGCGAACTCCCACAAACTGATCGACGGACATAACGCGCGCGCGCACGACCCCGCGCACTCCTGGCTCGCGCCCCTGCTGCCCGCCACGCTCAACAGGTGCGTATATCATCAACACACAGCACGCGCGCACTCCCACAAACTGATCGACGGACATAACGCGCGCGCGCACGACCCCGCGCACTCCTGGCTCGCGCCCCTGCTGCCCGCCACGCTCAACAGGTGCGTATATCATCAACACACAGCACGCGCGCACTCCCACAAACTGATCGACGGACATAACGCGCGCGCGCACGACCCCGCGCACTCCTGGCTCGCGCCCCTGCTGCCCGCCACACTCAACAGGTGCGTATATCATCAACACACAGCACGCGCGCACTCCCACAAACTGATCGACGGACATAACGCGCGCGCGCACGACCCGGCCACTCCTGGCTCGCGCCCCTGCTGCCCGCCACGCTCAACAGGTGCGTATATCATCAACACACAGCACGCGGGCACTCCCACAAACTGATCGACGGACATAACGCGCGCGCGCACGACCCCGCGCACTCCTGGCTCGCGCCCCTGCTGCCCGCCACGCTCAACAGGTGCGTATATCATCAACACACAGCACGCGGGCACTCCCACAAACTGATCGACGGACATAACGCGCGCGCGCACGACCCCGCGCACTCCTGGCTCGCGCCCCTGCTGCCCGCCACGCTCAACAGGTGCGTATATCATCAACACACAGCACGCGGGCACTCCCACAAACTGAATAACTGATCGACAGCCACAACGCGCGCGCGCAAATAGATAGACGCCACAGCCCGCCCAGGTACCAGAGGGGTGTCTCCAGACCCACCCCACTCCCTCACCCACCAATCCCCTTTTCACCCTCCAAACCCCTTTTCCTATCTACCAATCTCCTGTGCTCAAAAATATATAGTTTAAGTTATCACTTCTGTCGTGCATCCCGAGATCCTAATTTTTTGGCTAGGAACGGCGTAACGTCACTCTCGCTACCGGCGATTACAACGAAGAAGTGTGAGTGTACTCCTCCCCTCTCATTTCGTGCAGTTCAGAGCCTGGTGAAATGAGCAGGGCCCTGCTATGTGTTTCCGTTTATAGGGAAAAGGAAAAGTCACAAAAAAGTTGGTAAAGCGTGCATAATTGTCAGGTACATTAGTAATCCACATTAATAGTGTACTTTTTCGGCTCCTAATCATTCAAAACACAAAGGGCCCCCTTTGTGTTTTGAATGATTAGGAGCTGAAAAGACAAAACTTTAATGTTGAATTTCTTCTGTTTTATTAAGAATCCGTTAAGTTAAAACGTGAATCGAGAGGTACATTCGGACAAGCTACGATCAGTGTTATTTGTAAGTACTCAGAACGTAATACAGCGGACGGCCCCGCTGGATGGATGAGGCGATTTATCGTAATTTCTATCAAAACGGTTGAGGTACATTGAACCTTGTTAATAAATTCATGAGGTACATTTGGACAAGCAAAGCACTACCACTTCTATTTTAAACTCCGCTAGATAGAATCACATTGGCCCTACTGACTAAAACCACAGACAACACTCCTGCACCAGGTACCCAACACGCAATTTGAGGACCATAGTACGCAGAATGCGTGCAAAAATTGCGAGAGCCCTGGGTATCATAACCGTACACAGCCGGTGAAGTGGGAGCATAGGTCTTTCCAGCTTTGATAGGTTAGCCCGCGAGCGTCATTCAAGCCAGGACCAGTTAGATAGGCGCACATACTACCTTATGTTAATACGTTTTTGGTCCCCCATCTAATGAGCAGCAATTGCTAAATTTGCATAACTTCCATGATGGCAAACCAATCGCAATAACCACCTGCACCATTGAGCTACTCGACTAGGTATATATAGTGTGATTCAAACTTAATGGAGTTGTTATGTAAAGTTAATAATTGTTTGTTACAAATAAAATAATAATGAATATTATATATTTATTTTTTAAGCATTTAAATGCTAGATGTTTAAATCTAAAGATAACTTTACTAGATAAAACTATTTAACGCCTTCCAAAAAAATGCAGCCTCAGAAATACTAGAATAAATTCGACACAGCCATTAAGGTCGCGGTAGCATAATTGGTCAGTGGAGTGGAGTCCCGTCTGCTGCCTGGACCGCGTGATTTTTTTTCTAGCAAAATTTTCTTTCATCAATAATGATTGTCATTATTAAAACGATTATTTATACCCAACAGGGTCTTTTTCGTGTTTGACGTTCCGGTCTCGGTTTACGGTATGAAGATATGGAACTACGGGAAGACACCCACGAGAGGCGTAAAGGAATTCGCCGTACGTAAATAATTTTAAAATATGTACCTATGACTATGAAGTATCGCAATGGAAGAAAAATCACATTTATTAAAGTAGCTTATTATAAGATTATGCACATGTCAATGTTGGCTTTCGTGGTAAAGAAAGTAAGGTATTGGATCAGCTCGCGATTTGTCTAAATGCTCTAAGGTATAACTTGAAATTCGAATCGTGATACCTTTCAAATTAAATTTTTTAAAAAGTACGGTCATATTTTTAACTATAACAACAGGAGATACGTGCTCCACTATTGCTTTATTAAAGTTCTTTTCTATGTAACAACCACTCATTCAGATATATTACAGGTGTTGATGGACGACTTGTTGATATACAACGGAACGCTGGACTGTGCCAAAGCTGACGAAATTATAACGCCGCAATGGATTTGTTTACAAAACCAGGACCAGGATAATGTGTCTCCGAGGTGAGCATTTCTTTTCAACTCCTTGAAAACAACTTATTTGAAATGAGATGGAAGCATTACTCCCGTGAATCATCACTAAAACATGATTTCTAAACTCATCAATCATAAACTAATCTTCAATACTGTCACAACACGCGCACAAACAAAAAAAAATACTTTGCAAAATCAAATATCTGCCAAATAATTCGTCTATCCATTAATTGGGTAAGAAATGTCAAACAGAAATTCCAGCCAATCCCATGACCGACGTATTGATCAAAAAAATTCCGCCCCTCAGCCCACTAGATCGCAGTTTGCGTAGAACCACTTTTTAGCGCAGTTCGTATTCCATATTATTTCTAATTTGTTGGTTGAAAGATATACTTATACTTAAGTTGAAGTTATTTATAGGGGTTGAAATTAGAAAATCATGGTGCTGGGTTTTCGTAGCGACACTATATCATGATTTAACGTGAATCAAAAGTAGCATTCAAATGTTTGTGGTGGCGATAAAAACATAATGGATAAGCTTACCTAATAGAGCCTAAGGTCACTCAGGCAACTAATTGCCTTGATATTATTACGCTATTATAACAATTGTTGCTAAAAATTTAAATCAGAATATTTTTTACGGCGTGCGTTGCACTCGACTATGCCAATATGCGGACATCCGCTCCATACTCCTGCGTAACGCAGCGCAGGCTCTTACTGTACAATGATTATTACAAGAGAAAGAGAGCGCTACAAAAATCACTAGTGTTCAAATATATTTATCTTGCCTTGAGGAATGTGTCATTAGTTTAACTATGTTTTTTTAATTTTAACCATTAATTTGCTCGATATATAAAAATCTAAAGAAAAAAAACGTGCGAGTAACATTTGAAACCTAAATAAATAAAAAAAGAAATAAAACCTACTTCAAAAGGAATAAGCCATTAGAATATTATGTTCTAAAATCAAATCAAATAGCGCGAGCTTTCGCGACTTCCTGTTACACACTTCCGTGCCATTTCACGAAATCACTCCCACAAATTGCAGGAAAACGAGAGGAATGATGTGTACATTAAAAACGAGTGTGCTTATGACCACACGACTGAAGTGAAACTTTTTAGCTCCATATATATATATATATATATATATATATAATGTGTGTGTGTACAAGATATACAAGTATGTACATATACATATTTCATTTACTAGCTGTAAGAGAAAGAGAGAAAGAAAATGTGCACGCGCACTGTTTTCTCTTGCTTATATCCCCCATTCAACTCCCGTTCGCCTCGCCCAATCACACTTTTCGTAACGCGTTCGCCAGTTTACTCTCCAATTCAAGCGAGCGTAAAGAAGTTTCACTTCAAAATTAGAATTTTATTAGAAAAAATCAACTCGGTCAAGGTATTAGGCCACGACAAATAGAGTTAGAATGTCATTATTGAATCCATTTCAGTTCATCGGACATGAGCAATCGTACGACAACGAGAGGGTCGCTCGAGTGCGCGGACCAATCGGCGCGCCCGCACACCAGCGTCAACAACGCGCGTACGCAGCGACCGCACTAAAATGTTCAACTACCGACATTAACTATAAACAATCAAAGTATAAAATCTCTCATCGAGGAAAATATTTTTAAATTTCCTTTTTTGATGTTGTCCTATTGTATTTTAATTTTATGTACACAATTTACCTCGGGATTTAATAAGAGTTGCAGCGAATTTCAACCTGTATGTAACCAACGGAGCGTCCTCATCCTAGTCAAATAACTTACAGATTTGTGCTCTCTAAGCGACTATAGGCTTAGAGCGCTATAGATTATAGTGACTGCTATCAAATAGCTACTTTTTATTTATTAAAAATTCGAAATAGAGCTCATTGTTCGAACATAATAGACTCGAGTGTTATACGAAATGTGAAGAGTGCCCCAGTATAGTGTTTTAGAGAGAGATGGCATGAGGTCAGAGTTAGACAACTAGTGTATTTTGATGTTTAACATTACGAAGTTGGGATCACGTAGTATTTCTCTTTAATCGTTACATAGTTGTTGCTAATCTACTTATTAAAAATATAAGAGGATGAAAACTTGAAAGTTTATTTAATAGTAGAGGAATTAACTTTGTAGATGTCAAGAAGTCCTAAATGAAAGAGCAGTGTATTGAATCTGTTATTGTAAAATCAGTTAAATAATAAACAATTTCAAATGTAGTTATATCCAAATCAAGTATAAGCAAAAATACGATCACTGCTTTAATAATAAAATAATAGATTTGTAAACATTACGAATTTAAAGCAAAGTAAATTAACAATTACATCTTCTATTTTTATTAAAAATTTAGGTTTAGGTGAAACTTATGGTATAATATAAATTTTTGAGCACAACAGATCTAATAAAATCCGGTTATAATGGAATGCAAATATGCTGCGGGATTTATTCATAAAGTTTATTAATTACGTAGACTGCACATGCGCCAAATAGATTATTTTATGACCTTGTTACTGTTCATTCGATCAAATATGTTTAGAGAAGAAAACAGAAAATAATATGTGCTATAAAATAGTTTTAAAAATAAATTGTTGTTGTTCAATTATTTATTTATTGTATGAGCCGTGTACTCGTGAATTCTAGTCAAATTTATGTAGTCATATTGTAATCGTGTAATAATATTACTTTTGTACCAGAATTAAAGGAGTTTCTAAATATATTCATAACTTGTTTTTTTATTGTCTTAGGTCCGTATTACAGAATGACAACTAAGTGTTGATCTTTGTTTGAGTACAGTTAGAAAGGGATGTCGCTATGTGCTATATATAGCGACATCCCTTTCTAACTATGCGCAAGACTAGATCAATCACTGAGAATCTTTCTATAATACAGGCCTTAGAGACACAAGCACAAATTTTGAGAGCTCCGTAATCATATCGTCAAATTAGTATGGAAGAGGCCAGATTCTTCTCACGTTAATTCGTGCTTGGGCCTGAGGTTCAAGTAACGACCAGCGCCGCAATGCACTAGTCAACGGTGTTGGTTTATTTTTGAAAAAAAAATATCAATTAATAATGACAATATAACATTATTTTGACGCATTTATAATCGATTGGATTAAAAAACAAGTAATTGAAACGTTATAATTTCCTGAAACAAATAAAAATACACCAAATATTGCAATATCATTTATTTCTAGATAACTAACAAATCACAGATTTTGTGGCATTGCACTTTGGTTGTCAACAATACGAGTCTTATTTTACACTAACGTCGATAGTTACTTGGGAAAGTGTTGCCATATAAGTATATACATATTAAGTAAATTAATACTTATCGTAAGGAGAGAGGTATGTGTTTTAAGGGCAGTGTAATATGGAACGCGTGACATCAAACAACTTCACGACACGGGTTTTACTTCTTTCTTTTATGATTTATGATCCTTTACATTTGCATGTAAACTAAAGATTTGTCGTTGTCTTATTGAGATTTATGAACATGGTAATACCCAAGTAGTGTTGTAAAACAAAAGTAAGTTTTTCTTCATTAATACCGCTTCAAATGCGGGTATTAAAGGTTCTTTTAATGTACACAAACGTTTACACGTGCACGAGGCAATGCGCATATTAATATGTCGAATAATGACGAGCGAGTCTTACAGTAGTCGCGTATGATGTGTAACATTTAAAACCTCATCTTCATCATCATCATCAGCCTATTAATGTCCCCACTGCTGGGGCACAGGCCTTCCCTATGGATGGAATAGGGAGATTGGGCCATGACCCACCACGCGGGCCCAGTGCGGATTGGTGGGTGCTAACGACTGCAAATGCAGCCGGGACCAACGGCTTAACGTACCTTCCGAAGCACGGAGGAGCTCGAGATAGTAAATTTTTGGTCACCCATCCAATGACCGACCACTGCGAAAGTTGCTTAACTTCAACGATCGCAGCCGAACGCGCTAGCCACCTGCGCCATCGAGCTCCTCGTCCTCATCTTATATTATTAAAAAAAAGAAATAAAACCTACTACAAAAGGAATAAGGTATTTGCACATTGTTCTATAATCAAATCAAATAGCGCGCGCTTTCGCGACTTACTGTTACACACTTCCGTCCCATTTCACATAATCGCTCCCAAAAATTGCAGGAAAGCGAGAGGAAACATGTTACACATCAAAAAGTACGGTTTGGTACTAACAAAAAGGATCGCGTTTGTGGCTCAAAACCTGTGTCGCAGGATATTCTCACTTAAAATATTAAACGGTCTATACAGAAACAAGTAAACATTTCAATCAAACATATTTTGCCATCGTTATAATTTGAACGCATCGCATATAAAATATTGTATTCACCAAGTTGGTTGGTTTAAAATAAACTTAACAAATAAAAGACATGGTTCAACTTTGAATAGAGCATGGTAGTCAGTCTCCGGCAGGCTCCAAAATTTTTTGACATTAAGTCCCGTGACTTAATTATAAGTCATTTGACAAAAAACGAATTCATTTTATCACCGTTTTTTAATAATAATTAAAAAAAAAAATAACATAATTATTGGTTGGCCAATGGCAAGTTTATTTATGTATTGTTTGTTGCCAAAGCATCAAATATATTAAGTTCAATAGATAACTAAAGCAGTGATAATTAATCAGTTCATCTCTCATTCTATTATTAGGTATTTTGTGGGTGAGAAGTATCGACCATAAATTGGAAGAATAATTTCACCACGATTTCACGGATATCATGTATGACTGAACTTTTGAAATTTAAATTGAGTTGACATTATGAGCTGCTACAGACTAGCAATATGACGTCACTTTTGAACGGGTGGCCTGACCTTACGAAACTGTTAAATTTTCAAACGCGATTTCAAATTATTCGGATACAATTAAAAAAAAAAATATCTGTTCATGTTATTACACAAAACAAGCTTTCAAATGATTATGTTGCAGCACTGCCGGAAACCTCCTTTGGTTCAGATATATGGAAATAAGAGATAATACTTTAAAATACCTGTAATGAATTTAAGCGAGGTCTCTACTAAAATGACTAATTACTTGTTTGTACTCTATACAAGCAACTAATACGATAGTTGAAAAACGGTTTTTGTTACGGAACTAACAATTTGATAAAAGTATTATTTCATCATAATACGGAGAGCAAAGATTACATCTTTACACAATCTAACTAAAATATAAGGCATTACTATACAATACAAATCTAAAATCATTACCTGATTAACAGATGGCTTTCAAAGGGATTGTGCGTCTAAAGTCTATATAATTATTATGCGATTCTCAACCTTAAAAGTATCAGTACAAGACGCACAATCTTCGCATCAGTTCATTGAGACTTTCGTTCAAGTCTTGTAACAATTCAACTGAAGAAGTAGACGGAATCTAGAACGCTCTTCAGATCGAAAGTCCCTTTGCCGGGTACTTTCTGTAGAATCGTGTTGACGCGTTTCTTATTCGCAGCTCCCATCGACTGATCACTCAGTTCACTGTAAAAGACATTGTGTGTTAGATCAAATTGAGCTTAACATTACTCGCATTAAATCTGCGTTAGTGGATACAATAGAGTACTAGCTGTCCCAGCGATCCCACTTTGGTACCGTATAAAAAAATAGTGGTTGGTGGTACGAGGGTTGATGTATCATAAAAAAATAAAAATAAAAAAATTGTCCAAAAAAAAATTTAAGGGTATTAACATTTAGTTACATTACCCTTAACATTTATGGGGATGAAAAATTGATGCTGTCCGATTATCAGACCTACTGAATATGCATATAAAATTTCACGAAAATCGGTCGAGCCGTTTCGGAGTAGTTCAATTACGCACACCATGACACGAAAATTTTATATGTTAGGATTTGAAAATATAGTACCATTTGTTGGCATCTGTATTGAGAATGAATGTTGGCAAGGGTTTTTACTATTTTTATTACAGAAAACAATATTTTTTCTATTGTTAATGTGACCGAATTTCTCTGGGTTGAATGAAGATGAAGTCACCCACGAAAACTTCCGGGCAAACTGACATTAGTTGTGCTGTTTGACGTTTAATTGACAGCCGCGTGACATTGCACACAGGTAAACACACTATAATACCGAGGGAAACGTTTAAGCTGCATAACTAAGCAGATTTTTTGATTTTGTTTTTTAATGAAATACACAACAGCATATTATATAACCAATTTTATGCAGTCCATAAACACTAATAAAAACGTATTCAAAAAGTGGTCAAACACCCTATTATCGCCTTTATTACGAAGCGATAAGAGCAATAATATTTAAAGCCTAATGGCATACGCTACCATGGCGTCTGTAACATAAAACGTTGTTATCATTTTTTGTATTAATTACCTTTCAGAATAACTATATCGTTGCACCAAGAATTTGGATAAGTCGTCCAAAATCGGTTGCGAGTGTAGCGCCACAAATTCCTCGCGACATATCTGTAAATAAAACATAGCAATTATACTTTATTCAAGTAAAGGGCCTAGTAAAAGTTTTTCTGTAATTGTTCACTCCTAGCAGTAATTGCCCTCCTGCTCATGAACTAGTACCAGTACACTCATAAGGGTGGTTGTTGAAAAAGAATGGTCAAGTGAGAGTCCCAACTTTTTGATTCATGAGACACCAGTGGAGGAATAAATCGAAGTTGCTCGGGCCGCCAGATTTCAAAATGTCCTGCTTACAGACCACCTATGGAGCGGATCATTCCGCTGCCGTAGAGCGCGGAGTCCTGGGGGCCATCGCCTAACGGGCTTGCTATGGCTATCGCTATCGCTTACGATTTCATTTTGTCATTTCTGACAGTCGAAGATTCTTAAATGCCTCACGTTAGTTTTCTTATTTTGCATTGGTAATAACAATCTTATAGAAAATGAGCGTGAGGTATTTGAAAACCCCCGGTGGTCAGAAATAAGAAAATGAAATCGTAAGCGATAGCGATAGACATAGCAATCCCTGTAGGCTATGACCCCCTTTTTTTTGTGACGCGGGCAATAACTCTGTTTACAGACGACGGCACCTTTAAGAGGCACACCGCCGAGCGGACCTCACACCTAGTTCCCGCAAACCTTACGAGCCCCTACATTGGCTGCCCACTGAGGATCCCTCTTGATCCCTCTTGAGATAACTCTTACGGGCGCTTTACGGCATAATATCCGCTAAAAAACCCTGCGAATACCCTCTAAGCTGCTTAGTGCGAAACCGCGGGATCTCCGTTTAGGGATTCTTCCGCATCTCCGCACCCAGCAGCCTCCCGGGGCTCAACGGCAGGGATCTCCCGAGGTATTGCGGGGACTCCGCAGACGTGTGCAGGATGGCCCGCGCGTGGGAGCTGAATACGCGGCCTAGTGCCCACCGTACCGCCCCCCGTCCGCTGCGGAGGAATACTTGAGCGTGCCCGTGTAGGTAGGTAGTGAGGCTATTGACCCCCTGAAAATGCAAAAATGCAGCCTCCGCTTATTTATCGGTATCCCACGAGTGTATTGTGCGTTGACATCATCAGTCCAGGGGTCGGCATGGAATTCTAGCTGTGAAAGGAATATAGACGCCCGCCCAGCGCCCGGCTACCAGCCCCGCGATACCTAAGACTGTATAGGACGGTGACGTCACAGTACGTGCCTGGTTCATGGTGTCCACGGTGTCGGGGTGCGTCCAGAAGCAGTCGTGCACGGACACGAAGGTAAGGCCGCGCGCCTGGCAGTGCAGCCCCGTCAGCATCATGTGCGACGAGTCCAGAGAGTGGATGAAGTTTGGTGGAAAAGCGTTGCGCTGCTTCATTGTGCACGGCCGTCTACACAAACCAACATTCAATCAAAATTAAACACAATACCCACTCTGCGCGTCGAGCTTCGCGCTGCTGGCGTGCATAGTCGGGTTATAACAATGACTTTAAACAAGTGGCGTTGTTTCTATTCGTTTTAACGCAATGCATCCAGCGAGTGGATGAAGTTTGGCGGGAAAGTGTTGGTGTTCGGGTACACCAAATCAGTTATCGGCCTTACTGTTGTCACAAACGCTCTCGAAACAAAACCGCGAATATACTAGACAGAATTTATGCAGAATTAGCTTTATGCAGTGCGGTGTAAGGGAGAAAGTGCACCGACTTCTACACTTGTTTACAACTTATGCGCGTTACCTACGCAGGTATAAGTAGGTACTACGCACTTGTAGGTGCTAGTTAACTCTCAATTTAACGGGACTTTTCTAGAATGCGTCGATTGGCTTATATAAGCGCGATCAGTGCCGCGCAGAGACCGGAACCTACCACTCTGCTACGGAGGTCGTCGAATTTAGACTGACCGATTTAAGAGATGAATCTGGTTATGTGTTATATTGTGAGGTTAGTTTTTGTTTGAGGTTAGGAATCAATCTACGGTTTGTTAGGCCGTTCGGTAATAGCAATTTTAAATTAATAACAGATTAATCTGTGATCACGTGGCGAAAAATCTGTCGCCTCTACGATGCAAATACCGAATGTAGCTGATGTGTGACGCCATTTTAGGCTCCGCCAACGTCGCGGAAGACGTTTTCAGTCACGTGACAATTGATCAAAAAATACTGTTCCATTTCATGATTTTTAGTATTTGCTTCTTAGGTTTTCACGCACACCACTTATTAAATAAAACAAGTTTCAACGGTATAGATGCATTGATTTATTTATTTATTGACGGAAATGATGCAAAATGTCAATAAATAAATCAGTGCATCTTTGATTTTTAATAATATTATCAAATCCTCTTTTTTGTACAGAATAGTGAAATATCTTCCAATATTCATGTTATATTAGCATGCCAAAATTTTTACTTTATTTTTCATTCTGTCAAATAGCCATTGGTTAGTGGTGATTGAGGAATCTTGTATGGTGGATCTATGGTAGTGGATTAGTCGTGGTTTTGTATACGTACTGCTGAAGGTCTAGAGGCGCGCGACAGGCGTTGGTGGAGTTAGTGGATGCAGGGCGACGATAGTAGGGCTGCACCACCGGCAGTCCTAGTGGAGTCACCCATTCTACACTGTCGCCGCATACGCCCGATATCATCCTGTAACATTATATGTTATTATATTTTTGAAGTGAAACTTCTTTAGGCACGCTTGACTTGGGTGTTAAACTGGCGAATGTGTTACGATTTCGCGTTACGATTTGTGTCATCGGTGCTTCATCGGTAAACAATAAACGATACCCGTCACAAAATACATGATGCATGACAATGGACCCAGTGCGGTTTGGTGGGTGATAACGGACCCAGCGCGGATTGGTGGGTGATAACGGACCCAGTACGTATTGGTGGATAATAACGGACCCAGCGCGGATTGGTGAGTAATAATGGACCCAGCGCGAATTGGTGGGTGATAACGGACCCAGCGCGGATTGGTGGGTGATAACGAACCCAGTGCGGATTGGTGGGTGATAACGGGCCCAGTGGAGATTCGTGGATGATTACGGACCCAGTGCGGATAGGTGATAACAAATCTTCAGGTTAAATGTACTGGGGATCTTTTTGAGTATGCTACCCACTTATGGAGTGAAGCCATAGAGAAACGCGGCGAAGCTCTCGCCGTTTCTCTTGATATTTTGAAGGCTTTTGACAGGGTCTGGCATGCAAGTCTCATCGGCAAGCTTCTTTCATATGGAATCGCTGTCGGACTTTGCAACTGGATTGCGGATTTTCTGAGGGGATCTCCTTGGTATTAATGCCGGTGTCCCTCAGGGATATATTCTCTCCACAACTCTATTCTTGCTGCACATCAATGATCTGCTCGTAACTCCCGGTATCTTTAGGTACGCAGACAGCACAGTCTCGGAGAGATATCTGCCTGATGTGAAGTCTGATGCAGATGTCCGATCATTAAGGGAGGCGATGGTGGAGGGAGTTAATGCAACCGTGGAAGCTGTATCCCTCTGGGATGAAGCTAACTTGGTTGGATTCAATTCCTCTAAAACAAAGGCGTGTCTCTTCTCGGCGAAACGGAGTCCATTCCATCTAACTCCGACTTTCCGAAATGTCTCCGTGCCGGTTAAAGACCATCTCGAGCTCTTGGATCTGGACATCTCATCCAGCCTCAATTTCGGTCGCTACATCGAGTCCATTGCTAAAACCGTTGCCAAAAAACTTGGAATACTTTCTAAGGTCAGGCGATATTTTACATCTGAGCAGCTCCTTAACCTTTACCGAGACCAAGTTCGCTCCTGCTTGGAGTACTGTTGTCACCTTTGGGACGGATCTGCTCGGTATCAGCTGGATGCACTGGACTCGGTGAAGCACCGTGCGAGACTCATAGGAAATGACGCTCTCGTTGAGGCTAATCTCCAGACCCTTGATCACTGAAGACGTGTAGCTTGCCTCTCGGTGTTTTATCGGCTACATTTCGGAGAGTGTGCGGAGGTATTACATAATTTGATCCCGTCTTCCCCATTCCACCACCAGACGACCAGGCGCGGCGAGGGCTTTCACCCTTATGTTGTCGAAGTCCCTCCCATTCGCACGAAGCGATTTGCTACCGCTTTCATTATGCGAACGGCTAGGGAGTGGAACTCCTTGCCGACGTCTGTTTTCCCGGACCAATATAATCTGGACATCTTCAAGGCCACAGTGAACAGGCATCTTCTAGGCAGGCGTGTACCATCCTAGGCCTCATCATCGCTTTCCATCAGGCGGAGTGTGGTCAAACGCCTTGCATATGAAGCATAAAAAAAAATATTAAAAAAAGTTTCGCGCACCGAGGGTTCCATAGAAACCTGTAGACACCTACATTTTAATAATTATTAAAAAAAACTTTTTATTATATGATGTAACTAAAAATTTACGAAAACCGTAAATTTTTAGTTACATCATACAATAAAAACTGCCTGGGGCGCGTTTGAGTTGGATGATTGTGGACGGCGTTTGTTAAGTGTTTGTTGTTTGCAGCAAATAACAAGCACGTGGAGCCCGCTAATGACTATCGTCCGTTGAGGAACTAGAAAGTAGTCTTACAAACTATTGTATAATCAAAACACCACTCAACAAGCCTAGAATTTGGCACAATCCGTGAACCAGTCCTGTATGAGCTTGGTGAAGGTGAACATCTCCCGTAGACTGTCGAATGTCTTCACGGTGAGGTAATGTGAGCATGACCACACATGCTAAAATCGACCTTATATATATGTTACTAACTTGGCACAATCCGTGAACCAGTCCTGTATGAGCTTGGTAGAGGTGAACATCTTCCCTAGGCTCTCGAATGTCTTCACGGTGAGGTACTGCGAGCACGGCCACACATGGTCTTTGGGGAAATCCTCGATATCTGTGGTTGATAATAACAAACCTCAGAACAGGAACTAAAGCATAGAAAGAGTAAATTCATCTTCTATAGTCGACTCATAAAGTTATCCTATTTTACATATAGACCAGAAAAGAGACAAATATATGTTCCTATGAACAGCGTGCGTAACATATACAAACGTCAAATTAGATATCTTTGGCCTTTGTATGGCTTGATACGATACCGAATCAAAGAGCGATCTAATGTCAAATGCAACCTGCCAACACGCTACTAATACTTTTTGGTTGGGTAATACGTATAGTCTATGCGGAAGTGTACGCTCAAACGTCATAAGCATTACTTATGCTTTAGTTCCTGTTTCGAGTAACAAACGTAACAATCTTCTAGTTTGTCATATTTTGATATTTTTTTTCCATTAAAATTCCATTTCTTTAGATTTAAACAACTAGCAATGAAATGCTTAATATATAAAGTCTATATATATCTTCTTCTCTATCTATCTTATAGTTCTTTGGCTGACGTTATTTAGTAAAGGAAAAACTTATCAAAAGCAATTTTATCTTTTATTTCAGACATTACGTAAACAGGAAATCTTGTCTCAATAATAAATCTAAGTAAAATAGTCTGAGTTACTACATGCGTGATTATTATGATGATCATACATGTTTTTAGGGTTCCGTACCTCAAAAGGAAAAAACGGAACCCTTTTAGGATCACTTTGTTGTCCGTCCGTCCGTCTGTCCGTCTGTCAAGACTGTTTTTCTCAGGAACTCATGGAGGTATCAAACTGAAATTCATATCTAAAACTCATGTCCCGTGGAGCTGTTCTTCAAATCAAACTTCTAAGCCAAAGCAATCAAAAGATACAGCCGTTAATGCCGCAAATTTTCGAAACTCGCACGAGAATCAAAACCTACAGGGTACTTCCCGTGAACTGAGAATCTTCAAATTTGGTACGAAGAACGTCTTATAGTACAGATAAAGGAAAAATTGCGAAAACCGTAATTTTTTAGTTACATCATATAATAAAAAAAAAACCTCTCTAGTACCTCTTTACTCATCAACGCGTAGAGGTATTAAATTGAGTTTGTACGGAACCCTCGGTACGCGAGTCCGACTCGCAATCGGCCGGTTTGTTTTTGTAAAAGAAATGTATTTCACTTTAATTTTCTTGTGTTTCTTTGGTAAGTGTTGCAGGTTGTTTCAACTATTACATTCAATCACTGTGGGCAATGGGATAGCGAACAATATTAATATTACATCAATAAAGTGTGACAATTAGAGTATTTTTTATAAAATATAAATATTTATACTACTTTACTTCGTGACCCGGGTATATATAGTGTAAAGGTCACTATCAGCCAATTTGATTCCTGACCAACTTAAGCTTATTTTCTTTGAACCTTTTCAAAACAGAAGGTATATTTTTGCTTAAATGTACGTATCCCTGAAAATTAACTTATTTTTTAGACGTGATAGATTTTGCAACCTTCCTGTGACATAATTTTGACAATAACTTATTTGGAATTTCGCTCATAGATTAAAGATTTTCCTATTATTTTACCAACGTCTTCATGTTTTCAAGAAATCGAAAGAGTTTCTTTTAAATTTATGATTTAAAAAGTGATTTCGAAATATAAACTACCTAGTGAAATTCTATCTATAAGATGGTCTATTCAACAGACTCTAATGCATCTTAATAAAGGTCAAAAAGATCTTTGATCCATATAAACACAGTTTCCTTGTCATTTGAAGCGCCTAAGTGCAATTACGCATTCTCTACAAAGGAAAACTTGTCTGTCTTTATATTTTTAAGCGAATCATCTGGCAAGTGTGTCAAGAATGAATTGGGTTAATCGTTCTATTAGGTCCTTACATAATATGATATTGGCGTTTTGTATGGGAGGGAATATAGTCTTCTTTTTTTGTAAAATATATTTAATTAATCAAAGTATGCAACGTTGTTATTTATGTACTTTTGTCATCTCATAGTTCATTGATCCCTTTACTAAAAACCATGGGAGCGAGAATCAATAAACTATTTGAAGGCGGTTTGGACTGCCGCATCGGAGTTGAATTATTTTCCTTGTAAAAAGTTGTCCAAATTCAGGAAATAAAGGTTGTAAATATAGTATCTTTCCCATGTTTCTTGCTCACCTTTGAGTTGTTTCGCAATCTGCAGCCTAGCACCGAACTTGGTGACACCGTACACAGTGGTCATGACTGTCTGCTTGATCACTTTCCGACGCACGAAGTTCTCCAAGATTATTGCGGGTTGTATGCCAGCAGCCGCATCTCGTTTGCGCATTTCTTCTACCTGTGTATAATTAACTTAGTATTTAATATATTTTTAATTTTAAAGTTTTGACTGCTTTGACTATATATTACTAGAAAAAAAAACTTTTTTTAATAGTGAACAGGCAGTATATAATTCAAATCCAGTTGGAGAAATTCGAATTAAATCGTGTTTGGTATCTTAACCGTAACTGTCTGTACGGTAATAAATATACATTAAAGACCTATAGGGATGATGATGGGGTAAAATAAAAGTGTCATAGTTTGGGAGTGGGGCTCGTGACGTCACTTCTAAGTAAAAATTGTACCAGGACGTGACGCCATGCCACATTTCAAAACAATATATCTCTGTCACATTTTAATGATATGTGGAAAAAGAAAAAATACGTACGTTTGATAATGTACCTGAGTCATCATTCCTATTGTTACATACATGCTCATTGAACGAGCTGACATTTTATTCATACTGTTTGCAGATAAGCGTATAAGATAAGCCAGCTGATGGAATAGTCATCATCACAATCTATCGTTAGTACAGAAAAAACTTAGTTTTTGGCAACCGTGCCTTTATTTTTGCTAATTTAATGTTGGTCTTTCGGTTTAGAAATATTATAGTTCTTAGTACGAACTTCCTTTTCGGAAGATATGGCGGATGGGGGCTAGGCATCAAATTTCGTCACATACTAGCGAGGCGGGCTGCTAGGCAGCTGGGTGGATACCTAGTTGGGCGATTAGTGTCGGCGGTAGCTGTGTACTTGGTTTGAAGTTTTGATTAATAGTTTGTTGGAATCGGGGGATCGAGCCTCTCACCAAGCGGCTCTAGTGCGGGGCCGAATACATTTGTTTTTTGATGGAGTAGGGATATTTTCAGGTCGCTGTAGGTCATGACTCGCCACGCAGGCCCATTGGTGGGTGGTATATAAATATTTTTAACTTCGTTCCAACCGAGTGTTTTTTTGTCGGTGAACGCTCCTATAGGGGGTTAGAGGTTACTTTGATTGCGCTACAATCAGACAACACACCAATTTTACAATCGTTAAACTTAGTTAAAAGTTGCAGTCATAATACACGCGCGCGCCTAGTCTCCCCCAGCACCGGGTAGTGCCGCAGCCCGCCACACGCCGCGTCCTGGCGCCACTATACTCACGAGTGCAGCGACCGCGTTGTACACGTCGCGCGGGCGGTCGGCGGGCGCGAGGTTGACGGCACACGCTCCCGCCTCGTCTCCCCCCAGCGCCGCGCAGTGCCGCAGCCCGCCACACGCCGCGTCCTGGCGCCACTATACTCACGAGTGCAGCGACCGCGCTGTACACGTCGCGCGGGCGGTCGGCGGGCGCGAGGTTGACGGCACACGCTCCCGCCTCGTCTCCCCCCAGCGCCGCGCAGTGCCGCAGCCCGCCACACGCCGCGTCCTGGCGCCACTATACTCACGAGTGCAGCGACCGCGTTGTACACGTCGCGCGGGCGGTCGGCGGGCGCGAGGTTGACGGCACACGCTCCCGCCTCGTCTCCCCCCAGCGCCGCGCAGTGCCGCAGCCCGCCACACGCCGCGTCCTGGCGCCACTATACTCACGAGTGCAGCGACCGCGTTGTACACGTCGCGCGGGCGGTCGGCGGGCGCGAGGTTGACGGCACACGCTCCCGCCTCGTCTCCCCCCAGCGCCGCGCAGTGCCGCAGCCCGCCACACGCCGCGTCCTGGCGCCACTATACTCACGAGTGCAGCGACCGCGCTGTACACGTCGCGCGGGCGGTCGGCGGGCGCGAGGTTGACGGCACACGCTCCCGCCTCGTCTCCCCCCAGCGCCGCGCAGTGCCGCAGCCCGCCACACGCCGCGTCCTGGCGCCACTATACTCACGAGTGCAGCGACCGCGTTGTACACGTCGCGCGGGCGGTCGGCGGGCGCGAGGTTGACGGCACACGCTCCCGCCTCGTCTCCCCCCAGCGCCGCGCAGTGCCGCAGCCCGCCACACGCCGCGTCCTGGCGCCACTATACTCACGAGTGCAGCGACCGCGTTGTACACGTCGCGCGGGCGGTCGGCGGGCGCGAGGTTGACGGCACACGCTCCCGCCTCGTCTCCCCCCAGCGCCGCGCAGTGCCGCAGCCCGCCACACGCCGCGTCCTGGCGCCACTATACTCACGAGTGCAGCGACCGCGCTGTACACGTCGCGCGGGCGGTCGGCGGGCGCGAGGTTGACGGCACACGCTCCCGCCTCGTCTCCCCCCAGCGCCGCGCAGTGCCGCAGCCCGCCACACGCCGCGTCCTGGCGCCACTATACTCACGAGTGCAGCGACCGCGCTGTACACGTCGCGCGGGCGGTCGGCGGGCGCGAGGTTGACGGCACACGCTCCCGCCTCGTCTCCCCCCAGCGCCGCGTAGTGCTGCAGCCCGTTGCACGATCCGTCTTGGTGCACGGGGAACGCGCACATGTACTCTGTGCCCAATGATAAATTCATAGTGTTACTAGGAAATCGAAAAAATTAAGATAATGTTCATAGACTAGATCAGCTCATTAAGTCTGATTTGCTTATATTGCAAAATAATTCTTGAAGCTAAAATCTATGTCGAGACATAATAATATACGACATATACAAATAGAGTGAACAATTCATATGGTAATAGATAGGGGCGACGACGGGGTAATGTAAACGAAATTCGATATATGTATTCTATCCGTTACCCTAGTATCCCATAACACAAGCCTTCAGTACTTACTAGGCTAATTGGTGTGTGTTGGAAATATTTTTGTTATTTATTTTATTAAGTAGATGGTAAAAGCTTAATTTTATAGTAATACTTACCCTCAGGGTTAGGCGAGCGGACAGCGTTAGCTATCTCCATACAACACGCGAGCGTCTGCCACGGCTCTTCAGATTTCATCCACCACCCTTGGCCGTTCAGCGGCCGGTCTGCCGAGTCTAGAATCTTATTGATTATCTTCTCTGCATGTTGTAGCCTGAACAATAAATATTTAGGTTCGTAGTGTTATGGTAGATATGGCTGTATAAAAGAAATTGTTTTATTGGAGACGTTCAAGAAATTAACAAGTTATCTGATTTATAATGCGTCAAATTTTTTTATGAATGTGACAAAAATTGGAACTAACTACGTATACGTCATATTTTGCATGTCATTTACGCAGACAGTAGCGCCCTTCCCGAACGGTCTCTCACTTTTACAAAGATCTTTGATGTACTGTATTCATTATTTTGTCAAACTGAATCAGTACATTCAATATGAAAAAAAAAAAAGTTGCTTTTTAAACTAATAGCGATACACCTGTCCATGTCAGTGTTCCCGGACGTTTGAGAGGGCTGAACTCCAAAATCTGTTTAAACTATGAACATTTAAAATGGTACTTCGAGCCAGATCTAAATAAAAAAAAACGAGCGAGCCTTACAGTAGTCGCGTATTATGTGTAACATTTGAAACCTCACCTTATATTAGTAAAACAGTAATAAAACCTAATACAACAGCAATAAGCCATTTGAAAATTATGTTCTAAAAGCAAATCAAATAGCGCGCGCTTCCCAAACTTCCTGTTACACACTTCCGTCCCACTTCACGTAATCACTCCCACAAATTGCACGAAAGCGAGAGGAAAGATGTTACACATCAAAAAGAAACAGTAACTAACCTTTCATCTACAGTATGTCGTTTGAATTCACCGGTAAGATTGATAGCGTGCAGCTTCAACCAGCGAAGCCCCCGTGGCCCCAAAGGCTGTGGTTTAGCGAACTTCAGAAGAGCCCTAGCACTGTCCGCTCCTAGAGCTGATACATGCGGCGGGCAAGCGTATACGCGGCCTCGGAAGTCCATATTGTGAGGCAGCCAAAACATACAGTCCCTGTTGAAAAAAACGAGTGTGCTTATGACCACACGACCAAAGTGAAAATTCTTTAGCTCCATCTGTATGTATATAATTTTTATATATATATGTGTGTGTGTGTACAATATATACATGTATGCACATATACATATTTCATTTACTAGCTATAAGAAAAAAAAAAAAGAAAATGTGCGCACACTGCTTTCCCTTGCTTATATCCCCCACTCAACTCCCGTTCGCCTCGCCCGAACACAGTTTTCGTAACGCGTAACGCATTCGCCAACTTACCCTCTAAGTCAAGCGTGCGTAAAGAAGTTTTACTTTAAAAATATTTTGATGTCTCGATAACGAAACGGGATATATTGACGTGAGACACCGACACTTCATTTGGCTTTTTGTTAACTTGACAAAAGTCTGTCCTTGTCATGCTCTTTATGGACTGAAAAGGACAGACTGATGTCAAATTTGCAAATAGCAAACACAAATAGCCAAGTGTAGTGCTGGCATGATGATTAAATGTTTTGTTCGGAATCGAGTATTGTTGGTGCCTGAGCTTAGTGGATGTTGAAATGATAAAATTGTTACTGAAAATTACGAGTTTCTTACTTGTTCACAAATGTTCTTAAAAATACTACAATAATGTTAGTATTATGTTAATGAGTGCATCCGCATAGGCGTCGAAATCTGCACTCATTTTTATTTTTCACTGTGCACCGCGGCTAATGACCTAAATTAGGCCAGGCGCGCTGTGACGGTAATGTCAAATGTTGTCAATTATTGTAAATTTGCAAAATATAAATGATCGGCTACTGCACCGAAGAAGTATAGTACTTTTCCGTTAAAACAATTTTTACACTTTTTGACGTAGTTCAACTTCAGATGGCTTTACGTGCCGAAATAATTATTTTCAAATGAGTTATGCTTTGATGCAGTAGCTAATTTTAAAGAAAGTAGAACTGCACATCTGTCAGAATAAAAAAACTGCAAATCTTAATAAAAATGAGTTATTTCAACCGAAGATTGTTGAGGTTATGCGCTATTGTAATTTAATTAGAGAAAAGAAAAAATAATAATAAGCAAAATGTGAATGTGGAGATATTATCACTACACAGTATAAATCAAAGTCGCTTCCCGCTGTCTGTCCCTATGTATACTTAGATCTTTAAAACTATACTTTTAACAAGAAATAATAGATTATTTACGAAGCGATTTTCAGCAATATAACATTCATCTTTATCCAATCAAGTACCTTAAATTTAATTTACATTGTGCATTTAATATAGACCAATTTGGCCCTTTAACGCATGTACTTTAAATGAATATTTTCGAAGATATTACAGATTTAAAATGCAGGATCATAGCGGTTCCGACGCTACCGGGCGGAGGGCTTGGCGGCGCGTGCCTATTGTAATTAGGTATTAGAAGAATGTCATTGTGTTTAATACAAGCCTGAGAACAAAAACTATAGTCTACACTACAGCTCTACACCGAAGCGAAGCGAGGGCGGGCCACTAGTTTTTTTTAAAACAAAGTACATACTATAAAGACTAGTTGACTAACACTATTTATATAACGTACCTGTAATGGTTGGCTAGGGAAAGTTTGTACAGCGCGTCGCACCACAGCGAGTGCATTTCCGCTCGCGCGCGGCTTATAGCGATCCGTCGCTTGAACACGGCCGACGCGTCCGTTTCAGCGCCGAACACTGACGTGTCTAACGCCGACGCGGGCGGGGGAATGTCCAACTTTTTATTACCACCCGACCTGATACCGGCAAGGAGAACAAAAGGTTTATTACAATCCATATATCATCAATATATCCAACGCTATACTTAATTAATAACTCCAAAGCGATAATATAATTGAGGAGCTGGCGAACAAAATGGTATAACTACATAAAATTAAATTTTACAAGAGCTGTATAAATCCGAATGACTTACCTACAGTGAGTTTTTGTCATGGTTTTTAATTTATAAATTTTGAAATTTTAACACTGTTTTAGGCGGTTTTGATTGAAAACTATTTGAGATTCAAATTTAACGGGCCAGAAACCTCCGGCCTGTAAAAAAAGTAGTTTGACCAGATGCGTAATTATACCCTTTTGTTCGCTAGCTCCTCAATTATCATCAATTTATAACCATCGCTTGAACACGGCCGACGAGTCCGTTTGTCATCTCGATTTGTTGTTAAGGGCAATTCGACACTTGCGCCAATGGCGGGATAAATTGGTAGTTTTCTTCCCCATTGCCATAAATATTTCGTTTACCTGAATACTTTAAGCTGAATATCTAGTACAGGCTGGTTGATAGTCCAGGGCACCTCGCCGAGCTGGTTGAGGCTGTCCAGCACGGGGAACAAGGCGGCGGGCGGCGCTTCTTCCAACCGCTTCCATTGCGTCGTCACGTTATACGCCATTCTAAACAAAGTAAAGAAGCAATTGAATTTTACGGAACTCTCTCTCGGATATATTGTATCTTTACAATGAGGGGTTTTAATGCAATTGGCACCAGTTGGCACTTCCTATGAAATAAGTTTTTTTTTAGCCTCCCTTAACTCCAAGGGAGCAGATGTCACGATCACAGTCGCGGTTTTATTTTTGGTTCACCATAGCGTGTTGGCGATGTCGTATTTTTGATTATCTGTTTTGTTTTGAGTACAGATACGAGTTTGGTTAAAAAGGCGATGGGGGCAGGCGCACCTGACGAGCGGCGTGGGTGTGAGCAGGTAGGCTGGTGCGCGCGCGTCATACATCACACAGGGGGCGGGCGCACCTGACGAGCGGCGTGGGTGTGAGCAGGTAGGCTGGTGCGCGCGCGTCATACATCACACAGGGGGCGGGCGCACCTGACGAGCGGCGTGGGTGTGAGCAGGTAGGCTGGTGCGCGCGCGTCATACATCACACAGGGGGCGGGCGCACCTGACGAGCGGCGTGGGTGTGAGCAGGTAGGCTGGTGCGCGCGAGTCATACATCACACAGGGGGCGGGCGCACCTGACGAGCGGCGTGGGTGTGAGCAGGTAGGCTGGTGCGCGCGAGTTATACATCACACAGGGGGCGGGCGCACCTGACGAGCGGCGTGGGTGTGAGCAGGTAGGTTGGTGCGCGCGCGTCATACATCACACAGGGGGCGGGCGCACCTGACGAGCGGCGTGGGTGTGAGCAGGTAGGCTGGTGCGCGCGCGTCATACATCACACAGGGGGCGGGCGCACCTGACGAGCGGCGTGGGTGTGAGCAGGTAGGCTGGTGCGCGCGAGTCATACATCACACAGGGGGCGGGCGCACCTGACGAGCGGCGTGGGTGTGAGCAGGTAGGCTGGTGCGCGCGAGTCATACATCACACAGGGGGCGGGCGCACCTGACGAGCGGCGTGGGTGTGAGCAGGTAGGCTGGTGCGCGCGAGTCATACATCACACAGGGGGCGGGCGCACCTGACGAGCGGCGTGGGTGTGAGCAGGTAGGCTGGTGCGCGCGAGTCATACATCACACAGGGGGCGGGCGCACCTGACGAGCGGCGTGGGTGTGAGCAGGTAGGCTGGTGCGCGCGAGTCATACATCACACAGGGGGCGGGCGCACCTGACGAGCGGCGTGGGTGTGAGCAGGTAGGCTGGTGCGCGCGAGTTATACATCACACAGGGGGCGGGCGCACCTGACGAGCGGCGTGGGTGTGAGCAGGTAGGCTGGTGCGCGCGAGTCATACATCACACAGGGGGCGGGCGCACCTGACGAGCGGCGTGGGTGTGAGCAGGTAGGCTGGTGCGCGCGAGTCATACATCACACAGGGGGCGGGCGCACCTGACGAGCGGCGTGGGTGTGAGCAGGTAGGCTGGTGCGCGCGCGTCATACATCACACAGGGGGCGGGCGCACCTGACGAGCGGCGTGGGTGTGAGCAGGTAGGTTGGTGCGCGCGAGTCATACATCACACAGGGGGAGGGCGCACCTGACGAGCGGCGTGGGTGTGAGCAGGTAGGCTGGTGCGCGTGCGTCATACATCACACAGGGGGCGGGCGCACCTGACGAGCGGCGTGGGTGTGAGCAGGTAGGCTGGTGCGCGTGCGTCATACATCACACAGGGGGCGGGCGCACCTGACGAGCGGCGTGGGTGTGAGCAGGTAGGCTGGTGCGCGCGAGTCATACATCACACAGGGGGCGGGCGCACCTGACGAGCGGCGTGGGTGTGAGCAGGTAGGCTGGTGCGCGCGCGTCATACATCACACAGGGGGCGGGCGCACCTGACGAGCGGCGTGGGTGTGAGCAGGTAGGCTGGTGCGCGCGCGTCATACATCACACAGGGGGCGGGCGCACCTGACGAGCGGCGTGGGTGTGAGCAGGTAGGCTGGTGCGCGCGCGTCATACATCACACAGGGGGCGGGCGCACCTGACGAGCGGCGTGGGTGTGAGCAGGTAGGTTGGTGCGCGCGCGTCATACATCACACAGGGGGCGGGCGCACCTGACGAGCGGCGTGGGTGTGAGCAGGTAGGCTGGTGCGCGCGCGTCATACATCACACAGGGGGCGGGCGCACCTGACGAGCGGCGTGGGTGTGAGCAGGTAGGCTGGTGCGCGCGCGTCATACATCACACAGGGGGCGGGCGCACCTGACGAGCGGCGTGGGTGTGAGCAGGTAGGCTGGTGCGCGCGCGTCATACATCACACAGGGGGCGGGCGCACCTGACGAGCGGCGTGGGTGTGAGCAGGTAGGCGCCGGCATGCGCGGCACTCCAGGGCGCGGGCGGTGCGCGCGTGGGCAGCAGCGGGGCACGCATGCGCAAGCGAGGCCGCGCGGCGCCCGCCCACAGCCGCGCCAGCGTCGGGTGCGGCTTCAGCTCCAGCCTCACCAGGCGGCCCCACGGACGGTGCACTTTGTAGACGGCGGGTAATTTCTTTCTGAATATTTAGTAAATAAATAGACAAGGTTCAAAAGAGGTAGTCAGTTTCCGGCTGCGACGAAACATATATCATTCGAAAGCTTGCTTTTTAATATCCCGTGAACAGATTTTAATTTAATCGGGGATCCTCGATTAATTATAAATAGTGTTTAAAATGATTATTATGATTATGTTATATGACTCTTTTTGTGATTCTATTCAACCCATTTACAGTGCCAGCAAAATGTTAAAATATAAATAATAATTAGTAAAAATTTATATATCATTCGAAAGCTTGCTTTTTAATATCCCGTGAACATATACTTTTAATTTAATCGGGGATATGTCATCCTCGATTAATTATAAATAGTGTTTAAAATGATTATTATGATTATGTTATATATATGACTTTTTTCGTTTTTCTATTCAACCCATTTACAGTGCTAGTAAAATGTTAAAATATAAATTATAATTAGTAAAAATTTGTGATGAACAACTCACGATTTCGGTTTAGTCTTGAACATGTTGACGTCGATCTTCACATCATTAATAATGATGTTGTAGAGAAACTTCCCAATATTCTGTCGCATTTCCAATGGCCATGGTGCCTCTGCAGTATCCTACAAAAATTAATGACGGTTGAGTTGGTCGTTTCAAAAATAAGAGCTGAAAATCATGTCGTTAACTAAGGTTATATAATTTTTAACAGTTCGAAGAATAATAATGATTCGTTTCGTGACTTCGTCTGTTCGCGGCATAGTGCGACCTTTTTAAGCGATAATGGTTTTCATCATTAGCATCACAGCTTATTGATGTCCCCAACGTTGTGGCACAGGCCTTCCCTATAGATGGAATAGGGAGATAAGGACATGACCCACCACGCGAGCCCAGGTAAAAGTAATTAAGTGTGTAAGTGCGGGACCAACTGCTTAACGTGCTTTTCGAAGCACGGAGGAGCTCAAGATACTAAATTTTTGGTCACCCATCCGATGACCGACCCCTACGAAAGTCGCTTAAGTGCAACGATGGCAGCCGAACGCGCTAACCACCTGCGCCATCGAACTCCTCATTTATTTACATACTAATAATAGTCTTATTAGTAAGTGAATAAAGTTTAAAATTTTTATACAAAGAAAGTTCTCGCGTAGCTGCCGGCCGCTGCCATTTCGGTGTGAATTGGCCCCAAGACTTTATTTATTTATTTTATTACGGTACACCAACAAAACATTTCATTACATTTACCACTTTATTATCGCGCCCATATTCTGCTGGAGTGCAGAGGCGTTGCAAGACTAACAACTTCTCTAATGGGAAGTCCGCGGACACTAGGAGAGGCCTGCATCAACATCCGGGGACTGCTGAGCTTTCTTGAGCTGGGATGTAAGGACTGATAGCAAAATGAGCACTGAGTGTCGAGTTGCGGAAACAGCCCGCCGTACTACTAAGACACCCTCACTCATTAGCTTAATAAATTCCATTTCTTAATTACATCCTTTTATGTAGAAGGAGCTCGATGGCGCAGGTTCGGCTGCGATCGTTGAAGTTAAGCAACTTTCGCAGTTTTCGGTCATTGGATGGGTGACCAAAATCTCGAGTTCCTCCGTGCTTCGGAGGCACGTTAAGCCGTTGGGCCCGGCTGCATCTACAGTCGTTAGCACCCACCAATTCGCACTGGGCCCGCGTGGTGGGTCATGGCCCAATCTTCCTATTCCATCCATAGGGAAGGCCTGTACCCCAGCAGTGGGGACATTAATAAGCTGATGATGATGATGTAGGTACAGTACATACCAGACTAGCGCCGGTGCGATGTCGATGAATTAACATCTGCCAAGCCTGGCGAGCGTTGTACGGCCGCGAGTCTGTACCGGTCGACCGATGCAAGTACCATTCACAGTATTTCTCATAGATCTCCTCGATCTTCTTTAGTACACCGTTCCGACGGAATTGCTCGATCTGGTACCTGATATGACAAGTTACGTTTTGACATAAAAAAAAAGGAAAAACGTGATAAAGAACGTTATAAACACAAAAATGTGTGTATCTTTTAGGTAATGATTGGATAAAAGAAATTTATAATAAACTATTAAATTATTTAAAACAAGAGCTGCGTCGATCGAAATCGAAATTAATAATAAAAACAAAACAAATCCTTAACATTGGCATGGTTGATATTCCTTAAATCCTAGTAATCCGACTAATATTACATACGTGTATGTTTGTTACTTAATCACGCAAAACTAGTGAACGGGTTTGAATGAAAGGACAATGGTAAAATTGGCCTAAGAACCAACACCAATTTGGCATTTCTTAGTATATTTTTTCCGATAATTATCAGTATTTAGATTGTGACGGACACTTCCAGTTAAGTAAGCTAAATTAAAAAGTTAAAAAATAATCTGAGACAATATATAACATTTTATGTGTATAATCTATGACAGCGTTGCAAACAAAACACTATTTCTTCCTAATGCCGGCACTTCACTTGGCTTAGTTTTCCAATTACAGAGCATAATGCGACTCAGTGGCGCACAATGCCGAATTATGCTGATGCTTAATTGGAACGTGAATTAGTTTTCAAATGCACCAGCAGAGTGCGCTAAGTCAATGTTTGTACCTTCATCCATACTTATATTTATTTTTTTAACACAGTTTGAATTAAATTTGATTATTTTAAAAGAACTACAATGAAACGAAAGCTTTAAAAAAATGAACAAAAAAATGAAAAAACACTTGTTAATTTTCTGACACTGAGTTGGTAGATTGCACGCATCACACGAAAACATTAGGTACTTTTGAGAGTGCTCGATTGTGCGAAGCGTTGCTGTAGGTGAAATATTCAACGATAAGCATTATGCCGCATAATTCGCTCTAGTGCTGTAATTGGAAAACTACTCGTTACTCTGTGTTTGTGGTGCAGGCAGTTTGCATTCGTAGTAATCTGTGGCATTCGTGCATTCCAAAGAGTAGTTTAATACAAAGAGTAGTATTTTTATTATGGTTTAATAGGTTTAATATACCGGAAAGTGCATTCTCGTTTCGGATTACCTGTTGTGTGTGTTTATTTGCGATTGTTTTTCCTTTAATTTAACTATTTTGGCTATCTAATATGCCATCAATGTTACCAAAGAAAAGAGCCCTTATTACCAAATGCTAGTGAACCTGTGCCACAACATCCTGAGAGGATCATACTGCTTAATTATTCAAGAACACAAGACCCCATACACATTCACGCTGCATATTTACACAATATACATAATAAATACAATATACAATATGATACAACTACGTGAAAAATAGTCAATAAATAAGAAGCAAAACTACAGTTTTTATTATATTCATGATTCCTACCTAACCAAGATTTTCCCAATAGATATTCTTTAAAATCGCACCGTATAAAATGAATTTGTTGTAAAATTAATTTACTTCATACTGAGTTAGTTCATAGCTTGACCTATGTTTCACTGAATATTAAACATAACCTCAAAAACATTTTAGTTTTCCTAATAATTTAAGTTCTCAGAAGTGTCCGTCAATAATCTTTGTTTTTGTAGTCATTTACTTACGATTTCGAACCTAGAAAATAATATTTCATGATTGTTGGTTCTTAGGCTAACTATGTATGGACGCTGAACAATGTCCTTTGTCAAGTACACATCGACACCTGCAAGGTAAAACATCGTAACTCACTTTTAGTAACTACAGGGAGGCCTACAATTAACTGCTTATATCCATTAAATCCTAATATCAAACTATCTCGAAAATTTCAATAAACAGGAATTGATTATACAGATACACAAATAACAACTTATTTCAAAAGTTACAATGATTTCAATATTCCATGTAAGAATATCATTGTAGCTGTTTTTCTATAGACTGAGTGATGATGTTTCTCCTTGCAGGTGTCGACATATACTTTATAACCTGTTATGAGACAAGATACTTTTTATCCAGAAAAAAAGTTACGTTCCTATGGGGTTCACAAAAATGAAAATGAACGCGGACGAAGTCGAGTGCGGGCTTATTTTTTAATAAAAAAAAACTAATGTAATTTTTCTTTTGTCAAAAATAAAAAATATTTAAGTAAATGGAAATAAATGATCGATCAATATATAAGTTGCTCACTTGTGGTATATTTGTGTGCCCAGATCTCGTTGCAGTATCGTAAACGTTGGACTGTAAGTTTCGCTGCCATCGACTAGTTTGCTAATCTCATCCATTATGATATCTACAAATTGGTCAACCTGAAATCAAGTTTATGATCACGTAGACAAACATACAGAAATATCTTATATATCTACAGTAAGAAAGGAATTAGAAGAGATTAAGTAAATTGACGACCTCCGTGGCCGAGTGGTTTGTACGCCGGGTTTCAAGGAGTCGCCTATTCGAGATGGTTCGATCACAGATGTTTGTGTGATGAATAAGAAAGCATTTGTACTCCAGTCATGAATGTTTATAATGTATTTCTATATAAATATACTTATTTATGTAACAGTTTATGTATTCTATCTGTTACCCTAGTATCCCAGAACACAAGTGCTAACTTTGGGGATAGGCTAATTGTGTGTTTAAAAAATATATATATTTGACTTGTTGGTGTTGAAAGTGTAATGCGGGCACTTCACATGGATATTGGAATTTGCTATATTTATTTTCATATATTAAGTACGTCACATTAATTTCGTGATTTTTTTACTCCTCACGCACGCACGCACGCACGCACGCACGCAAGCACGCACGCACACACACACTTTGAAGATGTACGTATCTATAGTCTATTCACATTGGCGTGAGACAAAATGTAAACAAACCATAAAAAGGATACGTTTTAAAGCCTAACAACATTGTCTTATGATGTCGAAATTATTTATATACTTTGCCATGTCATCTCTTACAATCCAATTCCAATGCCTTACTACACTAATAAAGACACTAACAATTTGTATGCTTGGGTACATGTCAGTCATCATCAGATGTCATGTCACTTGGGTTTGACAAAAGTAAAGATTAAATACTATTTACATAGGAAATGCAGCAATATTTTACACATATTTAACGTACATACACGTCATAAATTCATATATTTTTATACTGTTGATAAAAGTATTTTAACAACTTAAATTGACATGGAAAAAGACCTAAAAAAACAATCATTCCCAAACTTAAGACGTATTATGATATACGACAAAATTTAAGAGTAGACATGATATAAGTATTTTACGTTGAAGTGTTGTGTTTTGTAATCGGTTGGTTTACATCAGCCAGCTTTACTATCCCGATCAATCTGTTGACGCGAGCGTGCATATTCTATCTTATTTGTTAAATTCTTGTTATTTCCTTGTTTTATTAGCTGAGTTTGTTGTTATTTTTTTACTTACATAAATTATACCCAATCAATGACTAGTAGGTATTTTCTAACATTATAAAAGTTTTAGAACTTCAGATTCTTAGTTTTCATTTTTTCTCACGCCAAAGTGAATAGACTATAGTAGATTATTTTATGAAGAGGAAGAAACATCTATTATTTTTTACCATTCATTTTCTTTTATTAACGTTCTCGTTATATTGTTACTGAGTCGGACGGCGCCAGTATCTGCAATACAGTTTTTTAAACTAGTGCAGATATCAACGCTTCTACCTAATGCCTATTGTTAACACTGCTAAAATAATGTATAAATTAAAATGTGTAACCATTTTAAAGAAATAAACGTTTTGTTTATTTTTTTTAATTACTTATTATTAGATTTAGGAATGTGAGTCACGAAACTTAGGACCCGTCCCACCCCTTGTCACACAATGTCACACTTCGTCGACCCCCTCCCTTCACCTTAACGTGTGATATATTTTATGGATGACCCTTATTCATAAACTTGACAAGTCTCTTCTCTCCTTTTCATTCCTAAGGGCCTTATCATAATGATGGATTAGGTAGCTTTTATTTCTTCCTATTAATTACTGACCACAAATTAAGATCGAAAATACAATGTTGTATTCAAGGTATATTTTCGATAAAAAAACAGTAAGTAAATACTCACCTCCAATACTTTGAGATAAGGATAAAGTGCGATCGCTGAATATGAAGCGTTGCTCTGCGACTTCAACGTCCCAAGATGCCGTATAAAAGCCTCTTTTATGACGTCACGCCATTCGCTCTGAGTCTCTTCTAATTTCTTCCTCTGTTGAAATTAACATTATTCATCAGTTTTTTTTTAACAACTGTAAGTAAGCTTCTGAATTAAACTTAAATCGATTTAATAAACAATGAAATATACAGGGTGAAATTGAATGTTTCAATGAAACTTCGTGGGATTATTGGGTTACATATATAGAGTATCTCTGAATTTTTTCGGTTTTTTTAAGAATGATTTAAAATAAATTTTCGTTTTTTTTTGTTATATTTTAATCTCCTTTTGGGTACTAAATAATTATTCTTTTTAAACACGCATACAGAGTAAGTAAAAAACAACTAATTAGCACTACTAAAAAAACGTAAAAACAGAAGACGAGCGGTCGGGAGCAATGACCGCTCCCGCCGTTGAATCGGTTGAATACCTACCTATGCGCGGTGCAAAGCGCAGTGAGCGAGCGCAGTGTCAAGTTTATCCACCGCGCGTGCGTATCTTTTAAATTTGTGACAAGAGAAGATTTGCAAATAATACCATGATTAGTTCTTGTTCTGTGGCCTCAATATAAGAAGTTGGATATGGTGTGTTGTTATTGTAGTGTCACGGAATACTCACCACAAGGCTTTACGAAAGTAGGTTTGGTGATTGATTGTGTTTACAAAGTGTATACGGGAAGTTTAAGTGAAAAAAATGAATAGGTACATCGGTGTCGTAAGTACTTTTGAATACCGGGTTATAAATTTCACCCAAGTATTGAACTGCAATAAGTATTTCTTTTTGCTTAACATTTGCCTATTTCTAATCGTGACAAAATTATTATTAACTTTTAAAGTTTTTCTCCGCTTAAGAGAAGATGACATTTGTGCTTATTATTTCAATAAACGCATCTATGACGACTTTATTGTATTGTGTGGAATCAAAGGAGTCAACTGAACTCTGTGTAGAGGTACCTACTCACTCAACGGCTGGCGGGCGCGGTCGGTCGTTGACCCGCCGTGAAATTTTAATGTTTTTCCATTTTTTAGAAGTACTTATTTATTAGTTATTTTTCACTGGATATGTAAGTTTGTTTGTTTAAAATGAATAACTACTCAAAAGGAGGAAAGGACATAAAAATACACAAATTATAAATAAAAACATGAAAAAGAAATACTTCAAAAAAATACGAAAAAGATCAGGCATACTTTTTTCACGTAACCCAACAATCTCACGAAGTTTCATTAAAACATTTAATTTCACCCTATATATAAAACTAGCTGCCCTAGCGAACTTCGTAACGCCATAAAAAAAATATAGTATTTTTGTATGATGTATCTTAAAAAAATAAAAACAAAAAAATTTAAGGGTGGACCACCCTTAACATTTAGGGGGATGAAAAATAGATGTTGTCCGATTCTCAAACCTACTGAATATGCATATTAAATTTCACAAAAATCGGTCGAACCGTTTCGGAGTGGTTCAATTACGGACACCGTGACACGAGAATTTAATATATTAGATTATTAAATATATTGTTCATATAGTTTAGTACTATGTCACTTTTTTACTCACACAAAACTTAACCGAGTCTGGTATCACGTCTTCATTGACACTTATGTTCTGGACCTCTATATCTCCGTCTGTTTCGATTTGCAATTGTTCCTTCCCTCTCTGTCTAATCTCCTCTAGGGAAAGAAGACCTCCAGCGGGCGACTGGAGCAACCCTAGTCGCGCGTCTACGTTATCAAGTTTTAATTTCTCCATCAACGGACAATCATAGTCTAATACTGGAGGAGTATATTGTGGCTCAAAATCTGGATCGATCTTACGCACAGCGCTAATCACCTGCTCACGTTGATCGTAAAGAAACTTTGACTTGTCTAAAATATCATTCAAAGTTATACCCTGCAAATTATTATTCATTATTTTCATGTAATTTTCGAAGGTAATTTAATATGCCATAATGAAATAACATGAAAATGTAGTGCACCTTTTCTTGCATTATTTTGTGGTAAAATTTTAATGTCGATACTTTGTCTCTCAATTCACTTCGTTCTATACACTCAAATATGGCCGCGTATGTTTGTTCATTAGCTTCCACCCCACTTTCTACCATGAATGACAGCAATTCCTTTGTGTTTTCCAACAGACCCTGGTAAAATAAAATTAAACATTGTTTACTTTGCTTTGATTTTAAGATAAGTAGTTCAAGCATTTCCATCTTTGCTTACAAAGTATTTTTAAAATAAAATAACATGTATTAACTTACCATAGAAGCATATCCGTGCATCAGAACATTGTATACGGAAATATCGGTGATCTTTGGGTGGTACGACGCTCGTGTGCTTTTCTGTCTATAGTATTGCAATACTTGACGGCCCTAAAATAAAAATCATCATATTTGTTTCTAAAGTTTTCACACAACTATTCCATAAATGAAACACGCTTAAACGGGTTAAAATTGCGTCCTTTCATATTTTTTTAAGACGTTTTCAGCCTGAAAATGATACGTAACGCCAAAAGTAATAAAAAGATGCATTTCCACCCCGTTTAGGCGTGTTTCACTTGAAGATCATCATAATATACAACCACTGCTGGACGTAAGCAGAAACCTTTATAAAAAACATTTAAGTCCTTATCATCAAAACACAAAAAAATATGATCCGTCACAATGTAGATATACGCTCTTTATCTGCAGAGATAAAACTCGCCCGAGATTTTTAGAGTATTTATAAACTTACACTCGTGATTTATTTAACTGATAATTAAAATAAAAAAAAGAATCCTCGGTAAAATATGAGTGTTAAAAGGTTTGCAGTGCCACTAACATCCAACATTATAAAACAGACAAAATAGTATACATTTCACATTCCATAACAAAACTCCTGATTCAGGTACAATAGGCTTTGACTATAAACTATTTGCAAAGAAATATTTCTGAAATTCAGTACTCCTTTCCATTATTTGTGATATAACGCGTTTTTAAATGGATACATAGATCGCTGGTTCATATCCAGCTCGAAGGACCAATTTTATTATATATGCTGTGTTAATGAGTGTGAAGCTAAATGGTAGAGGTTTCTAATTGTTAAAATTTACACACACTCTATACCAAACATAAATACGAACAAGTAGTAGGAATACTGATTACATCCTATCCTTTCAACTTCAGAAATTTGATTCAGTCTGATCCGGCACACAAGCGTTGGTTGGCTAAAAGTAAGTTTTGATTTAGGAAAACTGACTCACCTCATGCATCATTTGAAGAGAGCACAGTAGCTGTAGATGTGCAGTGAGCATCTTATGCAAGGACTCTTGCTTACCACGCTTCTCCAGCTGTTTGATGTCTTCCTTCATGTTTATCTCCTGCAGAGCGCGGCGTTTTTCACGCTGTGCTTTTCTTTTCGCCTTCATAGTTTCTTTACTGAAATTAAATGAATAAATATAATGATCATTTATTATAATATATTTTTTGTGATAATTTCACTCAAACAGGATAATTTGCTATTTGAAATGTCCATATAAAAAAATAATTCATATTTTACTTTCTTATGTATTATAAAAAAATATGACTTACACTTTTTTAATTTTCAATGTTTTGGCTTGTATTGTTTCAGGGATGTAGTCAATTTGTTCACTGTCATGATCTTCTCTCATGTCAGATATCTCGTTGTGTAGCCCTGTCTCATCTAAAATTTCATCCACTGCTGGATGCGCTATACCACGAGATCTAAAAGTTTACATAATTGTTCTTTAGAGTATTCTATTCTTTGTAAAGGCTGGCTGTTGTCTACTTGGACAATTCTGCCAATTTCAGGGTTGAGCACTACAGATGATCAGTGTTTTTTTGCAGTTTTACGCATCTTCTATTATTGGCCGGTTTAGTAACCTAAAAGGGTTAAATAAAAAGGTTATAGACGTCACAATGACAAACACAACGGTTATAGATAAAAGCATTAGAAAGGAATGGATGTTTAATTTTATAGATGTTTATATATTTGGCAAGGACTTGGATGATGGGAGAGTCTACCATGGTTAGTAAGTGGTTTACATTCACAGGGCGGAGGATATTTTTAGGTAGGATTAGAGATGGGCAGTTGGAAAAAACCCAGCGTCTTTGTCTGGGTATATTCCATACTCAGACAAAAATGAACCTGGCGCCGACAGAATTTTTAATAAAACTGGCAGAATAATGATCTGACGGGACCACAATTTTTACCGACGCCTATAAACCTTTTTAAGATCGTGATAGTTACGTTAAATAATGAAAATACCCGTCTATTGGGTTTTTTCCCGCATAAATACCCATCCCATTTGGGAAAAAACCGGGTTAATATTAATAAAGGTTAAAATAATTTACATTGAATTTTGGGTTCCCGAGAAATTGTGTCATAGGGGGACCATTGACCAATTTTTCGTAACTGTTAGATAAGAGGGGCGTAGCTTTATGTATCTAGAATTAGTTATGAGATTGGAAAGCTGACAAAGTCGAGTAAGCAGTTGGTGGTTAGAGTTTTCAGCAATTTTAAATAAGTATAGATCTGACCTACAGAGATTGAGAGGAGGGTCCCCAGTTTCTACCTGTAGGGCATTCGTCGGAGATCTCATTGCACCTGCGATTATGCGGAGACACCTGGACTGTATTTTGTCCAAAGGAAGAAAGGGAAGTCTTATTGCAAGGTTCAAGTAAGAAGGCACCGTAGTCGAAATAGCTTTGAACTACTGCGTTGTACAGGAGATTTTGACAGTATGGATGAGAACCCCACCAGACACATGAGAGGGCTCTAGGACATTAATGCTTTTCTCACATTTACTATTGATATAATTGAAGTGAGAGGCACCAGACAAACGAGAATCTAATATAAGGCCTAAAAAATTAGTTTCGTCTGTGCATGGTAATTCTTCATCACCCAAGACAATGGGGGCGTAGGGAGTTGTTCTTTTCCGAGAAAAAACTAGTACATTACTTTTGGACGGGGCTAAGGATAGACCATGCTCAGTTAACCACTAATTGAGATACCTGAGAGCTGTATTTAGTTGATTTGAGCAGTCTTGGACAGAGTCTGAGAGATATATCGTCGGCATATTGCACGATGTCACAGAAGCTCTCAACACATTTTTCTAAGTCGGCGGTATAGAAGTTATAGAGGGTGGGACTTAGAACTGATCCTTGAGAGAGACCATTCTAGGTGAAAGAAGGCAACCCTGAAGGCGAACTAAGAAAAGAAAACATGTTAAATATGACATTGATCATTCTCACGAGAAGACTCAGCTGATGCATTTTCTGCCTGAGTAGCGGAAGAAGTACAGAGTAATAGGCTGACGTGAGATCAAGAAATACACCGACCATATCTTGCTTTCTAGAGAAGGCGAGGCAAGCATCCGAAATGAATATACTAAGATTGTCCATAGAACCCATGCCCTTCCGGAATCCGAACTGTGTTTTTCCTAAAATATTATTATGTTCGAGTATCCATTCGAGTCTATTTTTAATGGTAGCTCCATGATTTTAGCTAGCACCGAGGATAGGGCAATAGGTATATAAGAAAGCGGATCGTTAGGGTTTTTATTTGGTTTTAATATCGGGATAATTATTATTATTTGGTACTTCCAGGAGTCAGGAATTATACCTGAATCATAAATTTTGTTAAGGAGCGCAGAAAAATTATGTTAGTGTTTTCGGACATTCTTTTAATAAATGAGTAGGGGATCCCGTCTACCCCAGGCGAGGAGTCACGTAAATGAGTGAGAACTGCAGATAATTCATTAATGGAAAAGGGGTCGTCCATATGATTGTGCAAAGATCTTGAGTAAGATAGAGGAACATTGCTGTTTTCATAAAAATCTTTATTTGGGACAAATGGAGGTGCCAGCCATGAATTCCTCGATCCAAGCTCTTTCTTCTTAAGGAATCTTTTGAAGGTGGCGGGTTATCCGAAAAAGACCCTCTTTTTATTTTAATTATTTTCCACATTAATGAGAGTGGTGCTCGTGGAGATATGCTTTCGCAAAATTATGTCCACCCTTTACGTTTTTTTCCTCTGAGGATTATTTTGGAACGAGCTTTGACTCTTTGGAAGTTTAAGTAGTTGTCAAGGCTTAGATCATTAAGGTAAGTCTGCTCGGCTTCGTTGCGTTTTCTAATAGTCTCAGTACAATCAGAGTCCCACCAAGGTGGAGAGGATCTATTCCGGCCAGGTTTATTTTTGCAGAGAGATAGATAATTCGGCAGCGGATAGCAAGGAAGAAACAAATTCATTGTAACGGTTATCAAAATTTGAACTATCTAGCGGAGGCAACCTTTCTAATTTTGAGTCAAGTATATTGCGGAAACGGGACCAATCTGCTTTTTCAAGTTTAAATTTACATAGTGCAGGGTAGGGATCAGAAGATACTTGGACCTGCTGGGGGAAAGATATGAGGATTGGAAGGTGATCACTTTCATGAGAACACGCTAAAACGCGCCAGATAGCACTTCTTGACAGGGAAGGATACAAGGGAAACATTGACGGCGCTAGGGTTTTGGAGAGGGGAGGTACGGCGAGTAAGAGAGCCAGAAGACAAAGATTAATGTTATCCATTAAGGTTAAGAATTAGGAAGACAGTGAATCACATAAAGAAGATCCCCATAAGGTATGATGGATGTTAGTCTCCCAGAAGTATAGTAGACCCCGGGAAAGAGGTGAGGATATTCTCTAAGGAGTCTAGAATACTAGAAGGGGAATGAGGGATATACACAGAAAAAATATTAATACCAGTGATGCTTGCACCTGTAATATAGACGCCAGAGTGTTGAGGGATGGGGATAGAGACATAGGTGAGAGAGCGGTTTATAAGAAATGCGCAGCCCTGATAGCCATCAGGACCATCATCTCGCAAGCATGTAAAGCCTGCCAATGAAAACTTACTATTTTTTTAAGCCATGTTTCTGCAATAGCAAAATCATGTATTTTGTAGAGGTCATCCAGGTTAGTTAATTAATTTTTTTTAACTAAGCAAGAAGGAACTAAGGAACTGACAAAGAATCACCAGAGTGGTTTTGGGCACATCTATAGCATCTTGGCCTTGATCTGCATTGAGCCTTAATGTGGCCAAAACGACAGCAGGAATTACACTGTATCGTCGGTAATTGGTAAATTTCCACAGGCAGAGAAGCATTAAAACAGTAAACCTTCTCACGAAGCTTCTGTCCTATAAATGAGATTACTACTGTCTGAGTAGGAATCCATAAAGTTTCACCGTTTTGGACAGATTTTCTGTTCAACCTCCTTGCTTTATAAGCATGGGAATTCATCTGGGGACATTCTATATTACAAAGTAATTCTTCCATGGACCAGTCAATGAAGATGTTCCGGACTATGCCCTAATGAATCACATGAAAGGAGGGGATTAGTGCACACAACTTATGGTTATTCAGGATAGGGTTTGATATGAAATTGTTTGCAGAGTCAGCATCCATGAAATCTACCAAAATTCGATTGCGTCCTGATGACTTTATACATTCCTTTACAATGCCAGAGACTCTGTTTTTGTGTAGAAACTGAGCAATCTTAAGCAGTCTCATAGTAAGACCAGTTGCTGGGTCGGGTTCAGTTCTAGATACATGAACAAGGGGCCATATCTGTTTGAGAGTATGTGGGTTTAGAACCTTCCGCAAACTCCGGGATGATATACGAGTGCTGTTTGGAAGCACTTGGAATGACCGATTTAATTTTGGATATCAGTAGTCTCAGAACCTGTTCTCTTACGAGAAATAGGGTCTATCATTTGGCTAACGCGACCGCCGCCCCCGTCAGGGGGCACATTATCTACGTCCATCTACGTTACAAAACACGCCACAAAACACTTACCAGTATTAGTAAAACACACGCCACGTACAAAAAACACAAAATATTAGTCAATCAACTGTAATTCCTTTAGTTTCATAAGGAAAAATAACCCCGCACGTGTAGTAAACAAGTACCCAACATAGAGTAGTTGCATATTCTTTAGACATTTCCCTCTCAATCAGCACTTGTATGTATATATTGGCTTATGAAGTTAAAAAAAGATGAAAAAGATTAAGTTAATTTTCAAGCAACACCAAAGCGGGGTATTAGCGATTTTGCTTTTCCACTGTCGATATGTATTGACTAATGTTTATGTAAGTTGAAGTATATTAATTGGCAGTGATAGACGATAACTATCACAACAATTTAACTTTTAAACTGGATTTCTTATCTATATAAAAAAAAATACAGATACATACATATATTATATAAATTAATAAAATCATAACAATAACTAACTATCAATATCCTTATTGCGGCAATTAATGCTTTCATATTGTTCCAAAGTCAACTTTTTTTATCTTCCCTGTGGTGTGAGGTATTTATTTATTTGGCATGCCAATATTTTTACACCCAACGTAATTAAATAGGTATTAAATAAAAAAAGGATGGTTTGTTCAAATATTTTTTCACTTATAACAATGAATTGATATTTTTTATTAAGAGTAGTGTTTTAAGGACAATATTATGAAATTCACCCATTGGCAAGCCTAAAACACACTTAGGTACATATTTATTAAATACTAGCTGTCCCAGCAAACTTCGTACAGCCATAAAAAAAATAGGGGTTGGTGGTAAAAGGGTGAAATTTAGGGTTATATGTTAGTAAAAACAAAAAAATTTGTAAAAAAATATTTAAGGGTACCACCCTTAACATTTAGGGGGATGAAAAATAGATGTTGTCCGACTCTCAGAACTTCTGAATATACATATAAAATTTCACGAATTCGGTTTTTCGGTTTCGGTTGAGTCGTTTCGGAGTAGTTCAATTATGCACACCGTGACATGAGAATTTTATATATTACATTATTTATAGTTTAAACTATGAAACCAATGTGGTTATAATCAAAACAATTTTATGCAACCAATCACTTACTGCATTGTGGATATGTGAGCCATTAGTTCTTGGTCATAACTATCCAGGTGATTGTCTACAAAAAGCTCTCTGAAAACTGTATGTGGACTCTTAGGTAAATCATATTTATCTATTTCATCTTTTATATTTGTTTTTGGCATTTCCACATCAAACTCTTGTGTGAGACCTTTATTTATTGCATATCTGAGATCTTGAAGTCGTTGATCATAAATAGTGGATCTTCTAAAATTATAGTAACTCTCTTTAACCATTTCTATGAATTGTTTGGTTTTGAAGCTATTATCAATTGCTGCATGATGAGTATAAAGTAATGCACAATTATCATCTTCTAGCTTAATTTCCTTAGAAGCAGGTTTAGAGCTACTTAATATTTTATCTCTTACACTTTTAAGTAACTCTGGATCAACTTCAGTTATATTAGATTTTTTTGCTGGCTTTGTTGTTAGCTGATGCAGTTGTCCAAGAGATACTGAACTAGAAGCAATTTTAGAAAGATGCACAGCACGTAATTTACTTATTGATACCTTAGTTTCAGTCATTTCTTTTTCACCAACTAAAAACAAACAGCATATTATTGTAAGGTGCATTGTTTGGTGAGAGTGTAGCCTTGAGGGCAGTTAGAGTATACGCTTCAGGGCACCATAGAAAGTAAAAAAAAAACTAAAAAGAAAATTTTTTACAGGAAAGGACAATAAAGAAAAAAAGTATTTGTGTCTGCCCGTTTTTCAGTCTTCGGATTAAGGGAATTAAACGCAATGATTTTCGGCCATAAAAACTTTTTTGCTAAAATGAATATTTCCATAGTTCATTAGTTTGTGACCGAATGAGCAAGTGGCGTTCACCAAAAGTATGTCATTACGAATGGCTGCTCGCTCACTGCACATGCGCATCTCGTTTAGTTCTTTGGCCTGTCAGTCAGTGGAATCATTGAGTGGCAACACGAATGAAAGAAAAGTTAATAGGGCGGCAAAAATAAATGTTAATTTGGAAATAATAAGACAATGTTGTCATCAGGTAACTCATGGTTCTAATGTATAACAACAATAACTATTCATAAGTAATAAATTTCTATAATATACTTTAAAAGTACATTATGATATAAGTGCAATAAGTTGAGAATTACAGCCGAGGCGATATTGTTAGCGCGAGCTATGGCTCGCCATTTCACCTTATTATTATTACCTTATATTATATATTTAAAGTTTACGTATGTCATATGACGAAAAGTGATAATTTTTGTTTTCTTTTTTGTGTCATGTGTAACAGCAGATGTATAAGTTACCAACAATTACTTATACATACATATTCGAAAAATGCGAAAATTATAGAAAGGTATTTTTGCTGTTCTTAGCGTAATATGTAGGTATAAGTACAGCATTCCATAATCTTATCACATGCAGCCAGTACAGTATCAAAACGAGCGAACAATCCTTTCACTGACTCGAGCTGGGATCTGACGAACTATAAGAGCAAACTAGTTCGTTTAGGGGCGGCGACTAAACTGAGCGATCTTAGTTGTGAACTACTATGCCCAAGACTACATGTCATACATAAAACATAAATCATTGGGGCCAATGACTCAAATAACTTGAAATGAAAAAAGGGGGTTATCAGTCACCTAAAAAAAATCCTGAAAATTTTAATTTCTGAAAATGTTTAAATCAATATAACTCTTAAATATGCATTTTAGCAAAAAAGTTTCTTTACCTAAATTGTTGCTATTAATGCCCTTAATTCGGAAAGCGCAGCAAGTATTTTTTTTTAATTAATCTGGCCTTTTCCTCATAGTGCCCTAAACGCTACACTTCAAACGATTGTTTTATTTATTGTGTGCAATAAATAACAAATATACCTGCAAGAAGTTCACCATAATGCTTATAAACTTTGTGTTTCGCTTTTTTCTTGAGTGACCTTAAAACACTAGCCGTTCGCGTAGACTGTTGTCTCACAGAAATTAGTTTTTCTGTAAAGAAGCCGCAAGTTACGCAATGTTTTATTAGGTTATGTTTTTTTCATAATTTCTCTAAAAATTTTGTTTGAATAAAATTATCAGACGATTAGACCAACTATGTTGATGAAATTACCTGAGTTGAGCTGACCTAAAAGAATATTTCGGCAGTATGAACATTGTATTTTTTGAATACATAAACTTTCAACAGTATTGTTAGCAGCTAATGTTAAACCATGGATGGAATTGTGATATAAATTGGTAGAACATAAAAATCTATGCATTTCGTTTTTTTTTATATTTGATTCAGAATCACAAGTAAAATACACACGACATCATTAAAAAATGTAAAACCACGTGAAAAAAGCACAAGACGGACCAAAATAAACCTGACAGCACAGACTTCATAGGTACTACTTGACTGACAGTTGTTTTCTGTCTGGCTCTGGGTTGCGTTCCATAACTTCACTTTAGGGGAGCAATATTGGTCAATTTCAATTTCCACTTATTATGTTTCATACTCTATGTCAAAATTCAGATGAGTGAAAAGTTGCATCTGGAGCATTGATAGGGAACGTGATTGTTGGTTACGTTCCGTAGCTATAACCCGAATGTTAAAAGACATAACTTGCAACAGGAGTGTAGATGGTACGGAATTGGTACGTAATTAAATAGGTTGCTTTCCAATTACAGCATTATTGCGCATTATGCGGCATAAATGCTAAAGCCTACCATTCACGGGCGCGCCAATCCGCCGGATTTGTCGCTGGCGACAAGTCCGCGGACAAATCCGCGTGTGAATGTATTGGTGAGTGCGGCTCGCGGCTCGGCGCGGCGCTCGCCGTCGAGAGACGCGAGCGCCGCGCCGCACCCCAGCCGCGCCGTACAAATCCGTACGTGTGTGTGCTTGCACAGATTTGTCGGCGAACTTGTCAGTCATTTGTAGTGCGTGCACGCAGAACGACCTCTTAAATTGTTAATTCTGTATCACGTCTGTATCACTTTTTTGACGTTTATGCGATAATGTTTTAAGTCAAAAAGTTGAACATAATACTCATTTAAGTTGATATCAAGTAAATGTCATTTTAAAGAGTAGATCATAATACGCTTAATTTGATGTCATTTTGATATCGCATTTTTCGGAGAGCATAATACGTAATGTGAAATTGACATCAAAACAATATCACAATTAGCGAACATAAAGAGCTAATTGTATCTCTTCTACAAGGGGTTTATCTCTATCATGTCCTCGGCATGAGCTCGTTCTAAATAGTCCATTACTAACCCGAAACGAGCCATTTTACTCTTTTTTATTAAAAAAAAGGAATTTGATACAGAAAAACCACCTCCTAACTTGTTAAGTCTGTATCACATTTTTGACGTTTATGCGATACTGTTTTATGTCAAAAAGTTGAACGTAATACGCATTTTAAGTTGATATCATTTTAAAGTTGATGTCATTTTGATATCGCATTTTTCGGAGAGCGTAATGAGTAATGTGAAATTGACATCAAAACAATATCACAATTAGCGAGCATAATTGGCCTGCAGTTGTGTTGTTTGTATCATGAACGAGTATAATAACATGTCGTTCGGCGATCATAAAGAGTTTTGGCAAGAATTTATCCATACAGGGAAGAACGACACGCGAGGCTCACCAAAGTACACAAGCGACTGGACTGCAACTCGACGCTCGTGTAGTGTGTGGGCAATGACGGATTTGTCCACGGATGGGTTCGGCTCGCGGTGCGTGTAGTGAATGGTGGGCTTTAACGTTGAGTGTTCCAACTACAGCAACGCTTCGCACAATTGAGCACTCTCAAAAGTGATGCTTTCGTGTGATGCGTGCAATGGTACCAACTTAGAGAAAGAAAATTAACAAGTGTTTTTTCTTTAAGTTGGCATTGATCGAAATGTTTTATTTATATTATGTTATCGTTAGTAATATTATTTATTGTTGAAAAATTATTAAAGCTTTCGTTTCATTAAATAGTTTTTTTTAAATAATCAAAGTTCATTCAAACTGTTAATAAATAAATATAAGTATGGATGAAGGTACAAACATTAACTTTTTTTTTCAACACTGAACTTAGCGCACTCTGCTGGTGCATTTGAAAACTAATTCACGTTCCAATTAAGCATCAGCATAATTGGGCATTGTGCGGCACTGAGTCGCATTATGCTCTGTAATTGGAAAGCATACATAGGTCAATAATTACTGATTAAAGCGAACCATTTCAGATTATTCATGAGAATGCGAATCGAGCAACTGAACAATAAATGCAATCTTTACATATACAGGAATTCAGTAAAGAGAAAGCTTGACCCTTTTTTCGTTCTATACAGTTAAATAAAAATACAATGTGCCAATTCTGGCGTGTTTCTCTTAACTTAAAACTAAGTTTAGGTTTAGAGAATCATGATAGAATCGACACCAATATCTACCTCACAGCCTCACAGTAACTTATTAAAAAAACCTCTTTACATTGCATTGCTAAATAGAATTTTCTACTCATAAAATCCATTACAGTCACTTTCCAATTAAAAACGTATAAAAAAAACGAAACGCGAATTACATAGAAGGCTGTATATAAATATATCTTTGCTTTCTAAAGGTGTGAAATAAAAAAAAAATGTCAGCTTGACTTTGATAAATCAGATTGACAGGCTCCTGTGTGAAACTTAATTTGCTGAAAAGCTAAATTCTCTCAGCTTTATTTCTTACTGTTTCAGGCAGCTCAACATACTATACCTTAACTTTTCCTTTCTGTTTTTCCCTATTCTTTTTTCCAAATTCTAGGTCCTTGTACTTTCACAAAGCCCTTCCACGTCCTTAAGCAGATTTAAAAACAATAAACAAGCCCTCACTCTCAGAGAGATCAAATTTTTATTTGGTCTGAGCCCTCACTGAAGAAATCTAAAATCTAATCTATCTACAAATGAATAATGTTTATAATTATTTATATAGATTAATATATAAAAGAGAAAAAAATCAAATTTCAAGTTGTTTATTAGTATTACATATTTATAAATAGTGTGTTTTTAAGCTGGCTCCTAGAATGGATGAAAAAGTATTTCTATGTATGTTTAAATTTTTTTAATCTTTAATAAAAACATAAGCTTTCCTCCTCATTATTGGTTTACGTGAGCTCTCTGTTATATATTAATTTTAGGGACATCTGAACTCAATAAGAAGTTGTTTAAACTACGATTTGAAAATGATGGTTTGTTTAGGAAAAAGAAACAACCGTGGAGGTAAGGTATTAGGCCTTTTGATATTTTATCACAATTCACACATGCTCCATGAATACTTATTTGTATTAATAAAGATTTAGGTTACCTTTTTCAAAATGTTTGTTAGTGGCAATCATTAAACATTACATTGATGTTGGTCTCTATGTAATTAATCTATAAATTAAGTAATAAATCTCTTTGTTTGCAAATATTGAATGTAAAATAACTTTATTATTGTGTCATTACAATATTTCTATATAAACTTTTTAAATAAATTTCACTGGAATTTCTCTTAAAGTCATTACAAATATTAAATAAAACCCACATTTCAGGGAATTTTACAAAATTTTACTTGAGAATGGTTTTCCCAAGGAGATGACAATAAATCATGTAAGAAAAAAGTGGTCATATACATATGATGTAAGTACAAAGTTTGCTTTACATAGAGCCATGTATCATAATATGGCTTATATTCCTGGATGACTACTGATTATAATAACCGTAACATCTTAAATTAAATCAATATTTATTTGCAGACCTACAAAATAGCTAAGAAAACAAAAAATAAAAATTGGAAATATTATAAATTATTTGATAAACATTTTGGTAAAACAAAAATATTAGATAAATATGATTCTTGTAAGTATGAAATGTTTATGAAAATTAGTGGAATTAAAAGAGGTAAATAATTTGACTATGAACTTTTTTTCAATGTTGTTCCAGGGAGTGATGAGTGGCGTCTGAAATTAATTACTTGCATTTCAGAAGCGACTAGCCATAAATATGACTTTCAAACTATGTGGAAGTATGGACTTCAGATTCTGTATTCTTTATTAACATTATAAAAGAGAACCATATTAATTATACTGGATTGTTTTAGGAATATTGAGAAAGGTTTGAGGAACCAAGACATGCCAAAAGATTGTTGTGTTCAAGATATTAAAGGATTATGGCAACACATCAGAACAACATTCAATGTAAGCATCCAACTTGAGCACTTTCATTAATAAAAAAGTTACTTTACAACATACATTTAGGCCCACATGCACCAAAGTTTTATATTCAAATTAAGACATAATCATATTTAAAATATCATTCAAATTAAGAACTTTGGTGGTGGTGGTGTTATACATAAAATCAATTAATATATAACATGCTTTGTTGTCATAATTTGAAAGTTATTTAACCTAGGCTGGCACTTCTTGCTACTGTATGCTACAAAGAAGCAGCTGTAACAGTATATTGAGAAATATTCATTTTTGCAACACCATGTCATTGCAATTGCAAGAGCAAAGTACTACTAACAGGTTTCCTTGATGTATACTACTTGTAGAAATATCAATACATTAATTTAACAGTTACTTCTATAAAAATTTATTTGTTACAATCATTAAAATAAATGTATTTAAACAGTGCTTCTTTTTTAAAACATGCTTTATTTTGTAACTGGTAGCATTGAACATGCACATATTTGGATTTGATTCCATATAGAGGAGAATTTTACTAAAAAGTAACATTTAAATTATTACTTTTTGATGATTGTTGCATTGAAGTTCCATTAGGAAATTATTAAAAAATATGTTATCATCTAAAGCTTGGTGAATTAAAATTTGTAAGGACTATACCCTGATACACAAGATGGAGTGACCAATCCAAAACAACACTAATACCATAATAATTCAACTTGATATATATAAAGAAGCTGATAATGTGTATAATAGTAACTCTGCAACCTAATTATATATAAGTTATATTTTACCTCAAATTAAACCCTAATCTGTAGGAAAAAGCACAGTAATTTTGTTCAATGTTGTTAATTTTTTCCTGATTGTGGTAATCTAAACAGCTGTTCTCAGAGACACTAAGTAACTTACTTAGTTAACTTTTAACTTTGTTTTAAGTTGCTGTCCCTTTTTTAGAACCATAGAGTAAGACAACATATCACTTTAAATTACATTAAATTGAAGTAATATGATAGCCCTATGATGCTGTCATTAAACAATTTTATATTACAAATATAGTATCAGGTATTACGTTTTGTAGTCCTTGGCAGGGCCGGATCTACCATATGGCTTATTGGGCTTCAGCCCAGGGCCCCGTGGATTCAAGAGGCCCCCAGCTAAGTCAAGTTTAGTCAAAAATAGACGATAATGCGAAAGAATCCATAATTTTATTAAATTAAACAGATCATATAGTTTGCAGCCCTGCGAATCCTGCGATTAATTAAACCCATTTAATTCATTAAATTCAAATCTAATTTCAGGTGTTGGTACTTCGAACTGCCAGTTAAAATGTTCCGCTGCCATTACACATTCATATAAATCGTGCTCCGCTATTTCCGTCCCAGACCCTGTCTCTTTCTTATCTAATTTTTACGATTATTTATGAAAATAAGCTTTTTGACGTATTTCTGAACTGCTATACAATGTTAAAAATATATTGCCAATCACAAACAACTTTTCCAGGATGTCATATATACAGAATAAATACAGAACAACCACGTCAAACTTACGACTTAACCATTTATCCGTTTTGTCCATAAATGTTGATTTAACTAAGAACCTAGAATGTGAGAAGCAAATTAAAGAATTTGCTAAAGAGAAGTGCGGAAAGGTTATAATTTGTCAATTTATTTATGGTCGTATAACACTAAAGCATAATATATTATAATATAAATTTAATATTTTACAGTCTCATTTTCTATACTTTTGAGTATTTAGGTGGGCCCCTAAGTAGTATTATAGCCCAGGGCCCTAAACTCACAGTACGGCCCTGGTCCTTGGATAACTATTTTAAAATATAATCCAATTATTCTACTTGTCCTATTTATAATAACACTTCATCTTACTGCCACTTGAACATTTGAATATGAATAAATGGCTGGTTGGATGCATGGTAAAGTGAAGGGTTTCTAAATATAAATTTAGGAAATATCAGTATGTATATTGTTGCAGAGAAAACATAGACTGAAATTGAAAAAGGGCTCAGATTCAACTCAATGGCCATTGTATGATGTAATGTTTAAATATTTCGAAAATTATGAACCAGAATATCTGCTGAATTTGGAGAATGAATCTGCCGTTGAATTTGGCGTAAGACAGAGGAGTCTATCGAGGTACTGCAAGAAAACGCGTAAGGACGATGATGATGATATTGACAATGAAAGTGACTTTCAATGTGAGTGCTTTCAAAATATACATTAATAATATAAAAAAGCTGCAAGGAAATTTTATTGGTTGATATAATTATGCTAATTATTTATATGTAATTTTATTTTGCAAATAGCTTATATGTCTCTGTTACAAATTTATTTTACACTAGCGGCCCGCCCTCGCTTCGCTTCGGTGTAGAGCTGAAGTGTAGACTACAGTTTTTGTTCTCAGGCTTGTATTATACACAATGACATTCATCTATGATTCTTCTTATACCTGCATGCAAAGTCTCAGCCCGATCGGTTTAAAATTGATAAAGTTTCATACAAACTTTCATTCCTTATTTTATCCCCTTGGGATTTTCTTTATATTTTTTTCCGTAAGAACCTTGTACAGAGTATTAGAAAACTACAAAAAAAAAATCCAAATCGGTCAAGCCGGTTTCATGTTATGTCGTGACAACGGAAAACGGGTTTCATTTTTATATATATAGATTAAATCGGGTACCTATTTGACAAGTTTCAGAAAACAATCTCATCTTATTTATTAATGTTTATGAAAACCATAAAAAGTGGATATATTTTTAATGCTGTTCTGTAATAGGGGTGATGACGGGGTCCGTCAGTTAGATGATCAAAAAATAATGGACATGTTTTTTTTCTTTGGGCAATCAATCAAAAAATGACAAAGTTATAGCGCGTCAAAGTTTGGGAGTAGGGGCTCGTGACATCACTTTTTAGTGAATATTCACTTAAATGCGACTTTTCAAATCAATATATCTCTGCAATGTTTATATTATGTGGAAAAAGAAAAAATACGTGTCCAATACTTTTTGATAATCTACTTGATAAACGAAGAAAGAAAAAAATAGTCATCATCCCTATTGACGCGAAAACGTTTCTCTGGACATTATGGCGTCTCACTAGTGTGTGACGTTACACGACTATCATTAAAACGTCAAACGATATAATGTAGGAAGTTTACTAACGTGTGACGTCATTATAGTCTTGACCAATTCCAGGTGTTTTCCGTCACGTGACCATGCAGCAAAAAAATAATTTCTATTTAATAATTTTGTAGAAAAGTTATTTTTATTTGTTCTTTCAGAATAGTAAAATCGCTGCTAATATTCATATTAAACACAAATGCTAACAATTGGTACATTATTTTTCTTACTGTCAAAAAGGCCATTGTTTGAAATTTTGTTCATCTCCAAAAATGTAGTCAGTTTTATTACCATAGTGGTGATGCTTAAGTGGTTCTGGTTGTGACTATGGGCACAAAAGTCGAAGAAACTTTGGAAGACACGAATTGACATTATTAGATTCTTTAAATCTAAAGAAAAGTTTACTAGAAAAAAAAAATGTTTATTTTTTTCTAGTAAACTTTTCTTTAGATTTAAACATCTAGCAGTTAAATGCTTAAAAAGTAAATAAAATCATAATTATTAGATTCTTATAATGTTGTAATAAGAGCAATATTTTGAAAGCAATTTCTGTGACTGCAAAGAGTAAACTAACGTGTACTGCACCGCGTAATCGTATCGTCATCGTCAAATTTTGTATGGAAGGAGCCAGATTGTTCTTACGTCCGGTAGGGGCGCTGCTTAGTTTTAATAGAAAATTACACGATGCAATATAATTACGGAGCTATCAAAATTAAGCATGTTAGGCCTCTGTTCAATCAAAGTGTTTGTGCTAAAGCAGACTAGTCTACTCTGGCAGGAACATGGTAATTATTTGCGTGCTATGATTGTTCTTTTGGAAATGTATTAAAATTAATATTTTCCTTGTCCTATACAGGGTCGAAAGATATAACAGAAACATTTATACAAATTAGACTGCAAAATGACTGGATCTTTAGTCAGAAAAAGTGGGCTTGGAAGTAAGCTAATGTTTTTATTATTTTAAAATACTTATGTTTAATTCGCATTTGCCAAATTAAATAAATGCCTGGCTTAGTAAAATAACAACTATAATGATAATTATGAATATTCTTATTTTTATGTCATAATAATGCTTTAAGGGATTTCTTTCTAATATAACTTAAATATCATAATCTTGCTGTATAATGCAAAAACAAAATAGTAATAAAAGCTTTTTTTTTGTTGTCAGTGATCTTCGTAAAATAATGGTTGAAGAATATGGCTTCCCTATTACGTTAACGAGTAGGGAAATTTGCCGAAAATGGGCCGCTACATTTTCTGTAAGTAAATAATATAGAAATAATAATTATTTATTTAAATTTCCTTCACATAATGTACGTATAATCAAAGAAGAGTAACAATATTTATGTCTATTCATGTATAAATAGCACAAGGTAATTTGTAAACATACTTAAATATAGTTATGACCAAAATAACTAATATATTATATATACAGGCTGTTTGATAAATAATACACCTAAACACGCCAAAACGCACGCAAAAACGTAGTAATATGGTCTTATGGAAATGGTTAGAATTAGGATCTACAGCGATAGAATTAGTCTTAGTATAGCGAAAAGTTTATATCGAAAATAGCCTATAGTGAAAAAACAACATGCAGGCCGACGGGGTGAGGATGGCTGGTGTGGCAGGTAGAACTGCTTTATCAGCTATCTTCGCGTCTGGACTTCACCGTCACTTAACATCAGGTGGGGTAGATTCATTTGTCGGACCTATCTATAAAAAAAATAGTCGTAAAAACGAGCTTTGCATTTCGATTTGTGACAACTAAATAGACCTTTATTCTATATAATGAAGGTAACTAACAGGATGTTTAAATATTTTTGTTTTAGGCTACGTTATCGTACAATGTAACTTCAGGCACAGATTACTTAATAGTTACTACGTAACTTTAGGGCAGTTCAGCCATTCTTGTATTCGTCATGTTGAATCTATGATTTTTAATATCTCAATTGAGTGACCAGACAAAAATATCATAAAAACGAGCCAGCCTTACAGTAGTCGTGAATGATGTGTAACATTTGAAACCTCACCTTATATTAGTAAAAAAAGAAATAAAACCTACTACAAAAGGAATAAGCCATTTGAACATTATGTTCTAAAATCAAATCAAATAGCGCGCGCTTCCCAAACTTCCTGTTACACACTTTCGTCCCACTTCACGTAATCACTCCCACAAATTGCACGAAAGCGAAAGGAAAGATGTTACACATCAACAATTTGCGTAACCTTTTCAAAACTTTATTCTTGTATCAAACAGGAATACCAAAAAGCTAAAGCCACGAACAATAAATCTTGGGTTTACTACAATCTCTTTGAAGTATATCTGGGAGAAGGCAGTCACTTGAAAACATTAAATCCTCTTGTAAACTGTAAGTTTTAGACTTATGATATTATTTAATTGCCTTTTTGTCAATACATTGGTCTGTAGTTGTTTTGGTGAGATTTTAATAGTGTTATTTTATTATGGGATCTGTTAGTTGGTATAATTCTTTTCGAAATCATGTTCGGGAGTCTTTTAAAGCTGCGTATACGCTAGAGGAGCCGAGCACGAGCGGAGCGCAAGCCGAGCCGCTCGTTCCCAGTGTCAAGTGTGGATGTGCAACGAGCCTACATCAATCACTCTCTTCGAACATAGGTTTCCGTAGTGTGCTCGTGGCTCACGGCGGGGATGGACGAGTTGTTTGCAGCAACCGCTGCTGCTACAACGATTATTACAGTCGAAGTTAGTAAAACAGCTAAAAGACCAAGACGATGGGAATCTACAAATTTATATAAAGACAGACAAATTCAATAATTGCAACCACCATCTTCTGTCCACGTTTCCATGATACTCCGGCCAGCGAAACGAGCGTGTGTCAATTAAAGCGTCTACGAGCGCACTCAGCGAGCGCTACGCAAATCCCTTTGTGTTTGTCAAAAAACCGACAACGGGCGGAGCACGGTCGAGCACGAGCCGAACGCTCGAAGTGCGCCCGTTCGAGGCTCGTAAGCCGGTCCACACTACACGAATTTCGGCTCCGCTCGTGCTCGGCTCGTCTAGCGTATACGCAGCTTAATGGAGAACTTCACGCAGAGACATAAAATACAATTAATGATTTTGCATTTCTCGCAGGGCAAGAGCAATGGGTACACAATCTAATTAGCACCAGGATAGATTTGGAACATTTATTCAAGTTTTCATTGAAAGATCAAAGCGGCGGGTGGAGGTATGTGTTGTATATTTAGTATAACTATAAAATTAAATTTTGAAATCCAAATTACTTGGCAAATTTATTTTATTTACGGGATTGCTTCCATGTACCTTGTTTTAGCAAGTTACTTCAGTTACTCCACGATCATGGCGCTTGCAACAGTGTCGAAATATCGGAACATCGCTTAAAACAAGGTACATGATAGCAATCCCGTTAATAACAAATAACTATAATGTTAGTGATCATGAAAGTTTAAAACATATACTTCCACATATTTTTCTTTTTTATGATTATTTGATTCGACGACAGATAATATTTTTATCTTAGATTAAAACAAAAAGGGAAGATACGGTACGCTCATACTATCATCAAATAAAATATGATCCGAATCAACTACATAAGCAACTCTCACACACGCACACTTCTGTAAATAAACATTCAATCGAGCGAGCGAGACAGAATTGTACGCTTCAACGCAGCAGAGTCCGTGTCGCTTTGCAGCCTTTTCTTTTCTCTCTCTTCAGACGGCTGAGTTGTATTGTTGTCCTTTCTTTGATAAAAAATGGCGAATCAGAAACTAACATTCATAGCAAAGCGTGATTTTTGATAAAAAATGTTTTTATATTTTTACGAATGAAAAGTGTTGCCGTGGCATTTTTTATTTGATCTTCAACTATTTGTGTTCTTTATAAAAGCATAGAAGGCATTGTTTTATCTTTGTAACACAGATTATACGCAATATTATTATATTGAGTGCACATGCATCGTGTTTAAATCGAGTGCCCGATCTTCCCTTTTTATTTTAATCTAAGGTTTTAATATAATAACTAAGCAATTTCATATCTATGTATGTATTGAATAGCTTTTATTGTTTTGTCCAGAGAAGTTGAGAAAAGATTGCGTAACCTTGGCCTTCCTCAGGACCACAGTTTGCTTGATCTTCCGGAGATATGGACTCATTTGCTGAAAACATTCAGGGTAATATTATATTTATACATATCCTACAAGTATTATAAATTTGAAAGTTTGAATTTTTGTTACTCCATCACGCAAAAATTGATGAACATAATATTTGGATGAAATTATGGTACGCGTATAGTTTATGACCTGGATTGAGACATAGGATAATTTTTATGGAATTTTATGAAAAATGGCAGGTTCCTGTGGGATTTTCAAAAACGCGGTCGAAATCGCGGGCGGACGCTTGTATAATTATAAGTATTTTTTTTCTTGTTTTGTCCATTCAGTCTTGTGCAGATAGATTTAGTGAAAATTTTGACCTTTCACGGACTTGATTTATCTGCGTATACTGTGTATATATATGTATACACCTGCACCAAAGATGCAACGATTTTGTATGACTAGCATTGAAAGAAAGAAAGAAAGCAATTTTATTTATAACAACATATGTAAGAAAGATGTTCAGTGATAATTAGCTAAGTACATAACATGTCGTGCTAATACATTCATTCTTCTTGTTTATTGTCGCATCGCTGTAAAAAAAGATTACACAAAAGTGTCCACTCCTCTAAGTGTCACTCGTTATTTTTAAGTAATATAGATATTTCTATACGCTAGTTTCTGACACTACCTTTTCATATCTGTGAAATAAAAGCGTTGACATATCTACCAGATGGTTTTCCTCAATCCGACAGTTGGGTCAGATATTCTTAGCTTATTACAAGTCGTAGAGAGCTTTGATTCTGACGTCGTCGACAATTGCAAAACCGTCCAATAGGGTTAGAAACCCCAGAATAGTTCCGTAGGTATTTATGAATTCCATATATCGAGTAAACCACGAGTATATCGAGGAGCTCGATGGCGCGGGTGGTTAGCGCGTTCGGTTGCGATCGTTGAAGTTAAGCAACTTTTGCAGTGGTTGGTCATTGGATGGGTGACCAAAAATCTTCTATCTCGAGTTCCTCCGTGCTTCGGAAGGCACGTTAAGCCGTTGGTCCCGGCTGCATCTGCAGTCGTTAGCACCCGCCAATCCGCACTGGGCCCGCGTGGTGGGTCATGGCCCAATCTCCCTATTCCATCCATAGGGAAGGCCTGTGCCCCATCAGTGGGAACATTAATGGGCTGATGATAATAATGATGATGTGGAGTAAATACTATTCGTTATAACTTTTGACAATTATAACATCAGTATCTTCATTACTGGGATTTTCCTGTGATGTGACTAAGGCTAGGTAATGAATATAGGCTAAAATACCTAGTGATGTATCCGATACCGATACCAATATATTGGCGATACTCCTGTTTTGCCCATATATCGACATCGGCGATATTTTTATGGCTGATTCAAGGATACTTTAATATATTTTTTAATGTATACACGCATGATATCCTTTATTTCGTTGCAAACGAGGCACGAACTAACTATGCTCGGGGTAACCCCGCGCTTTTTTCAGTGTCTTATGTTTCGCTTGCCGGCTTTGGTCTCGCACTCGCTATTCCATTTCGCTAGGCTGACTATTGTCACGCGTAGTGTTTTTCCATACAAATAAAATAGGAATTACATATTGTGATTAGGTTGTGTTTGCATATCATTAAAACTAGTCATTGCGTCAAATAAATAGTAGTCATATAAACTGGCCGTCAGGACCGCGGTAGCGTAATGGTCTCGTAAAATTTTCTCTAGATTTAAACATCTAGCAGTTAAATGCTTAAAAAATAAAAAAATAAACCTTATTTGTGTTTCATTTATTTCAACTTCATTTTTTAATTCAATAAGGGCATCGGTATCGGTATAGCCGATATTTTTATACGACCATAGGTATCGGTATCGTATCGGCAAAAAGGCGTATCGAGGCATCCCTAAAAATAATTCTCTAGGCGTGCGTAGCGTAGATCAATGAAGCGTTCAACGACTGACAATGTAACGGAAAATTAGGTATTTCTGAAGGGAGTTTATCAAGATTGTAAATTTTGTTTTCGATCCATCCGATGACTGTTTTGCAAGTTAATTATCTGAACATACCGAACTCACATACTTCATTGTAGAGTTCTAGATGAATTCTCATATTCATTTATTTATTTAGTATAGCGGTAAGAGAGTTTGGTATGTTTAGATAATTAACTTGCAAAACGGTGATTTGTAGAATGCTACAAAAATGTTCATAAATCAATAAAAAAAAAAAAACTTAATCTCAGAAAGTACTAAACCATTTGTGTTTAAATCATAATTATTAAAGATTATAAATACTAACGGGCCGCTTCCATGTTCATCTATTATGATTATCCTTTTTCCTTTGATTTTTCTCCAAGTAATAAATTCGCTTTCTATCGATGATGAGATCTATCAAAGACAATATCTTACAGTGGAAGAAGAAATTTGCTACCAAAGGCATCCTTAACGAGCATTGGCCGTATTATGAAGCTCTGGCTCGATATGTAGAGTCGCACACCTCAAGAAGGCCAAATCTGAAAGAGAAAGACCACGACGAGAGGGAGATGGATGATTCTGCAGTGGGGGACGATTGTGAGGACGATATGAAACTGCTAGACCTAAAACAGCGCTGGAGATTGGAGCCCAAGTACGAGACAGATGCACACCACTGCCGATCTTGTTACAACGAACAAGCGTCGGTTAATATATTTGAGAAAGTCGATGCCGAAGGAATGGATGTTGCTTGCAAGCTCCGAGTCATCGGCGGGATTGAAGTTAGTAACCAGTCCATTTTAGTATAATTATAAATAGGATAATGTTTAATTATAAACTGAAAGTACTCAAGGCATACTCGGGCATTTTGCGTATTTCACATAAATTAATGTTGTTTTAAAATCAATAATGTGATTGTTTAATAAATGATATCTGCTGTATTACTGCGCAAGAATCTACTCATATAGGTATCTCTTATGATAATTTTTGTAGGTATACAACTCTACTTCACTTCCAATGAGATGTGTATTCATATTTGATTTGGGGCTCTCCAAGATGGTTATGATTTTTTATCGCAAAAATTAACTTAAGTTACATAAACCAACGAATGTTTTGTGTGTAGATTTACAACAATATAATACTTTTTGTGCAGATCGACAAATCGGATAATTTGCCGCCACAGATTTGTGCGAGATGCCTTCAGGAATTGGAAAACGCGTACAATTTCCGTCGAAAGTGCCAGGATGTTGACAAGCACTTGCGTAAAGAGACATTTAATGGAATAAAAATCGAGATTACCGAAAAAGTCGAAGAAAACCAGGAGAATCAGGACCACAACAACATAAACATTTCGAGAGAAAAACTTGACCATAACAACTTCGATGATATAGACATGCATAACGATGACATTCCCGGTGAATCGGAAATCAAAATTGAACCCAAACCGGCCGTTGTGAAGAAGCAAACACCGAAAGCGATGCGCAAGAGGAAAAAGGTTCGCAAACTTAAGTACGACTATTGGAAAGTGTGCGAAGTTTGCGGGAAGCACACCAGGAACCTGGTCAGCCATTTGGACATGCATTCTACCGGGAAGCCGTACTCTTGCAATGTGTGCGATAAAAGATTCAAATTCAAGAGTGGGTTGGTGATCCATAAGGCAGTGCACAATCCCACGCCGCGTAAGACGTGCGAAGTTTGCGGCAAAACATTCCATGTGCTCGCGCAGTACCGCCGGCACTATGTATACCACGCGAATGAGAGGAAGTACGCTTGCGAGACATGTGGCAAAAGATTCAACACTTTGGACATATTGAAGGTTCACAACCGAACACACACTGACGAGAGACCGTTCAGCTGTCAGGAGTGCGGCAAAACTTTCAGAACGGCGGGGTGCGTCAGTAGGCATAAAAGAATTGTACATAGAAATTTGAAAGCTCAATAAAATTTTGAGGATTACACTTGTTGATTTTTATTGTTTAACGTATAGTTACGGAATTCACTTCATTGACCCCTTCACACATTTTATCTTCACAAATATAACGATGTAAGTATGTTCTTGATTATATCTCTTATCTATTCTAAGTAACAGTTGTTTTTTATTTGTTTGATAGTAAAAGGAGCTTGTTTCTTTTCAATTAAATTATGAGATAAAATGTCATTCAAGCACATGGCTAAAATGAAATTACACATATGAAATCAAAAATAAGTACGAAGGCACTAAGTTGGCGCTCTAAGTCCAGGAAAGGTAAGTTTTTTCATTTTATTAACACTGTCCGTAAAAAGTCGTGATTTGCGATATTTAGAAAAAAAATATAGCATATTGTTATAGTATTCCTTCGTATGTGAATTATACCTACTTTCCAGTTTACGAGCACTGCGCCACGGATGTTGTCATCATTGTTGATATAACCGAAATTAAGAGCAATGTACTTCTTTATCTAGTGTCTGAGATGTTAGCTGTGTGTTTACTATAAGTATCTACACTGAGCGAGAACACGCGCACATCTTACTTTAAAACGTATATAATAAATAATGTATGGAAATCGCTCCGAGGAGAACGCGTGGGGACAATAACAGTTGATCGACCGACAGCTTCCAAAAATAAGGTTTCGTTTAATCCTTCGGAATGTTGATCGAAACGTACGTCAATAAGGCATTAATAAACAGGCGCATGCGTTGCTTCGACCCTGCCTGCCTGCACCGCGGCCGGCGCCAGCGCAAGTCATCAAAGTTCATCGTCAGTTCGCGATCGGCTGCGCGTACGCACGCAGTCCACACGCTTAATTCAAATTTAGAACTTAGCCGTGTTTAAACCGCGATATAAATCCAAAACGAACAAAGGGTGCTTCCTAGTTTAAAATAGAATTAAAAGGCCATCATGGCGGTGTTGAGTCTGGTAAGCTCTTTGTTTTATTTTTCATTCATGAAGATACTTTTAAAATGGAATCTTCAAATTTATTATAACATTTTATGATATTAACATGACAGATTTGGTCATGAATTTATTGATTTAAGAAACAGTAACTTAGATCATATGAGGATGAATGAACACATTTATTTGTGATCATAATGTGTCTTCGTTGATTCTGGTATCGTCGTAATTTGCGCAATGCATGTTATTGTGCATTAAGCACTTAAAAAAGTTTTCTTTAAAAAGAGCGATAACTAATCTTATATTTATTGACTTAACTTTAAATGAGAGGATTTTTTTCATAATGAATACTTATTATAGAAGTTATATGTGAGTGCTAATATATTATTTCGTATCCTCACTGAGTTTCGTCTGACAAAGATTAATTGTTATCATTATAAATTATTCAAATCGGCTGCACACCCTTTTCCTAAATAATTTAATAACACAAAGTCTGCTTTATAGCCTTTTCTACGGTAACAATATTAAGGAATGATAAGATAAGATTTATAAAATTTTAAGATTTGCTTTTTAGTTGTATAATTTCATGATAAAGATTGATTAATGTATCCTTTCGGAAACCTTCAATGCATGTAAGTCATTGTAAGTCCAAGTACTAATTCTTGAAACTAACCAATAAAATTTGAACTTTAAAGTTAGCCCGTAACTGTAGAACTGTGTAATACCGGATTACTCTTCCTGCATCAGTTTTTATTTACCTTTTCATTTTTATAAGTAAACCGGATATATCTAGTGAACTGTTTTGCACCACCCAAAACATAATCTTATAGAAAAGGTCATTCATTGATCTCTTAGCGTTGTTATAATAGTAACAATGTTGTCAGTTGATATCAATAAATAATGCAGTGCGACTTAATATTTATGTAATATTCGGCACTTAGCATTATAGAGCCATCGTGTCTGAAAATAATTCGCAGATTTAAAAATTTGTTAAAGTTTAAAATAGTTACATGACGTTCATAATTCGTAGATAGAACAATATTGAAAATATGAATTTCTACTCAGTTGACTGACTGATAGAGACCGGTTGATTTTTATTATTGTAGTTAGTTAAATAGATATTTCTATTATTTACAGTCTGTGCTAAACTAAAACGTGAGCAATTAGCTAGATACTAGGGGATGTGGGTTTATGTCGTAGGCATAATAGGTATTTTCTTATGTTGAGTCAAAGTGGGTTCCTGGTAAATATAATTAATTTTCACATTATAAGCGATTCGCCGTCAACGCAATATGTTTGGAATCCGGCCAAGGACTGTAACTCTGTGTTTCAGTTTACTTAGATTCCTTTCCCTTTGTTTATGACGTCATCTAAGGGCAGGAATTCGAAGAAACTTTATAAATAAAATTAATTGTGGTATTTTCTAATTTCCTTTATGTGGCTAAGCAATGAGTCCGAAATTCTTACGTACATTGAACCGGATGTTGTAAAGCACGTTCGTATCCCAAACTTAGTTATGAGTGCAGAAAAACGCAACATCCGTGCGTATTGGTGTTTTAAGAATAGGTTTATGCTGCCAGAAGCATTCATACAATATTTCATTCTAAATGATCCACTCACAAATTAGTCAACTGAAATACTCAATAAACGACGATTTAGACGATAGGCGACGGAACGGCTTGATAAATAGACCATTTATAACAAATCTGAGCTAAACAAGATTGCTGGATACGCTCTCGTAGCGATGATGAATGCTAATGTTTGTTTTATTGAGCCCATTACCGTCTGTAGCGGCTGCTGATTGGATATATTAGGTAAGGACGGGTGTCCCGTTAAATTAGGTCTGGTGCAGACGTTACATTACATCAGATATAATGTGATTTAAGTGTTCATTGAAATTAATAGATTAGGTAGATTAGACTCATTGAAAGGTCTTTGTAATTTCTAGTTTATTTTGTAGGCTTGCGAGTGTCGTTTTATTGATAGATTCATACTCGAATAACTAACGTTCTTATTTCTAACAGAGTGATAGCTGTGGTGATAGTGTGTGTGAAATTGAAAGTTTGGTAATTTTAATTAGCAAAAAAGTGAAATAAAAATTGTAGAAAAAAATGGAAAACTAATTAATATCGTAGAAAAACGCCCCCACAAGAGAAAGAGTGACACCACACTAATTCTTATTGTAAACTCTTCCTAAGGGTCAAGTCAGACCGATAGCGGAACCTTGTACCAAAAAGGTTATCTATTTATTCTATTAAAGCGATAAATTGACTAGAAATTGATGTTCACTAATTTAATCTTCTCATGCTGTATGATTATTAGAGAGGGTACCAATGCTAAATTTCGAGTCAAATATCTATTAATCACGGGTAATTTAAGCTATTATGTGTCTTATAGTACAATTCAGTTCGTTTATTTACAGTCGGACCACGATAAGTCTGCAGTGGACTGGCAGTAGCAAAAATTAAAACTTAAAACATGGCAATAAAAATTAAAACATGACAGTGCTGATTTTAATTTTACTTTAATTAACTAGCCCTGATACTTTATTTTTAACAGACTTAAAAAAGGAGGAAAGTCTCAGTTCTATGCCTATATGTATGGGTACGATTACACTTGGCCTTTCGCCCGAATTCGACTGCTAATGAAATTCCGGTAAACGCCTAAGTGTAAATGAACCGAGTCAAGGACGCCCGTATTCGGGTACATTTATCCGCGTACTATTTTACTACCTTTGTATCCATTTTATTTAGTTGTTTGTATTTTTAGGTCGTAAATGATATATTGTTAATTGTTTACTTCCCTCATAGGACGTGCTTCGCTTAGTATGGGTTTCTGTTATATAGTTTTGTTTATGAATAAATGGATTATTATTTCCTTTTGTTTACACAACACCGTCTTCCAGCCCGTATTCCAGTGTTAATATTGCTTCGGGTGCCTGAATTCGAATAATGTGTTCATGCACCCGAATGCGGGATAACGACCATATGTAATTGGGGCTTTATGCTAAATTTCTAGTAAAAAAATTATATAATCACGGGGAAGTTAGGCTATTACAATTCAGTTCGATTAATTATTCGTAAAGTATTAGCTGTACATTTAATTTTTTCATTAATTGCACATAGCATAGTTGGGATGGGGATGGGGAATGCCATTAGGCTTAAAATAGATGGTAAGGGTCAGTGGCCTAAGAGACACTGACACTATTATGTTTTTTGTTGTTTACCTACCTACCTAGGTAATCTGCAGTTCAACATTCTGGAAAAGATTAGGTATATCATGAGTTGCAGTATATCGAGTTGATTTATACCTACGTATACAGAAGAAGTTAATTAGTCTTTCAAATAAATTATAAACTTAGTTGAACCAAACCATCGAATGACTTGAACTCTTAAACTTCCGTAACATTCAAAAATATTCATCCCGAATCTCAATTTTAATAGTAAACAACTGGTCGAAGGGAACCCCCTTCATTAAAAGATAAACGACGTTGAAGTTATGAAAAGGTAGGTAGTACTTATAACATTTTATTCTATTAATCATATTAAAATGGTCCTTTCTAACCTACCTACGCACCTGTTTGAATAATGTTGTGTGTGTCCCCAGAGAATTTGGTGGGTGGCCGCTGTGTTGCTGTTATGGACCCCTCACATGCACTGCCGGAACGTTACGTAAGTGTTATTGCATAAACTTTGTATCTAAATAGTGTTAGCGAAGGGCCGCACTTCTCCAACTACGAATATAATTGGCGGTAGCCTAAATAAATCTCGGTTTTCAAAGGGCTTGCCCTTTTAGCGTCTATTTGATGGCTCGTAAATATTTTATAATACTTTACAGTTAACTCTGTTTAATGTTACTGCTTGTAGAAAGTTTATGAGTTTATTATCAACTAGCGGCCCGTCCCTGCTTCAAACGTGTGTATTAAATACTATGGAAACACAGTGGATCAGCACCTGATAAAATAACGTGAATAATTTAATACAGATTTGGATGTAAAAGTGAGTTTCCTATGTAATAGATAGTATAGCATAGATATATACTCGGTAAACTAAAGACTGCTCAACGTTATGTCCATTTGTCAATCACATGTCAAATTATGAAGTTTAAGCTTTAAAAGGTCCCATATACGGAAAGATTCGTCGTTGCGATCGATCTGAAGGAAATCGTCAACGATCGATCGTTCAGAAATGCCTCTACATACACGAAACGATTGATCGTAACGATCTATCATTTACTTGTTTCAAACGGTAGGATAAAGGCGTACTCAAATAATTCAATACTTGCACTCTAAAATGGAAAACGAACTCATGATTGCATGAACGATATTTATGATTGCATAGGATTTGGTTGCGATTTGCGATATCGTCTTCGATTAAGTAAATCGTTAACGATCTTGACGTACACTGTCGATCCATCGTTTCGATCGGTCTGAAACGACGAATCGTACAGATCAATCGTACCGTGTATGGGACACTGACGATCGATCGTTTACGATATTCATGATTGCATGGGTTTTTGTTGCGATCTCCGATATCGTCTGCGATTAAGTAAATCGTTAACGATCTTGACATACACTGTCGATCCATCGTTTCGATCGGTCTGAAACGACGGATCGTACAGATCAATCGTTCCGTATATGGGCCCCTTAAGAGAAATGAAAAATGAATAAGAAATCAGAGCAAATCTGTTGATAACAAGTCGAATAGATATTCGAATTCATTTTCAGATTAAATCTACTTGGTCAGGGGCATGGTCACCCTGATTTTGCAGCTTAGCAAAAAGTTTCGTAGTATATAGTTCGAGTATATTAAATCTATTTGGCCATCCTGATTTATCTGTTGCGTTGGTGTGCAAAATTTTAATCAATCTTATGTACTTTTGGATGATCTCCCATACAAACTTTGACACGTAATTTTGAAAACTTTTGAGGGAAATTGTAAAAATTTTATGTAACAGGCTTAGTGTACATCCATTAAATAATGTTTATGCAAAATTTGCAGTCAATAGGTCCAAGGGATAAGATTTTACGAACAAATGTTTTTTGCACACGCTTAAGAGACTGAATTTCAAAAAATTTAATTATAATCATAATCATAATCAAAATCATTTATTCAGTTAAGCTTTTGTAATAACAAGCACTCATGAATGTCTAGAAGCTACGCCATCGGTTTGTAAATCTTCGGCACGGGAAACCTTGTACTGAGAAGAACCGGCAAGAAACTCAGCAAGGGCTGTTTTATTCATTTAAAACAGGGAGAAATAAATTGAAAAATGACTTCAGAGATGATTCATGAAGTCACCTTTCAGTAAATAAGGATTAAATATACATTAATTGTTTACCTGCATTTTGATTGCTGTGTCATATAGTATAAAAACAAATAGTGTTATTTATATTAAGTGTAATTAAACATTAACATCTTCAATATCAAGGAAGTTAGGGCAGACTCATCTCCGCTGGCAGCACCCGTTCACGAGCATGACGCATGAACCAGCCATCGCTTCGCTTAACCATATTTTAGGGAACCTAACGACCCGCCTCACACGACACCGCCGAAGAGACTATTAAGAGAGCATGACTACCCATAACTACCCATACTAAAGACAACATATTTACTTAAATTAAGGTTATTTATCTGTAGGACACCGCAAACAATTACAAAAGCAAAGCAATGGAGAAATCACGACCACGCCGTTTTGATTAAAATATTCTTAACAGTCTGATAATCTTCCTCAAGTTATCAACTTTATATACAGCATTCAAATTTAATTAAGTATTGTCAACACATGTTTCATAATATATATCATATAGAAATGCCCGTTGGAATGGTTGGAACAGTTCATACCCAAGCATTTTTGTCTGTAATATAGTCAGGCACTTTATAATAAGCCTTCTTAACAAGTGATTTTTTAATGGTAGATTTAAATTTAGTCAGGCTTAACTCTTGAATATTGCTTGGGACTTTATTGATGAGTCAGTCAGTCTATCCGTGTATCCTTTTCTCTCTTTATATAATAGTATAGATGTGCATTCTGAGTCGCCGTCTTTGCCACTACAGAAAGGCGGCTGGCACGGCGGGGCGCGGCGCTTTTAGGGAGCATTTCGGCAATGTTTTGTAGAAAGGGCGAATAAGCCATTTTTCGGCAACATATTTGTACAGGAAAAAACTGTTTTATATGTCTACTAGCTGACCCAGCGAACTTAACCGCCATAGAATAGGGGCTGGTAGTAGAAGGGTGAAAATTTAGTGTTGTATGTAAGTATTTTTTAATGCCACGCTATAAAAATTAAAATTCTGACTTAAAAATAAAATTTAGGGGTGGGCAACCCTTATCACATAGCTATAGGTAGGGGTATGAAAAATAGTAGCCGATTCCCAGACCTGAATATGTATATAAAATTTCATAAAAATCGTACAATATCATCATCATAAAGTAGTACAATGTTAGTTACATTGTGACACGAGAATTTTATATATAAGATTTGGACTGCAGTGCTATTCTGTTACGAATTAAGGCCTAATGTGGCATATTGGCCTTTACAATTTTCATCATCAAAAATGGCTTATGGTTTACCTTTCTACAGAACATTGACGATTTTATGTAGCAAGATGAAGATTATAACAGCATTTTTAACACGATACAATAACAGAACAGGTGTGTCAGTATTCCGGCGGACTGCATTCCGCAACTCTAGTGTTTGCGCTTGAGTAATTTCAATTTTGCGTGAGTAATGACCTCAGCCCTGCCATCGTAGCTCTTCCAGGAAGCCCAGCAATCCAGGGATATTGCTGCAAGTCGCAAGTAATCTTCCCATGTGTGAATTCCTTTGTCTTGCAACGCTCCTACATTCCAATCGAACGTGGGCGCTCCTTTCTTCCGCCTCCAGTTCCCGTAACACGAGCACCACAACTTACATTATATCACGTTTTTATGGCGTCTTACCGTCAAACTCCATAGTAATTTGACAATTGAGTGTGATAAAAACTCTAGGGGTGCTCAGGGTAAGGAGGCAGAGGCAGAGTAATACATACTATTATTGTTACATGTTATTATCCTTTGAGCAAGTTCCTATAAATCAATAAAAAAACCCAAAAATAAAATCTTTACTGTATTTATTTATAGTCAACGCATAATGCTTTAGCATGTCGGTCCTGTAGTAAATTATTATCCACAACAACAACTTATTGTCTCCGAGTTCAAAGAAGGACGACGTATTTGTATAGAAATAGGAAGAAAATTATGAACAAACTTTAGTTGAAGGGCAGTGATACAGCGCCGTGTCGACCCAAGGCCTTATCAGGCAAGAGCGATATTGCTTTTCAGCGCTCTTTGGTCAAAACATTAGCTTCACGTTTTTATTCTCAATGCGATTTATCACGCATTTGGCTATTTAGCGTCCCTTGACTAACACCCTGACGCCTGGAGTTATACTCCTACTACCCCCAGGGCCGGTGTTGTGGATAATAATTTACTACAGGACCGACATGCTAAAGCATTATGCGTTGACTATAAATAAATACAGTAAAGATTTTATTTTTGGGTTTTTTTATTGATTTATAGGAACTTGCTCAAAGGATAATAACATGTAACAATAATAGTATGTATTACTCTGCCTCTGCCTCCTTACCCTGAGCACCCCTAGAGTTTTTATCACACTCAATTGTCAAATTACTATGGAGTTTGACGGTAAGACGCCATAAAAACGTGATATAATGTAAGTTGTGGTGCTCGTGTTACGGGAACTGGAGGCGGAAGAAAGGAGCGCCCACGTTCGATTGGAATGTAGGAGCGTTGCAAGACAAAGGAATTCACACATGGGAAGATTACTTGCGACTTGCAGCAATATCCCTGGATTGCTGGGCTTCCTGGAAGAGCTACGATGGCAGGGCTGAGGTCATTACTCACGCAAAATTGAAATTACTCAAGCGCAAACACTAGAGTTGCGGAATGCAGTCCGCCGGAATACTGACACACCTGTTCTGTTATTGTATCGTGTTAAAAATGCTGTTATAATCTTCATCTTGCTACATAAAATCGTCAATGTTCTGTAGAAAGGTAAACCATAAGCCATTTTTGATGATGAAAATTGTAAAGGCCAATATGCCACATTAGGCCTTAATTCGTAACAGAATAGCACTGCAGTCCAAATCTTATATATAAAATTCTCGTGTCACAATGTAACTAACATTGTACTACTTTATGATGATGATATTGTACGATTTTTATGAAATTTTATATACATATTCAGGTCTGGGAATCGGCTACTATTTTTCATACCCCTACCTATAGCTATGTGATAAGGGTTGCCCACCCCTAAATTTTATTTTTAAGTCAGAATTTTAATTTTTATAGCGTGGCATTAAAAAATACTTACATACAACACTAAATTTTCACCCTTCTACTACCAGCCCCTATTCTATGGCGGTTAAGTTCGCTGGGTCAGCTAGTAGACATATAAAACAGTTTTTTCCTGTACAAATATGTTGCCGAAAAATGGCTTATTCGCCCTTTCTACAAAACATTGCCGAAATGCTCCCTAAAAGCGCCGCGCCCCGCCGTGCCAGCCGCCTTTCTGTAGTGGCAAAGACGGCGACTCAGAATGCACATCTATACTATTATATAAAGAGAGAAAAGGATACACGGATAGACTGACTGACTCATCAATAAAGTCCCAAGCAATATTCAAGAGTTAAGCCTGACTAAATTTAAATCTACCATTAAAAAATCACTTGTTAAGAAGGCTTATTATAAAGTGCCTGACTATATTACAGACAAAAATGCTTGGGTATGAACTGTTCCAACCATTCCAACGGGCATTTCTATATGATATATATTATGAAACATGTGTTGACAATACTTAATTAAATTTGAATGCTGTATATAAAGTTGATAACTTGAGGAAGATTATCAGACTGTTAAGAATATTTTAATCAAAACGGCGTGGTCGTGATTTCTCCATTGCTTTGCTTTTGTAATTGTTTGCGGTGTCCTACAGATAAATAACCTTAATTTAAGTAAATATGTTGTCTTTAGTATGGGTAGTTATGGGTAGTCATGCTCTCTTAATAGTCTCTTCGGCGGTGTCGTGTGAGGCGGGTCGTTAGGTTCCCTAAAATATGGTTAAGCGAAGCGATGGCTGGTTCATGCGTCATGCTCGTGAACGGGTGCTGCCAGCGGAGATGAGTCTGCCCTAACTTCCTTGATATTGAAGATGTTAATGTTTAATTACACTTAATATAAATAACACTATTTGTTTTTATACTATATGACACAGCAATCAAAATGCAGGTAAACAATTAATGTATATTTAATCCTTATTTACTGAAAGGTGACTTCATGAATCATCTCTGAAGTCATTTTTCAATTTATTTCTCCCTGTTTTAAATGAATAAAACAGCCCTTGCTGAGTTTCTTGCCGGTTCTTCTCAGTACAAGGTTTCCCGTGCCGAAGATTTACAAACCGATGGCGTAGCTTCTAGACATTCATGAGTGCTTGTTATTACAAAAGCTTAACTGAATAAATGATTTTGATTATGATTATGATTATAATTAAATTTTTTGAAATTCAGTCTCTTAAGCGTGTGCAAAAAACATTTGTTCGTAAAATCTTATCCCTTGGACCTATTGACTGCAAATTTTGCATAAACATTATTTAATGGATGTACACTAAGCCTGTTACATAAAATTTTTACAATTTCCCTCAAAAGTTTTCAAAATTACGTGTCAAAGTTTGTATGGGAGATCATCCAAAAGTACATAAGATTGATTAAAATTTTGCACACCAACGCAACAGATAAATCAGGATGGCCAAATAGATTTAATATACTCGAACTATATACTACGAAACTTTTTGCTAAGCTGCAAAATCAGGGTGACCATGCCCCTGACCAAGTAGATTTAATCTGAAAATGAATTCGAATATCTATTCGACTTGTTATCAACAGATTTGCTCTGATTTCTTATTCATTTTTCATTTCTCTTAAGGGGCCCATATACGGAACGATTGATCTGTACGATCCGTCGTTTCAGACCGATCGAAACGATGGATCGACAGTGTATGTCAAGATCGTTAACGATTTACTTAATCGCAGACGATATCGGAGATCGCAACAAAAACCCATGCAATCATGAATATCGTAAACGATCGATCGTCAGTGTCCCATACACGGTACGATTGATCTGTACGATTCGTCGTTTCAGACCGATCGAAACGATGGATCGACAGTGTACGTCAAGATCGTTAACGATTTACTTAATCGAAGACGATATCGCAAATCGCAACCAAATCCTATGCAATCATAAATATCGTTCATGCAATCATGAGTTCGTTTTCCATTTTAGAGTGCAAGTATTGAATTATTTGAGTACGCCTTTATCCTACCGTTTGAAACAAGTAAATGATAGATCGTTACGATCAATCGTTTCGTGTATGTAGAGGCATTTCTGAACGATCGATCGTTGACGATTTCCTTCAGATCGATCGCAACGACGAATCTTTCCGTATATGGGACCTTTTAAAGCTTAAACTTCATAATTTGACATGTGATTGACAAATGGACATAACGTTGAGCAGTCTTTAGTTTACCGAGTATATATCTATGCTATACTATCTATTACATAGGAAACTCAACGCGGACCAGACAGCAGACGGGACTGCTGCCGTCTGCTGCCTGGTCCGCGTGCATTTTTTTAGTAAAATTTCTTTTTTGGATGAACATTCTTTCAGTACTCTGACATTTATAAGCTGGGACTGGGCGGACGCAGAGACTGACGGTCTTTAATCATTATGTTCCAAATCAAACATCAAGAGTCATGCATGGTTATCGATATCAATAAATCGTCATTAAACGTTACCAGTTTCTATAAGAGCAGGCGGCCATTCCCATTTATGTTCGGTGATTGATGGTAAAGCTTTATTCTTGTTTGACTGCATGTTGGTGGGTCGTTGTTTTTATAATTTATGTTATGGTTTTTTTATTAGTCTAATCACGGTCCAAATATAGATTTGTAAGCTTGACTCGAAAAAATTTAAGGTAAGGGAGTGCAACTGTGCCAGAGATTAAGTGCCCCATAAAATACATAATAATAATAGTCATGATGTCATAGAAAAGTTCCACGCTTCACATACGTATGATTTAGATGTTTATTATTTCGTTATTTTGTACATACACCTATATATTTTTATTGTTAAAATATATACAAAGAGGTTTTTACTACCTAGATTGTTATAATTTCGCACACAAAGATTGAGCATAAATATGAAACAATAATAAACCAACAGAATCATAATAATTTTACTGAATCACTTAGGTCCTATTTCCGTGGTTGAGCGGTGAACTCTAATAATAAAATTTACTCTAGATTCCAGCTAGTTTTCTCGCTTTACTTCACAGTATAGGTACCTACCTAAAAGTGTTTTGAGTTTATACGCTGCGGCATAGGTATCTGTATCTAAATGATTATTATAACTATCCTGAATTGAAAGTAAAATAAGTATTATGGTATAGTTGGAACATTATTTCAATGTAGTACAAATTCCGCTTCTGCTATATTTTGTAGAATCATAATATTATTGTTCCAAATATTTAAATGGCAAAAATGCTTACCTAGACGTTGCTTAGACTCCTGGTGAGACATTGTATTTGAGACCAACAAATTAAGACACCGTTTAACCAAAAATGAGAGATTAATTGTGCTTTATTTCGTTTCGAACCAAACACGTTCCAAATAAATATATAACATCACAACTTTGAATTTATTAGCTAGATAAAGCTAAGCCACTGCATTCACTTTTGCTTCGGTAATTACCTACATAAAAAATGTGGTCTAGAATGTTCCTGTACATATATGTATGAATAGGAGCGGGACTTAATATTCTTAACAAAAATTAGAAATCTAGATAACGAATCACACTAATATTATAAAGATGACAGTTTGTGAGTGTGTAGGTAAGTGTGTATGTTTGTAACTTCTTCACGTCTCAACGGCAGGAGCGATTTTAATCAAATTTGGTATGGAGTTAGCTGACACCCTGCTGGATTAACACATAGGCTACTTAACACCGCGGGGCACATCTAGTCGTAAATAATCCTCATTTCTTTGGAGTAAATGTTATTTCACATTTGTTCTCTCTCATGATTCTTTAATATGCTAGGCATTTGACAATACGAAAAATAAATTAGGTACCAATTTTGGCATGTGTACCTATTTAACATGAATATTGGGAAAGGGAACGATTTCACTATTCTGTCAAAAAAGTACGTTATAATATGACTAAAAAATCATGAAATAGAAAAGAGTTATAAATCTATTGTCACATAACCGAAAACGCCTAGGATTTGCGGAGCCTAAAATGACGTCACCTGCCTGTAAGCACGGCATGTTAGCTAGAGAAATGTTTCCGCTGCATATTTTAAAACGAAATTTTATATTTTCGATCTTTTACTGTTTACGCAACAGAATTGTAAACATCAATTCACTTAATACTAATAAATAACGAATCAAATAGTCTATTATTTACTGATGCAGAAACGAAGATATCCGAGACGCGATGATGTCGCTAGTCCACATGTTTCGGAATTCGGAGGCGAAGTTGGAACGGCACGAGTACCGAGAAAAGGCACTGGGTGAGCAGCTGAAGAAAATGATCGGTGGGCTGGAGAAGAAGCACCGCGCCCTAGAACCACTGAAGGGCATGATATCGAGGCTAGACGAGCGCCTGTCCAACGTCGAAACCATCCTTTTGCAGGTAATCTAAATAATAATATATAAATATTTCTAACACTCACACCAATTAGCCTAGCAACAAAGTTAGCACATAAGGCTTGTGTTATGGGATTCTAGGGTAACGGATAGAATCTAGTAGTTTTATTAGGTGATGAATAAGAACAAATATGTGTTCCTTTTTATATTAAGAGGATAGCAATCAAGCATTTGGCCCCCTGATGGTAAATGACCACCGTAGCCCATAGACGCTTGCGGTACCAAAGCTATCATTCGCGCCGTTACCTACCCTGACGCCACCCCCTACCCCATATAGTCCCGGAACCTCACTCACCAACACTAACACAATACCACCAAAAGGTACCACTTTACTGTGGTCTTTTGTAAGGTGACTCATTGCCACTTGTAATTTGATTCCCAGGAAAGGACATGGATAGTTTTAATCCCATAAATCATACTTTAGGGGGGTGAAAATATGGGTTAGGATTTGTATGAGAAACCAACTTTACCACGCAGACAAAGTCGCCGGCACTCACTAGTAAATTTTATGCTTCATTCCTTGAAATATCTTGTCGTTTTAAGATTTGAAAGATGAAACGTAGTATGAGGAGATCGATGGCGCATTGAAACGTACAATCTCGTTTACTATTGGTATATTGCTGTAAGTTGCTTGGGTTGGGTTACTTATATTTATCCGCTGTTTTAACCTTTCCAATATAATGATAATAACCTTCCACTTATAGAAGGAAGAGCGAGAAAAGGCATCACAAAAGAAGACCAGTGACGCGCTGGAAGAAATCCAGAAGTCTTTGCAAGCTCTCTCGTCTGCCATCAACAAGAACATGAAGGCAGCTGCCGCCGCCGCCCCACCTGAAAACAACCTCACTACTAACGACGATACACTCGACGTAAAGTTAGAATCCACCAACGCGAAACTCGACGCTGTCAAATCAGAGATAGACACTCTCAAGAACAGTCTAAGCAAGGTAAGTTTGGTTAAAGCTCCGCGAAGTTTTGGTTGGTTTTAATAACCCCATTCCCAATAAGATGGACCTTACCTAGCTTAGTTTGTCAGATATTTTTGACCGCTAACAACAAGAACTTGAAGCCGTCGCTTCAGAGAACAACCTGCCTGCTAACGTTGACACATTCGATGTAAAACTGGAGTCTCCAAACTCGACGCTGCTAAATCAGAGATAGATCACTTTCAAATCTACGGTTATTTTTATTGTGATTTAGGTTAGTATTCCGCGGATTATTGGCTGGTTTCAATGACCTGTTCTTAGTAAGAGATGGGCCTTGCATAGCTTAGTTTGTTAAATATTTTTGTCCACCACCAACAAAACTTTGAAAGCAGCTACAGCCTCCACCCTGCCTGTGAACAACCTCACTACTAATGACCACACACTTGACGTAAAGTTAGAATCCACCAACGCAAAACTCGACGCATTCAAATCAGAGATAGACACCTTGAAGCACAGACTAAGCCTGGTAAGTTAGGTTAAAGCTCCGCAAAGTATTGGCTGGTTTCATAACCCTATTCTCAGTAAGTGATGGGCCTTGCCTAGCTCAATTTGTCAGATATTTTTGTTAATAGGTTTAAAATAAAGACTGATGTTGTGATAAGTAGACAAAGAAAGCTTATCCTTTTCTGCTGTAAGAGAATAAAAGTCAAAGTGAGGTTGGCTACTGTGGCACATAATATCTCTTTAAGTCTACTGACCTCAACTTATACTTAACTGCAACTGCACTTAACACTTTATTAAGGCCAGTTAACGGGCCTCTCAACTCATACTAAATATAAAGATGGTGACTTGTTCAAAAAAAAAAATATTGTCCCTCTGCTCTTGTATGCAAGGTTTCCTGTAAGATATACAAAGTTAGTCTTGGTTTAAACCAAATGTTGTCTCTGTCTTCCTTTTAGCAAACAAAAGTGACAGCATCTGCTTTAGTCCAGTTTTAATTTTAGTCTACGTTTTGTAATAAGGCGGAGCGAGTAAAAATAACCTTCAAAATCAACGGCACATTCAGACCGGAACACAAACAAAGTCCCTTTGTCACCAGGAATCCCTTAAGGCCATATTCCTGGAAATCGCCGCCAACTACAATCCGCTCGAGAAACACATCATGGAGACCGGGAAGTTGTTGGACAAATACGAGTTGAAGCTAAACGAATACACCAAGGTGCAGACGGACTTTGTGCCGCTCAATGAAATTTCGCTCGCCGACGAAGCTTGGCACAACAAAATGTCTGAAGGTAAACCATATTAATTTCCTCGTTGCATCTCAAGTTAATATCCTACTAATATTATAAATGTTTGTGTGTTTGTTACTCATTCACGCAAAAACGGCTGAACGAATTTGCATGAACAAGAAGATAGGATGGAGGATACTTTCATCCCGAGACAGTGTTTCCTGAGGAATTTTCAATAAACAAAAGTTAACGCGGACGAAGTCGCAGGCGCCCGCTAGTAAGTCTTATAAAATAGGTATGCAGTAATATAAAAATGTTATGTTCTTTAGTATATTCATTCATCAAATATGTAAATCACAAAGGCTACCTACGTAATTCTGCATTTCATATCTACCAACGGCAACGTCAGTTAGTAATTCGTTCTTCGTAGTGCACTAGTGATGGGGTATGTATAACGCAATCGATAAATTAGTGTTCTCCATAGTTGTCGATTTCTGCTCGCTAACAGTTGTGGTCTTACACCGAAAAAATAAATAACAAACAACCATTTAAATGATAAAAGCGTGGAATTATTAAATAAAACAATTGGTGGGGATTAAATTAATTGATAAAAATAAGTTTACACTGACCAACATATTCTATAGGAAACAGAACATGACAGATATTCTATAGGAGATCAAAAGGCTCAACGTTCCTACTCTTGAAGTTGAGTTTTGATATATCTTCATCGTTGCATCGTCCAAGCTAATGTAACTTAAGAGTACGCTCTCTTTTTTGTATGAATTATAATATTGTTTATCTGTGCTGCTACCTCAATCCTACATATTTTTGCTACCGAAAACACCTACATATTTAAGATGGCGCCCAACGTGGGGCAGCCCAACATTGGCGTACATGATAATCGAATTCCTAATTAGCTAAAATACTTATTTCATAATTGCTTTTAACAGTTATGGAGCGACAAGAGAAGGAAATAGTGAAGATTAAGAAACTTCTGTCGGACGCAGAGGGTCTGTGGAAAGAATTGCCGAGTCGCACAGATCTGCAAGTTTCCACCAACCAGACTCTAGAGGCCATCGAGAGTGCTAAGGAAGATCTCAAGGAAAACGATGAAAAAAGTATGTGTGCTAATAAACAGTGGGGATGATTCTGGCATGATTCTCTCAACCTTAAACTAAATTTGATAATAGTTTGTCCTTATCGTGCTCTATAGCGAATGACAAGTAGAGACTGTTGATTATTTAGTTTTAATTAAAGAGAAGCATGCCAGAATTCGTGTATAAAATGCCGTAACATCATTTTTTTTGTTTATTTACGATATCATCTATGAAGGCCTGCGCCCCTAGCATGAGCACAGCGATATGTTATGTAACGCGTATTTATCACGCTCAAGTGTCAAATTACTATGGAGTTTGACAGTTAGACGCGATATAAAACTTGATATAATGTAAATTGTATAATGTAACATGCTACGGGGGCTGGTGTTAATTTTCGATCGTTGATGTACCATTGTTTCCGGTTTTGGTTGAATCTGCAATTTGCGTAGTGGCATGTATTTACTGGTTACCCAATATAATTTTACATCAGTATTGTGAACAAAATTGGCGACCTCCGTGGCCAAGTGGTTTGTACGCCGGGTTTCATGGTGTCGCCGACTCCAGAGGTCCCGGGTTCGAATCCCGGTGAATACGAGCATTTGTACTCCAGCCATGGATGTTTAATATGTATTTCTAAATAAATATATATGTATTCCATCCGTTACCCTAAAATAAAACTGTAGTCTAGTGACCAAGCTTACGTTTAATTTGAATCTTTTTATTACTTTACAAAATCAATTATGATTGCCAAGGTACAAACGGATTGCTTTGTTTGAATTTAGAAAATTGAGACACATCACCGATAAAAACCTATTAAAACTGCTGTACAACTCACTAGCTCAGTCTATTTTGGTTTATTGTATTACGGTCTGGGGTGGTGCTGGTAAAATGAAGTTCCTGGATCTCGAAAGAGCACAAAGATCACTCTTAAAAGTAATTTACTTTAAGTCCCGTAGATATCCTACAGAAAGCTTATACAAAATGAGCGACGTGCTTTCGGTTCGACAGCTTTACATTTTAAATATTATTTTAAAAATGCACAAGAGTTTGGAGTATGATCCTTCTAAAACATCAAGAAGGCGCAAACATAATGTAGCTCTGACTACTGCGGTTAGAACAATGTATGCAAGGAGGCAGTATATGGTACGATCAGGACATCTCTATAATAAAATCAACAGAATTCTAAGTATATAATACTCAATGAACAAATTCAATTGCAAAATAACTGTAACATCTCTACTAAAAACTTGGAATTATGATAAAACTGAGACATTCCTGGAGGGCTAGGTGTTTGGATATTATATGTTTAAATAAACATTATTATCTTTTGCATTTTGGTGTTATATAGGTATCTCAGTAGAACCACTTTCAACAATACACTCTTTGTTCAGACACAAATACACGCGCACACACACGTACACGTACACTCACGCACTCATACACCCACATACAAGCATGCATAAGCACAGTCAAACAAATCGACTAAAAGAAATATTGTAAAAAAAAAAAATTTTTTTGCTATTTTTTAGATTTTATATCGTTCTTATTAAAATATTAAGGTGATCAATAATTCAATGTACCATGTCTTTTAGCACGGAGAGCGGGAATTTCTAATACAAGTATATATTTACTTAAAAGAAATTCCCAATCGCAATACTGTATCGGAAATTATGGTATCAAATAAAGAATTTGTATTTGTGAAGCGTGGAGAGTTCTTTGCGAACGTCCGTTCACTATCGCAACTCACGTCTGAATGCTGAATGCCCCTTCCAATGAAGCATAGCCCCTTAAATACTATCCTTAGCATAGACCACTCCCGAGTGATGACACCTGTCACTGTCATTACTTGACATTTCACAAAGCAATGGTACACTGACTGATGACATTTGTTGTCGGTTTAACGTTTCGAAGGAGCGAGTGAGACGCCATCCGCCGACATATTTATTTAGAAATAGGCCGATCATGATTTCGTATGTAATCTTTTTTTAAGTACCTTCTACAAACTAATAATAAACCAACTGTAAATATAAAGAAAATATAACTAGAAAAAAATCCACGCGGACCAGGCAGCAGACGGGACTTGAACCCGCATCCTTCGCTATCCGAGAGAATGCACTGACCAATTATGCTACCGCGGCCCTGATGGCCGCGGTGAAATTGTTCTTGTAATTACAACTGTAAATATTTTTCTTTCAGTCGTCAACCAAGTAACTACAAAACTGAGAGAGCTGACAGATCGTTTGGCTTCCACCAACGAAGACATTCAAAACAGCCTGACGCAGGGCAACACAATGTCAGAACGCGCCTACAACGACATCTCGCGGAGTTACGAGTCCCTACGCAAAGAGGTAACACAGACCGATCGAAACCTCTGGAAATAGTAGAGAAAGATCTCCCTGGGGCGTAAAAATTACATTAATTTAAAATTAGTAAAAAACATGATTTAGCGACTGCCGTGCGAAACAGGGGTTTTCGGTTTCACCAAAAAATAGTCTATTTTCAATGTTTTAGGTGACCCTGACCTCTCCCCGCCCCTCCCCATCAGCCCTGGACCTCTAAAATTTCAAAATTTAGATCTGATATCAAATTCGGATTAAGGGAAAAATCTTTTTAAGAGACTGCCCGAGACCCCCCCCCCCCCCCCGCCATCTCACCACCCTGTTAAGTTAAACCTGGTTTACAACTGATGCTGTCACTTTTGTTTACAAAAAGGAAGAGAGAGACAGCATTAGGATTAAACCATGACTAAATATAGTTCACGTTTTAGATAGAGATAATTATGTAGCTAATAGCTTACTACTTCCGACCATTCCAATTCAACCAACTGTTTGTTTAAAGGTCCAGTCGCTTAACAAGAATGAGCACGTTCTACTCCAAACGGCTGACAACGTCATCGGCACCAAGAAGCGGATCGAGTACGGAGTCCACCAGATCCTAGTTGAGGTCGGAGATCTGGTCAAGAATCAGGGCAAGATTCTCAACAAAACTGTCAATGAGAGGTATTTAATTTGACTCGAAGTAGGTTGTGTTAGAAATAATATGAATACTAGATTGAATACTTGAGAAATGTCACGTATTTATCTATGTCACAAAGATATTAGTACGAAGTCTTGCCAGATCCTGGTAGAGGTTGGAGATCTGGTTAAGAACCAGGGGAAGATTCTTAACAAAACCGTCAATGAGAGGTATTTAATTTGACTCGAAAGTATATTTTGTTAGAAGTAATATTAATACCAGCTTGATTACTTGAGAAATGTCACGTATTTGTCGATGTTACGAAGACATTAATACGGAGTTCATCAGATCTTGGTATAGGTTGGAGATTTGGTGAAGAATCAGGGCAAGATTTTGAACAAAACTGTCAATGAGAGGTATTTAGTTTGACTCGAAAATAGGTTGTGTTAGAAATAATATGAATACCAGATTGAATACTTGAGAAATGTCACGTATTTATCGATATCACAAAGATACGGTAAGGTACGGAGTCTTAACAGATCCTGGTAGAGGGAAGATTTTCAACAAAACCGTCAATGCGAGGTATTTAATTTGTCTAGATAGTATATTTTGTTAGAAGTAATATTAATACCAGCTTGATTACTTGAGAAATGTCACGTATTTGTCAATGTCAGGAAGACATTAGTACGGAGTTCATCAGATCTTGGTATAGGTTGGAGATCTGGTCAAGAATCAGGGCAAGATTCTCAACAAAACCGTCAATGAGAGGTATTTAATTTGACTCGAAAGTATATTGTGTTAGAAGTTATATTAATACCAGCTTGTAAATACTTGAGAAATGTCACGTATTTATCGATGTCACAAAGATATTAGTACGGAGTCTTATCAGATTCTGCAGAGGTCAGAAATATTTAGTTGGATTCGAAAGTAGTTTGTGTTAGAAATAATGTAATACTAGATAGAATACGTGAGAAATCTTTTTTTTTTAGCATTTAACTGCTATTTATGTGAATGTTAAGAATATTTTACTAGGAAAAAGCCACGCATTCCATGCAACCTTATCATACAACCTATCGGTAAAAAAAATACTTGATAACTAAGTACCTACACTTTTTAAGTCAATTAAGAATAAAATAGTTATACTGAAAGGTTTCATATCGAATATATATTTTCAAATATCTTCTTGAGATTGATAAATGCAAAGCATTTTTGAAGTAAAGAAAATGTTACTAAAAAAATTCCACGCGGTCCAGGCAACAGACGGGACTCGAACCTGCACCCCTGCTATCCGGGCCGAAGCACTGACCATTTATGCTACCGCGATCTATATGGTCGTGTGGTTTACTTACAATGCAGAGAGATAGCGCTATCTTGTAGGTTATGAAATACTAGAAGAAATTTGACACGGCCATTAATTCACGGAAGCATAATTGGTCAGTGCATCCGTTCGGATAGCGAAGGGTGCGGGTTCGAGTCCCGGCTGTTGCCTGGACCGCGTGTTTTTTTTTAGTAAAATATTCTTTACTGCAGAAATGCTTTGTATTTATCAATGTCAAAAAGATATTTGAAAGTATTTATTTGATATGGAACCTTTCAGTATAACTATTTTAGTCACAATTGACTTCAAAAGAGGTACTTAGTTATCAAGTAAATTTATTTACCGATAGGTTGTATGATAATTTGAATACCTCTGCTCTACTGCGATAATTATAATAATGGGTTTCTTTTCTAACCCCTACTCAACGACATTAAGCTTTTGGAAACCCTTTTCAATTCATAAGTAAGAAGAACAGATCATAAAAGCGCTTTTAAGGCTGTGTAGATAAAGGATACATTCTAACCAATCATATAAAAATGATAAACTGATAAATTTAAAATTGAGTTTGTTTGGTACGCTTTTACATCCGAGTTGCTGAATTTTGATAAAAAGATAGATTGGATCCTAGCTACGGTTATAGATTACTATTTCTCTCCATTTGAGGGGGGTGAAATAGGGGATGAGAGTTTCAATGGGAAATCTAAAAATTATATTTTGCCACCTAGATAAAGTCACGGGTACCCGCTATAAGAAATATTATATCATTATCTCTACCTTTATAGCTAACGTCATCCATATTTCTATTATTTTCAAGGTTCGACAACGTTCAGACCACTCTCTTGGAGAACCAATCGAACGCTCGCAGCAACATTAGCGACAAGATCGAAGCAGAAATGGCGCCGGTGTGGCGACAAATCGGCATCATGTACAAACAACTCACGGCCAACAAGGAGTCCCTCGATAAGTTGACTGTGAGTAGAGAACAATCTAGAGCTGTAGTAAACCTTAGCGACAAGATCGAGTCAGATCGGCATCATGTACGAACAACTCACAGCCCACAAAGACTCCCTCGTCAAGTTCACTGTGAGTAGAGAACAATCCAGCGCTGCAGCAACATTAACGACAAGATCGAGTCAGATCGGCATCATGTTCGGACAACTCACGGCCAACAAAGACTCCCTCGACAAACTGACTGTGAGTATAGAACAATCCAGCGTGAGCAACAGATCGAGGCACAGATGGCGACAGGTAAGCAACATGTACAAACAACTCACGGCCAACAAGGAATCCCTCGACAAGTTGACTGTGAGTAGAGAACAATCCAGCGCTGCAGCAACATTTGCGACAAGATCGAGTCAGATCGGCATCATGTACGAACAACTCACGGCCAACAAAGACTCCCTCGACAAATTGACTGTGAGTAGAGAACAATCCAGCGTGAGCAGCAACATCAGCAACAAGATCGAGGCACAGATGGCGACAGGTAAGCAACATATACAAACAACTCACGGCCAACAATGAATCCCTCGACAAGTTGACTGTGAGTAGAGAACAATCCAGCGCTGCAGCAACATTTGCGACAAGATCGAGTCAGATCGGCATCATGTACGAACAACTCACGGCCAACAAAGGCTCCCTCGACAAGTTGACTGTGAGTAGAGAACAATCCAGCGCTGCAGCAACATTAGCGACAAGATCGAGTCAGATCGGCATCATGTACGAACAACTCACGACCAACAAAGGCTCCCTCGACAAATTGACTGTGAGTAGAGAACAATCCAGCGTGAGCAACAACATAAGCAACAAGATCGAGGCACAGATGGCGACAGGTAAGCAACATATACAAACAACTCATGGCCAACAATGAATCCCTCGACAAGTTGACTGTGAGTAGAGAACAATCCAGCGCTGCAGCAACATTAACGACAAGATCGAGTCAGATCGGCATCATGTTCGAACAACTCACGACCAACAAAGACTCCCTCGACAAGTTGACTGTGAGTAGAGAACAATCCAGCGCTGCAGCAACATTAGCGACAAGATCGAAGCACAGTTGGCGACAAATAGGCAACATGTACAAACAACTCACGGCCAACAAGGCCTCCCTTGACAAGTTGACTGTGAGTAGAGAACCATCCAGCGTGAGCAGCATCATTAGCTACAAGATCGATGCACGGTTGGCGACAGATCGGCATCATGTACTTTAATTTTACAGTTATTTTTTGTTGTACATTGCTGCTGACTGCGTGATTTTGAACTTTGAATCCAACTAGTAGACTAGTGATACTAGAACGATTGATCATCAACAGCAAAATTTGAGTTTTTTTTATAAGTGAAACTTCTTTGCGTACCGGTTGTAAATAGACGAATCCTATAGAAAAGATAAAACGGAAATGCGGTACGAGCGTCACACGACTGTGTGTGGGATGCGTGCGCAGCTCTTCCCGACGAGCATGGAAGTTGGAGGGCAACTCGGCGAAGGCTGAAACGCTACGAGCGTCACACGCGAAAATAACATCAGCTGTTTCATACATTTCGGTCAATTTGCTGATGCACTTTTGTATGAAATAACAGTTTTTTTTCCCGATTAAGCGTTGGTCCCTTAATAAAAGTTGCTCCTGTTGATGGGTAGAATAACCCTCTAAGAGGTTGTTGGTGTTTTAAAATTAACCCTATATATACAGTGTCAATTTTAAAATACCGGTAACCTACATAGCTAACATCATACACAAAAACATTTGTTCTACGAGTTCTGAAAATTCGTTACATTTTATTTTCATACAAAAATAAATATTAAGTTAATTTACCGCCCGAATGTTATTAACTCTACAGACCAACACAGACACGGAATCGGGGGTGAAGGAAGAAGCCCCGGGCGGAGAAGGACGCGACGCTAGCGTTTGAACTTGGTCAAAGAGTAATATTATAAGTATGAACTTGGTTGACCTATTTACGAGTATCTACGGCCGCCAGTCGGCCGGCGCTAACGATGCGCGTAGTCACACTTCCTTGTGTGCAAAAATCTTACGCCTGCATTAATTTAAAAACGAAAACATAATAATAGGTACCAAGATCAGTACCAATATTGGACATTAAACTCGGTGCAAGTAACTTTAGAAAACGATAAAGAATGATTACGTACCTAAATGGTGTTTTAGATATTTTGGAAGATAATATATCTAAGTGTTTGTTTTCAATTGTTTAATGTAGTTAGTAAACGATGAAGTGATTGTGGATTGTACCTACTGTATACAAGCTACGTAAGCAATAAACTATGTATCAGTAAAGTATCTGGTAAAGAAATACAATATTAATATTAATTATTGGAAGCGGGCGAGCAATGCCCTTTTGATTATGAAGGAAGCATAGACATAAAAATGTCACGACAGTATATCAAAAACTTTGAATTTTTTTATTGATCAAAGTATTGAGTTATGTTAAAACTCGTAGAACAAATGTTATGTATGATGTTGGCAATCTAGTCCTGCGAGGTTTCTGGTATTTTAAAATTAACCCTGTATATATGAGTGATGCGTGCGCTGCTCCATTCTCTTTTGCCTTATGCACCGCCTAATGTTTGGTTATTTATGAAAAGAAGTTTCGCTGCAGATGTCTTGTCCGTGCACACATTCTTTTTTTTATTATAGTCCTATGTGTTTGTGTATAAGAATTCAAACGGGTTTTATTTTTGCAGGAACAAACCGTGCGTTATGTAAACGAAAGCTCCACCTCAATGGATAACATCACAGACAAAGTAAGGCACCATTCTATTCGAATAAATAACTTTTTTGTATAAATACTTTAATACTCTATTCACGAGCTAGTAGGACGAAAGCTACGCTTTTCTGTTATTAGCCAGATTGTATTGCTGTCGGTACTCCGGCAATGACAGCTCCCTATATCGTGTGAAACAGTTTTCCATCTAACTCTTTTGTAAACGATTGTGTGATTAAAAAAGCGACATGTCCGTATTAATGCATATATGTCCGGACTTTATGTAAATTACCTTTAGCGGATTTTTTGGCTTTGTTTCTGCATAATGTGTTTTTATTGGTGAAGACCTGTTATTGGATTTTTGTTATTATCTAACTTTACTATTTTTATTAATAGCTGTTGGTATTCCAAAAAATAAATAAAGGGAAATAAATATTACGACTAAAACGATTGGACTTTTATAAAAAGTCTGGGATCTGCAAAGATTTTCCAAATTTCTTAACATCGTTTCATTTTTTCGTGACATCAGGTTGGCAAGATCACTGCGCGCATGGTGGAAGTGGACGAGAATCTCAACTACCTCCTGGGCCGTCTGTCCCTGGTGACGCAGGAGTTCCTGCAGATCAAGACCGGCCTGGGGGAAGCCCTGGACAAGGCCAAGAGCAACCTCAGCTTAGTTAAGGACAAACCTGAAGGTAAGGAACGAAGTTTAAATTCACAAATGTTGTGGGCGTAAAGGGGGATTCATTATGCTTATTAAGGCGCAATTTCACTTGGTCGTTAGCCCGTATTCGGGTGCAAGAAAAGACATTACGGCCCTGCTACCGCGTCCTAGTGCAAATGTACCTCCTTAGTGAAAGTTTTAAAACGTAAAATTGTCTAGAATTTAATGAGCGCCATCCGTAGGCAAAAGCGTCCAACTACAAGGACTCTATATTTGAAAATATACAGAAATTTGGCTTTGAATTTCTATTTAATGACATTTTTATTTACTGTCTTACCCACCCAACAAATTACATAAGTGTAATATGAGAAATTAGTTGTTACAAATAAACTTTTGTTTCAGATAAAGGCCCCGGACCTCACAAAATATCCAGTTCAGAGAGCACTATTCTTTAATTACTTACTAGTTTACTAATTAAGAATAGGATTAGGAATTGACTGAATGTTAGTAAGTGTTTGTCACATAAAATAAAACCCTCAAGATATTAACTTTTGCAAATATTTAATCTCTTTCATAATTGTGGATCTATATATTTATATTGTACAAGTTATATGATACAATTAAACTTTTCCGTGACCGATATCTCAATGTCACTTACTAAAGTGAGCGTAAAACCAACAATATACACCTGACAAGAATCCTCTAAGAAAATGTGAATTAATGAACTGTACAATATATAATCATACATTGATATAATAATCTTAAACAATATACACACAATTTATTTGTCTCCCTTTTTGATTAGTTTATTTAATCCTGATTACAACCTCATTTTCCTATGTGCAATTAATAATATGAATGACAAACGAAGTAACAATACTGAATATATTAATCCAAAAACATTATTTTTAAAAATTCTGTGCCATTATTTAGTTAGAAATTTATACACTTATAATATTAATTACATTTGAACAAGTGTAAACACTCAATCATACAAAGGAAAACGAATACACACAGTATAATCTTGTTAACATATTGGCCGTATTTATTTACGTATTAAGTACTGATATTTGGGAACAAGTTATTACATTTTATATGCAATACAATATTTATTCAACACAGGAATGTAGTTACATAGCTCTTCGGGATGCATGATACGAATTGTCATACCACTTAAAAGGTACAAGCTAAACACATTCGTTGTTATTGTAACAGCCTAATTTGGGACACTTTCTATACATATTCAATACAAAACAATAAAAATCAACATAGTCCCAGTGAAATAGGAATGTGTTCATTAATTATGGACGAACCAGTCGCCATTTTTTCTTTGGAGAATCATCTAAATGCTTATAGGAAACTTTCAGATTTCAAAAAGCCATAATAATAATAATAAGTTAATGTTTAAATCACAGTAAATATACTAACTGAAGTAATATCCTAAGAAGAATTATTAAGATAGTTGTCTACGGCTCAAATGTAGCATTTTGCATTCTCAGAACACATTTTCTCTAGTTATTGTACAGCAAGCTCTTTAAGAGTCCTTGCGTTGCTAATTAATTGTGCGTCATTTAGTATGTTCTTACATAATAACTTGAACACTGCAGCTAATATACATACTGTGGTTCAGCATCAGTACAGGCAAAAATGAACTAAAACAACACTATCATAGAGGCAATTTTCATATGGCAGTGGCATACCTAACACTCATACATAAATAGCACTTGAACATTTTTACATATCGAATCACTGTACATGTTTTAAATATACATGTACGTACATTACTGCAAAAAATATTTACAAATCCTTATTTATGCATTAAAAAGCACTTAAAAGCCATTTGTTTACACCCCTTTCCCGATACCTATAAAAGAACATGATAGATAACGCATGCAATCATAGTTATAATAAATACAAAACAACCAAGTTTAATCTTATAACGACTAACAAAGACAACATTATAAACGTAACGCTAGAGCTTACCGTAATAAGCGTATGGAATGAAGTGTCAAACGTCGTTTACGTGGAATACAACTGAATCTTATTGGTGTTGCGACGAACCTATGTGACGGCAGAGTATGATAGTACAAGAAGCTCCCTATGTGAAGTAAATCTAAAGTTGTCCATGAGACAAAACTGTTTCATGTCTGCGACATCTACACTTTGTACAATGCGGTATCAAAACAACGAAAGGGCCGTCGGCGCCTGCGCAACCCTCGCCCCTCTCTCCTTAACCCCGACTGTAGGCTACGATTTATAATTAATTAACTCCTAAGTCTCAAGTGTAAAATTGTGCCACATAAGCGATCTCGACGGGACATCTAAAGCCGAACGCAATTAAACCATTCAATATAGCGACCCCTAGAATACTCCATTAGTTAATGTATGTTTCTATTATGGAATAAATATTATTATTAAATTCCTGTAAAAACAGAGTTTAAAACCCTGTATAAAATTAGTACGGTATTTTAGTAACTACGACACACGCTTCTTCATAAAATTACACCCACTCTGCCAGAATGTTCGTGATAGCGTATAATGGATGGCTGGCGAATAATAAAAGGTGTTGGTACCGATTTGGAATCACCTCTACAGAGTTAAATAACCTAAAAACTTTAATTGTGGCCGGATATAAATGTGATGTCCGAGTACCCTAAACACTGCTCATGTACCCGATACATTTACTCAGTTTCTATCATGACGCTTACACGACATAACTTACATAGGAAGACATACATCTAGACACATACGCCTTTTCAATACACTTTGCAAAATCAAATTTCATAAATGGAATATCCCAACTGCCTTATTAAATGGCGTAAGTATGACCAACTGTTAACATAATCGAAACTATATCCAGATTGTTAAATGACATGGCGCAGGAGGTAAGTCATTCGAACAGACAAGCAAAGTGATTAGTCTACAGATAATTTAAAACATCGCCATTATCCAAATCTCGGAAACCAATTCTGCAAATTAACAAATGACCACCCCATAAATCCGAGGCACTTATATGATCTTAAGAGTAATGATATACATCTACAAACTAGTGGTACCAAATGTTAGCTCTTTGTCATCCCGTAAGGACCCGTTGATACAACGGGTGTGACACGTTTAAAGCTATGGACATGTTTCACATACTATTCGTTAATAATGTCTATCCTAACACGGAGAAAGAAGGGAGCTATCGTACACGTACAAAGTACTTAACTATCTATATTACCTACGTTCAGCTCTTAATCTTACATCAACTGATCGTTAACCAGTGCGATTACATACAAAATTGGTGTAATAAAATGAGTGTCCAACCCCGAAAATGTCTAATGTGCTGTCTTGTAAAAAATATATTGTGTCGTCCAGTGTAGTCGAAAACATTTTAAACGAGTGCAGTAGTGAAAAATACTTAATCTCATCGAATCTCATCACTTCTCACAATCGAATTCGTCTTAAGATATTTTATGGAATTATTATGTTAAAAATAGGTGCCGCATCGACCCCTTCAATGAACCAGCCTACGGAGTGGATACCTCACAACGTTCACGCGTGACCCACGTATGTACATATCGACAAATCGCAATAACAAAACAACGATTACTTTATTTGTATACACTTTAAAACCGTCGCACATAATTCTATGTACAATATCAACGGGTTCAGTTAAATCTGACCGAACGTAACATCAATAGGGATTCATTCAGTCTTCACGTGGCACTTCAACGGAAACAAACGAGAGAGAAGCTAGTCAATCATCAATTCCTATAAACGCTATATTACAAACGGGAGCTCGTCACAAGTCCGCAGCCAGGGCATCTCGGGATTCCCTCGCGTCCGACGCATAGGATGGGAACGAGCGAGTCCGCATTAAAACTGGTCGAACCTGCCACGCGAAGCGTTACAAAATATTAATCTTATATACATATTGTCGCTCAAAGATAAGAGTTAAGAACTATAAGGGCCTGGTTTCGATGCAATCTGATCAGCGTAATTTTTCACCGCAATCTGTTAACTGTGTAACAGTTAACTTTACACCATGGACTGCCAACTTGCAAATAATTTATCGCAACTGGCTTATTGCTGCCATAATTACAACATACTACCATTCATAAGATTAGACTATTGTCCACATTTGTTTGTAGTATGAAATGAGTAGAACATAGACGACTGCGACCGACCCCCAACCAGATCGCATCGAGTAGGCCCCCTAACACGTTGGTTAGGTGGGGGGGGGGGATATAAAATGTGTGAGTGGGCTCCACGCGCGGCAGTTTACCTCCGTGTGCTCTTGGAGGAGGGGCGCGAGTGGGAGTGCGTGTGGGGGGTCGCAGCCCCCCCCCGCTCCTAACTGGAGCATGACGCCGCCGATACTGGAGATAGCGGCGAGTCGCGCGGGCATCCCGACAGCGTCACCACCACCTGACGGAAACGCATATTATATAGAATAAATAAATAAATATTTCCAACACTCACACCAATTAGCCTAGCCCCAAAGTAAGCACTATAAGGCTTGTGTTATGGGATACTAGGGAAACGGATAGAATACATAATAATATACTTTATATATATAAGTATATGTATATAGAAATACATATTAAACATCCATGACTGGAGTACAAATGCTCGTGTGTTCATCACACAAACATCTGCCCCCAATCGTCGGCGACGCCAATGAAACCCGGCGTACAAACCACTCGGCCACGGAGGTCGACCTCCTTACTCCTTTTTTGTTTTTTGAAATCCGTTAAGTAGTCAAGTTCTTCGTCACCACTACCTTATATACTTCTAACAGTCACAATAATTAGCGTAACCCTAAACTAAGCACTGTAGGTCTTGTGTCATGGGTTTGGGAAGAGATATTACTAGGGTAACAGATAGAAATACATAGGATATACAGTTAACTTGTGATAATCTATCTTATGTCCAGCATTTAAAACTTAAATAAAACACAGCTCTATTAAAAAACAGCCACAAAAAATATAGGTGATCAACATCAGAAGTCACCTATACTGGAATGTCTCATAAAAAAGGAGGTTTTCTGTGGGAAAGACAAAATTGTATTTAAATGCAATATGGATAGGTCGAAATTAAATTAAAAATGTACTCGAGCGCCAGACCTACCTCAATAGACTCACCGGAACGGCATTGAACTATTAATCGCAAGGGGGGTTAAAGCAAAATCTAAACTCATTTTGGGTTGTCTATATATTGAAATTTCCAACTATTTGCCAATTATTTTGCTTGAGTTTAGAAGCTAGGTCCAATTATCATCATATATTTATAATCTTTACCTGAATTTTAAATAATGGAATAATTTTATCTTACCAGAGTTGGTATACTATGTATAATATGTACTTATTAGTATAAAGGTATTCATTTAAGCTGTCTTTGCTGCATCTTTGTTATGTGTTTAGTTGAATCTATGTATAGGAGCCTTGCTTCCTTGTAATGCCAAAGGGTTATTGCATGGTCCCATATGAAATTTTCTAAAGTATAAAACACCTATGGCATTTCTAAAAGAAACTAAATAAACAGGCTGACAGCCATGCCCACGGCAAACTTCTATCGTCTATCCAATATTAAATATGATTAAGTGAACAAAATTGCGCCACTCGAAAATTACGTCGTGAAGTGACGTTAAATTTTCTTCCTCTTGTTCCTTCCAAAAGGCAAGCAAAGGAATCAGTCTAGATATAGCCTTGTTAAGCCACAGAAAATAAAAAAAACGAATGGACTAACGAAAACGATCTATGATAAAGGAGGAAGAGGGAGTTAACCTAAACAGAGGCCTTCTAACTCTCTCATCAACCTAATAAAACCCATGTGACGTTTTTAACACGTTAAATTTTACCCTTCCTTGATCAAAGCATCGAGAATCCAGGCTTAAAGAAACTAAGCCCAAACCAAACACAAAATGAAGAGGGAGTCAACTTAAACAGAGGCCTTCTATCACTCTTTTCAACCAAACAAAACTCATGTGACGTTTTTAACACATTACAAATGGGAATGAAAGAAAAATCCAAATACATACAAAAAAATCTATTATAGGAGAATCCAGATGTCTCTTTTAATGGACTGGGAGCAACACATTCATAGAATGTGCCTGCAATAGCAAACAAGCATGCTTGGAATTTCTTGAAGGTAATAAACAGAAAGGACAACCAGTCAGTCATAATACACTCAGAGGCACAATTAACCGCCCACCTGGCATAAGTGGCATAACTTTGTTTACAATAACGAAACGCTTATGACTTGAATGAAAATTTGTTAAGTGGGTAGTTTATGATAAAATGAGAGAATTATTAACCTTTTTTTAAATATACCCTCAAGTGTGGATCACTTTTATTGAGTTCAGTCGAATATTGATTTTCGAATGATTGTTTTGCGTATACATAAAGAGTTGCTTGTGAAGTTTTTAAACAAATTTCTTTGTTCTTAAGTTGTGGCAGTTTGTCATTTGCTTCTTACTCAGTAAAATGCCATTGGGTGCAGTTGATGCAGCTAGAGCGGTGGCGCTTTCTGATGCTGGGTATAGCCAGCGTCGTATAGGCTGTATGCTGGGTATAGCCAGCGTCGTATAGGCTGTATGCTGGGATTTCCTCGAACTACGATACGAGATGCCATCCGGCGATACCGAGAAACTAGATCTTACAGCAGAAGACCCGGACAAGATCGAACAAGGTGCACTTCTGAGAGATGACGGCTTAATTGTATCCAATGTTTTAAGAAATCGCTTCACTACGGCTCTGGAGGCTCGTAGTCGCCTATTTGAGGTACGAAATGTAAGTGTTAGCGTTAGAAAAATAAGAAGAAGGCTTGCAAAACGTAATTTGACTGGTGTCCGGCTGGCTTAAGTACCCGCGTTGACCACAGAACACCAGAGAGCTAGCTTCGATTTGCTCAACAATACCGAAATTGGACAATGGAGCAATGGAAGAATGTTCTCTTCTCTGATGAGTCGAGAGGAGCTTTAAGTGGTCCTGATGGACGCCCGCGAGTGTATCGACCGCCGGGTGAACGGTTTGCACAGTGTGCTGTTGTCGAAACAGTGGGCTACCAAGGTGGCTCAGTAATGGTTTGGAGTGGAATTTCTTACGAGGCTCGTACAGAATTGGTTTTATTTTAAAGAGGCAGAGGTACATGGAAGAGGTCTTACAACCTCATGTTATATATACCTTTTGCCCCATTTATTTGAGAAGATTTTCTTTTAATGCACGACAACGCCCGTGCTTACGTAGCTAGAATAGTTACGGAGCACCTTGATACTGTGGGTATACCACCAGCTACCATGGCCAGCTCGAAGCCCGGTCTTAAACCTTATCGAACATGTTTGGGACAATCTCAAAAGGGAGGTACGAAGTCGGATTCCTGCTCCTACCTCCATTAATGAGTTTAAGATTGCCTTGACGGAGAAGTGGGAGAATATACAGCAGTCAGATATTCAAGACATTATGGATGGTCTTCCAAATCAACTGGAAGAGGTCATAAGAGCCAGAGGAGGGAATACTTATTAATAAAAGTTAGTTTTTTAATGTAAACATAAAGTTTTAGTTTGTTCGTCAGCTCTTTTAATTTGGTTTGTTAAACAGTAAAATCAAACTTTTTCAAAATTAAAAAATTTAAAGCAACAGCAACTGATTTTTTTCACTTATTTTATTTTAAATTATCCACTTTATTAGATTGTTAGCAAAAAAGTCATTCCAAAAAGATTTTTTGAAATTATACCGAAAAATGTAAGTGGGCGGTTAATTGTGCCTGCGAGTGTAGTTTCTAAAGAACATCTGATGCCTAACCATTGCCAATGTATTTAAGGTGTAGCTATGGGAATAGATATATTATTTCTCTCATAGATACATATTTGATGCGTTGATAGTAAAAATTGCTGAAAATATAGATATGTTATAAATGTATTGGAATTTCTTGGTGGTAATAGAATGGACAACCTGTCAGTCATAATAGTTTCCAAACAACATCTGATGCCTAACCATTGCCAATGTATTTGAGTTGTAGCTATAGGAATAGAGATATTATTTCTCTCAAAGATACATATTTGATGCATTGATAATAAAAATTGCTGAAAATATAGATATATTATAAATGTTCATACACAACTTCAGGCTCAAGGGATATGCCCTTGCAGTTGTCCTGTTGGACAGAGCTACTTAATTGAAAGACTGTGATAAAATTGAATATACTACCATAGCCATACCTATCCTCTCATATCTTATAATGTCTTGGTTTGCATACATGTATTTCATAGCAATATCTTTAGTGGAAACTGCAGCTGTCTTATTTATGGAAACAAAATAGACCCACCCACAGTAGAATAATAATATCATTTTTATACTAAACATGTTAGATCTATATTGCATCCATAGGATGGCTTACATCTTCAACATACCTTAAATTGTTTGTTACAATAGAATAGCAATGGATAATACTATTAGTACAATCAATCTGTCGAAAAAAATATTGTTTCAGTGAAAAAAAAACCTAAAGGGTAAGTCTTGTTTTTTCTGTTGCCAAATGACGTCAGTAAGCCACCTTGGCGATGGGCATGTTCAACTCGTAGGCGTTTTTTGAAAAACTCAAAAAAACCGTCAAAAATTTTTTGAAACTCATTTTTCTTGTTTTGTATGCATTTTAGAAACTTTTTTTTCGAGCATAATTGTAGAGGGTGTTGAGTGCTACAATTTATGTCATTGTTGCAATCTCGTACAACAAAAAATGCGCATTGTAGGTGGCGCTAAAGTCTCAAAAAAGTGTTTTTTCACTTTTTCACCCTGAAAATATCATTTTAATGGAAAACTTTAAATGGCAAAGTTGTTTCGTACATAATTACCAACAACTTTTGTATAAACAATTTTTTTGTATTACTTACCGTTTTCAAGTTATAAATTGCGCAGGTATGAAAAATCCAATAGAGCGGTTTTGGGCAGTTCACGTACACATTTGCAGTGCACATTTCAATGGACGTTTTACTATTTTTTATTTTTTTTCATGATTGAAAAACAAAAAAAAATGAAAAAAAAATAGTTTTATTTTTATTTTTTTTCATGATTGAAAAAAAAATAATAAAAACGTACATTGAAATGTGCACTGCAAATGTGTACTTGAACTGCCCAAAACCGCTCTATTGGATTTTTCATACCTGCGCAATTTATAACTTGAAAACGGTAAGTAATACAAAAAAATTGTTTATACAAAAGTTGTTGGTAATTATGTACGAAACAACTTTGCCATTTAAAGTTTTCCATTAAAATGATATTTTCAGGGTGAAAAAGTGAAAAAACACTTTTTTGAGACTTCAGCGCCACCTACAATGCGCATTTTTTGTTGTACGAGATTGCAACAATGACATAAATTGTAGTACTCAATGCCCTCTACAATTATGGTAAAAAAAAAGTTTCTAAAATGCATACAAAATAAGAAAAATGCGTTTCAAAAAATTTTTGACGGTTTTTTTGAGTTTTTAAAAAAACGCCTACGAGTTGAACATGCCCATCGCCAAGGTGGCTTACTGACGTCATTTGGCAACAGAAAAAACAAGACTTACCCTTTAGGTTTTTTTTCAACCCTCAATCTACAGATTGACTGTACTATATATCCATTATTGATAAGTTGTTTGGATTATTTGTTTTGTAGTGGTTGGTAGATCTTTGACTGTTCTCATTTGTTTTTTGGTTAGATATATATTATTATAATTGGAACATACAATTCACTAGAAATAGGAGAATTCAAATAATTTACCTTTCGGCTTCCAGCATGATTTCGATGCTCGCAGAGCCACACACCTTGCCATGTGCCCAGATTCAATTTACCATCTGTGATGGGAATTGTCAATGATGATCCAAGAAAGCAAGCCTTAACATGTGCAGGCTGAAAAAATAAATAATAATATTAACAAAAACCCAACACAAGTATTTATTACTACATGGAGTTGTCTCATTTTGTACTGTAATTTGATTTATTGGAAAGAAACATACATCTAGTCTATTTTATTCCCTTTTCATTACTATGACAAGAAATAAACAAAGTTTTTAAGTGGTTGTTCCACCCCCATTGTACATAAAACTATTTGTTTAATACTGTGCAGTAGTAGTTAAAAATTAATTGTACAAAATGTACTAAATAAATTTATACTTGCCACATACAGTTTTGGGTTAGTTAAAGTTAACAAAAATGCTCCTAAGTTATGACTTCAAGAATGATTGTTTATTATTTGTATGTTTTGGTGCTGTGGTTTAACATTAGCCCAGCCAGATTATTATTTATTTCTATATTGGCTATATTTATATCACCATTCATTCCACATAAGCCATTATGCCAACAGTATTATCAGGAGTCAATCTTAATCAAAAATTTAAGATATAAAGACAAATTATTATTATGGTATACTTTACATAAGACTAATAGTTTGCAGACTGCAAAAAATTTCATTACCATGTTTAATATAACTTAATTAGCATGCAACAGACAATTACTGTTTGTTTTGTGTAGAACGTTACTTATAGTTTACATTACAAACCTGTTAATAATGCATGTTATTTGCATAGTTTCAATTTCAATTAAAACCCTTTTATATTATCAAGAATATGTATAAGCACATATTATAATTTGTTGTTAAGTAAATAACAATGCTTATTAACAATGCATAATGACTATACATTTGTATTTTGTTTAAAACAAATGACAGATATTTTTGAAATAAAAATACCTTTCACAATCAGAATGACTTTTTATTAATCCATTTCATTTTAACTTACCATATCATCTGGGCCTTCACATGAGTGGCGGTAAGGTAGGCCTTCTGGTACAATTTTATTGAGCATCATTTCCATGTCGTCTCTGACATCAGGATCCCAGCTCTCGTTGAGGGCCAGACTCGCGGACGTGTGCATAACTGGAAAGTTGTAAGTCAAAGATCAGCTGGTCCACTTTGACTATAGTTGACATTGATAGTGACTTGACTAGACTTTGATGATAAAAATTTTAGGTGATAATGAATATTATCATTTAAAGTAAAGGGCAAATATGAAGTGGGAGGGGGTGCATCGTCGGCGGCAAGAACGCGATCTTGACGGATCGGTCACTCACTTTGGATATGGCACAGGCCCACCGCGAACTGGGACAGCTCTGGCACCTGCTTCAGGATCTCTTCGGTGACGAGGTGCACGCCCCGGTGCTGCGGCCTCAAATTCAGCTTCCGTTGAAACCACGCGGATCCGATTTGAATTCCTCGGTTCGAGGCCATGTTTAATTTTTAAAAACACTACAGAATGATCGCAAGAAGACAAACGATCTTACACAACATCACTTATGGCAACCTTTACACAAATTAATCCACAATTATCATAAAAGATTCATCTTCGATCTTTAAATAGTAATAAATATAACGGAGGTTATAGGACAGATTCGACACCCTATTTTCTGCGGGAAAGTGAAATAGCGACAAGAGCGAAAGAGAAAGCCTGTTAAATGTGGTCAATGTAAAAAAAAGCGTTCATTCATAAATTGGTAGCTAATGAAACGAAAAAAATATTTTTCATTATTAAATTTCTTAATCAATGCGACACGGAAAAAGGAAAATAAGGATGATATTGCAAATGAAGTTAATTAATATTAGAATCAGCCACTTTCATTTAGATTAATGCTTTTTTGTTTTACTAGATTATTTTAATATTACTACTTTCTATTTGAACCTTGCAATGTCTGCACAGTAGTTTGCTATAAATTGATAAATAAATACGATTTTGCACAACTTTCTTTAAATGAAAATATTAAGTTTTTTTTTAACTTTCATTTGACATTGGTCTCTGTTCACTTTTGGTCCTGGTCACACCATTTGTTTTTTTTTCTAATAGTAGAAGCGGGAATTTTTAATTTTATTTCTCATATTTTGCCGTTGTCTCTAAAGTCTATTTAAATAAAACCCACACAAACTATTTTTCAGAAGATTAAACTACTCGATTCGCTTTTGTTTGAAAGTTATTGACTAAATATTTTTCTGAGCTTCAGTTGTTTTGTTCTAACTACCAGAACGATTTACAAATGAAATTAGTGGGAGTGGTGATAGCGTATTACTAGGTGTGGCTAATAACCACTCCTTGGAATTAGGACAATTACATTTCCCTTCAATTGGATCGTTTATAATTGTTTGACTACAACTGTTGACTGTTCTGTGAGTGTTAGAAATAAAACAATTCTCAAGATATGGATCCTATAATGGATGTTATAAAAAATTCTGAAGAACCGGAGTGGCTTGAAAGATCAGTGGTAGGTGAACTAAGACTATGGCAAATAATGTTTCTGTGTTTGGCTGGAATGACCTCGCTGAGTAAGTAAGAAAAATGTTTTTATAAATTTATTAACACCTCTATCTAGGTATTACTTTAATTTGGCTGGGTAAACGCTATTCATAGCAAATCATTTGACTGCAATAAAGTGTAAATGTGTTGTTCATGAGGGCTATTAGCTAGGTACATTTCAACCAGTAGTATAATATTCAAAAGCCAATAAAAACTCGTGATATGTATGACTATTTGATTCTTATAATTGAAGGATTCCAAGGAACCCGTATAATTTGCCTATGTTATGTCCCTCAGTCCGATGTTTTACTCTGAGATAATTAGTACTAGCAGAAAGCTGTTTTTAGTTTAGATATTACATATTAGTTACACTAAAAAAGTGGTAAAATAAAAACCCAATAAAAATCTTTTAGCTACTTCCCCACACGTGAGAACAGGTGAGATATGTTATCTTTTTTTTTGTTAGTCTTTACCTTATAGATAGATAGGATGAGGAGTATTTATATAGGTCTTTCAAAACATTGAGTATTTAATCGTTTGAGCTTTTACTTATTTTGTAAAATAATATTAAAGCCTTGAAAAGTAAGTGCAAATTTTTGTTAGTATGTTTTTATGGTAGTAGTACCTATATAAAAAGCCGGACAAGTGGAAATCGGAATAGCCCACTGCTGGCTGCTGGCTCTCTGTTATAGGTCGCAGAGCAGCCGGGTGTGTGTTTTCGAGGACCGATCTTTTTTCTTGGATTCCTCTTTAGTTTGGTTTTCAGCGTCAAGCCGTTTCAGCATAGCATTATAACTTGTACCTCCAAGTTAAAATGCCGCGCTGAAGCGGTTTAGACTTGGTCTTGACGCCACGGTAGGCCGACTTCGTAGCGTCCCTCATTGTAAATCACCGTGTCTTCAAATATTTCAAGCACTCGCGTGTCTTCGCTCCTCACATGTTTTGTTGTGAGTGACACCCGACTGAAATCAGATGAAAATTACTTGTGACCAGATCCTCCAGCGAGTCCTCACTCAATTCGCGGGCAACTATTAATAGCCAATTGTCAGTCTTGATGAGAATCTTCGGTTTCGCCCTTTGTTAAGTGAGCGATCTAACAAGTCGTGGCAATCGTCGGATGTCTTCAAACGCGAGGTCCACTAATATCTCGGGCATCCCGAAACATTGCTGCAGCGCCTTCATTATGACATCTTGGTGTGTATCGGTGCTTAGTAGTGGTTCTACTACATTGCGGGCTTCTTCGCGTAAGCAGTTGTGCAGTTTCGCAAGATTCTGTGCAGGAGTGAATTTGTAGACTATCGGTAATCCCGAAAACTGTTATAGATCGGACGCCTGCCGTGGCGGTGGCCTCTATGACATCATTGCATTGCCTGTAGAGTGTCAGCCAGACGGTTGATGCCTTGGCTTCGCGGAGTGATCTTCCACGACGTTCGCAGCGTTCCTGAGCACTCGTCGCCACGGGCGTCCTATCAAATCGAGCTCTCCTGGCGATCGGAGTGGTTGCTTCGTTCGTTGCTAGAACCCGATCGGGATTCTCAACTGGTCCGAAACAGGTGGATGATTTGTCGGGTCCTCCCGTCTCGCTGAAACGTTGCTCAGCGCGGTGGCGTCCAACCAGGCGTGTACGCGTTCCAAACGCTCGGTTGGTTCCTCTGTTTCCTCTGGGGCGCTGTTATTGTCTTCTATTTCCGCGAGGTCAGCGGCCAACTTCTTCCTAACTAGCTTTGCTTCGATTTGGAGTTCTATTTTACGCATCTCTAGCTCCCGTTGACGTTCCTCCGCTCTAATTTGGAGGCGCTATGGCGTTCGCATTTGCCTTTGTTGAGCGCGCAGTACGTCGAGGCATTCCGGTAGTTTGCTGAGTCAATCCCTCGGGTTCTCACGTCGTCCGTGCACCACGGGGTTTGATTTATAGATAAATAGATATACAATTAGAGCCTTACAAGATGGTGTCAGAAGTGGGATCCGAACCCACGACCTCAATTATATATCTATTTATAATAAATTTATTTAAATAAATTAATATGTAGGTAAAACGCAAAAGCAAATTTCACGATGCAATTTATACCCGCAGAGCGTGCGGTTGTTTGCTACACGCGCTGCGGGCGCGCGCGGGGCACGATCACACGTAGACGCGGTGAGACCCGTTCTAGTGAATAGTTCATCATTAAAAAGCGCGTGGCGCGGACTGAGCTAGCCGCCCCGCGCCGCCGTCTGCGTTACTGCATATAAACTGGTTTGTATGATCCACGCCGGGCACCTGCAGCGCGGTCTTTTTACCCTCTGTGTGCGTTTGTAGTATAGGATTCACTTTGTGCTATCGTTCGCGGCGAAATTGACTGGCCCGCTCCGCCCCGCCATCTGCAAAGCGCCTAAGAACTAATAAATTGTCAATGATGAAGAACAAGCGAACAAAATGGTTGAACTTCCAGATTTGGATTTGGAGATCCACGTCTGAGTGAGGGTGAGGTAATAATTTATTGTTGGGTGGGATGATACGACTAAATAGATACAACCAAAAAACTATTTAGATCATATTGTTTTTGCAAACTTATAATAATAATTAATATAATAATAAAAAATATTTAAAACAGCTGAATTCTACGATTCGCCATATTATTAAAAATGCGAAGAACTTTGTTTTTTTTTTCAAAGGCCGGAAATACCATACTAGCCGTTCTCTCGTGACCCATTGACAGTCTTTGAGGCCTATTATTGCAGTTAAAGTTGAAAACTTATTGATAGAAATAACAATTGTATTGATTTTTGAGTAAAACACTCTTTACCGTACACTTTACTTATCTAAACTACAAACTACATTCTTTAGTTAATCTTTATTATGTACGGGATTCCCCGTACGAAAGATTGCATTATAGCCCATATTGCAATAGTATGGGGAATTCCCTGTGCATCACAGATAGACCCATCGCTTCTTGTGGTGGCGCTTCAAATGCCATCAATACACAGAACAAAGATTTATTTTAATATGAAATGAATGTCGTGCTACGAGTATGTTCGAAAAAGTTTAGATAGGGTACCTATTGCTACTATTTTTTTATCTTTTTTTTTATGTTATAGGGGGCATACGAGCAGACGGCTCACCTGATGGTAAGTGATCACCGTCGCCCATGGACACTTGCAACACCAGGAGTATCACAAATGCGATGCCGGCCTTTAAGGAAGGAGTACGCTCAAACTATGAACAAACAATTTAATTATAAAAAAATATCTTTGTTTTTGGTATTTTTAAGGTAGGGCATTGTGATTTCAATGTAGGACATTGCCCCACAATGCCCCACCCTAGCGTGCACGGCCGTGGGCGGGTGCACACGGTGAATGAAGACACGTTCCACTGTGCTGCGAGGTATCATGCTGCCAAGGATTTTAAGATGCCCCATGCGAGGTTGCAATACGTTTCGCGGCGGCGCCGGCGGGAGGAGCAACACGAAATCACTGGCCTCTTTCAGTGTTATTGCGTTGCGTCACGTCTCAGTGTGAACTAACTCTTAGCCTTAAAGGCTCATGGTAGTTAAGTTGAAGGAGCCAGTAAAAGACCTCTGTTGTGACTAGATCGCTGTGTCCGGGATTGCCCTCTTTATATGTAACAACGTAAAATGAACTTTAGTTCGTAACTGACAAGGTCAATAATTAAAAATGTAGTCATATATTACGGCTTTTGGTTTAATTGCTGTAGTCTGTGGGATATTGCCATTGTGCAAGTAGGTCTGCTGTCAAAAACTTCAAACTTCGTTTACTAATATAATGGAAGAAGTTATAATTGCTGCTGTGTATAAAAGGGAACCACTTTGGAATCAGTCAAATAAACACCACAAGAACGTGATAGTTCTAAAAAAGTTATGGGAAGAGGTTGCAGAAGAAGTAAACATAGATGGTAAAATACGAATTTCATTTATTACAATACTACAATACTATCGGATAGTACGTTAAATACTTTGTCAAGGAAATACTTCAACTTCATTTTGTTAGGTCTGCCTGAGAGACGAACAAGGGCTGTTCTGTGGGAGTCTTGATAACCTATTTTGTACTTTCATTTCTTGGTCGCATCAGTTTTGTATGACGAGTTTGATTTAATGTGTCTTACTGGCAATTTCCTACTTAATAAGGAAGACTACTTAATAGACAGTTTAATCCCATATTCTTAATTAGACCTATGAAATATGAGATGTTTTTCTATCTTTGGATAACAGCCCATTGTGTGCTCCACCATCTCCACTAAAAGAGCACATCACAAAGATGAGGTAGTGATTAAAAAAGATTAATTAAAAGACATTTTGACTAGAAATAAATCCAAAAATTGAATCCGTAATACTGTAAATGCTGTTTTCTTTCAAATGTTTATTGGATACTTGTGTAAGTATTTTGTTTCACATTGTGGGTTACCTATAATGCGAAGAGCTAGTGGTGCTTTGCAGTTTAAGAAATATTAGAACCAATTTAACACAGTCCTAAAGGGATTCTATTTTCTCGTCAAATTATCTTGTAAATATTGCATTTTTCTCAATCTGAATTGCCATCAGTCCTTAAGGACTTTTATCAATATTGTTGCATACAAAATGACTTTAAAAGAGGCCAGTGCCTCAGGTTCCCAGCTAAACAAAATTATGTCTTCTGAGTTTATTAGTTGTATTTGAAGTTTCCAGCAACTCGTTGGCCAAGGGGTTTAGGTGCATGGTTAGATGTTGGAAGTATCGTTCCTTGGAGCCTTGTGTGTCTTCTACTATAGTAAGAATATTGAGTTAACATAGATTTCTCTGTTTTCTGAGAACCATGGTGTGTTTGCAATGTTTTTGAGGATTCTGTTTTGGGCTCTTTGAAGGCACAGAAGCAGTTTGTTGTCCACTGTGAGAACTCATTTCAGACCTATCAGCCAATACAGGTTTTTAAACTTAATATACACTGATCACTGTTCTGTTTGATGTGTTTTTCCAAGGTAACCTCTTGTCCAAATGGAAACCCAGATAGTTGACGCAGACGGTCATAGATTTGACAATGTTGTCTAGTTTTACTCTAGGGCAATTTCTTCTCCTTAAAGTGAAGTTTAAATGGTGGAAATTATGTGCACTGGCGTGGATACGCCACTTCAGCATCCAGGTGTTCATTTTATCTGGCATTAACTGAAGTTTAGAGCTGACTTTCATTGAGCCTTTGTCGCATGATTGGTAAGCAATGTCATTGGCATAAATCGCAACAATTACATCAGGGCTGGTGGCCAGATCAGATGTTAAGATCATATATAGAACTAGGCCTATAATTGATCCCTGTGGAACTCCAACTTTGATGTTATGCAGCTTAGATCTTGTCTCACCTGGCATGATGTGATGATTGGGAAAAATTAATGAGGAAGCTCATACTTCACTTTATTCAGCAGGCCCTTATGCCAAACAAGATCAAAGGCCTGTTGCACATCCAGAAAAACAGCTGAGGTATATTCCTTCTTTTTTAACCCTTGCCGTATTGTATGGTACACAAGATGGACTTGCTCAACAGTTGAGTGTGATTTCCTAAATCCAAACTGATGTGATGACCAAGTCACATTCATCCATGGCAGTTCTTAACTTAAGTAGAAAAACTCTTTAACGCTGCTTCATTTGTTGGTTTGCCTGACTTGTATTGAATGAGTATGATTTGAGAAATTTTCCATAACGCAGGCTCATGACAATTTCTAATACAGTATTGAAGTGATATTTCAAGTACAGGATAGCCTTTCTGGACTTAAGAATTTTTAGGGTGATTAAATCAAAACTAGGAAACTTATTTGCATCTAGGGGGCTGATTTCTGCTGCTACTTCCCAGGGAGATATTCCTTTGATCGGTAATGACATTTGAAAGTCTCTTTAAGGTTATCTTCTATATCTTCGCCAATAGTTCCGTCGTTAGTAGTAAATATTTTTGATAGGTGGATCATGAATGCTACAGCTTTTTTACTGTGAACTCTGATTGGAGACTTGTGTTTTTGTGACTTGTCAAGGCTTTTTATCGTCTTCCATAGAGCGTTCAGTTGCAGGTAGAAATTATATTTTTGATCGCACTTCCTCATTTGCCAAATCTCTGACTGAGCATAGTTTTTAACTTTTTTGTGGCTCGTTTTGTCGGATGAATGGCGAGGCAAGTGCCAGACAGACCCTTTTTAAGCAACGTTATTCTTCGATCTTTAGTTTGATTTCAACTGTACTTGAACTATTTTAATAGGGCATTTCCCAAATTTTTGAAAACTGCTTATATTTAAAGATTGGGACAAACGGTTTAATAGAAAAATAAAAATAAATTAATTAATGTCTTTTTTTCTCCATTAAACCAATTAAAGTTGAATTTATTTTTATGGTTTTGGTGTGACCCACCCAATTTATGTAATCGCTATTTTGTTATCACGAAAAGGACAACAATACAGCTCAGCAGAACGGACTCGCCGTTTCGCTCGCGCTGCGTTAAAGCGTACAGTTCTGTCTCGCTCGCTCGATTGAATGTTAATTTACAGACGTGTGCGTGTGTGAGAGTTGTTTATCTAGTTGAGTCAGATCATATTTTATTTGATGCGAGTATCAGCAGACCGCTTCTTCCCTTTTTGTTTTAATCTAAGACTGTTAAGGATAACTTCAGATCAGATAGATAGAAGAGATATGCTTTGATCCTGCAACTCTCTTGACGCATGTTCACACGTGTGTGACTTTAGCCTAAGGCTCAACTCATACTGGCGCAAAGTCGAAGCGTCACGTTTATTGCCTGTAGCGCATTCATCTCAAATCTCAATTTTACCACTTAAGTATTCCCACTAAAGGAATAACGTCGACGCGCGACCCTGCGCCAGTGTTAGTTGAGACGTAGAGTTGATATTTTTTTTGTCTTTACCTTAGCATTTACCTAACATATATATTTCTCGGCTTAGTCAAGATAGTTTCGTGAACGAGATAGTGCTAAGACCTAGCAAGGAAAATGAAAACCTATAGTTATCCATATTATGATTGCCATGTTTCTAAAACCCTTACCAAAAATATTTAAAACCCACTTATGTTTTAGATAAGATTGTGCGTATGAAATGGAAAAATCTACGAACATATTTTTTTCGAGAGATTCGGAAAATGGAAGACCCAAAGAGTGGGGATGGAGGAAGAATTTATTCCGCTTCTACTTGGAAATTTTTTGAACAAATGATGTTTATGAAAGATAGTGTTGCGAAATTGCAAAGAGATACAAATTTTGATATGGAATCAATTACTTCTGATTGTAATGAACTTTCAGGATCTCCGGAGATAATTTATTTGAGAGAAACTGCGGTGCAGTCTTCTAACATGACACATACAACCAAAAAAATTAAAACATCTCATGATCACCATGATGAACTCGCCCAGTTAGAGAAAAAGATTCAATCATTAGAGAAAGAAAGTCTTCAAGAGCAGGACGAAGATTTGTTATTCTTTAAAAGCCTAATTCCTTACATGAAGAAAATACCACTTCGAAAGAAACTTAAGTTACGTTCAATTATACAGGATGCCATTTTAGAACATATACCATGGGATAGTAATGAGGACTGGGATTCTGAAGCGCGGAGCATTTGTAAACAGGAGATGCCCTAAGCAACGGGGCACTGTGAAAGTAATGTTCAAAGGTCTCCTGAATTCACCATCGTCGTGGGCGTGGCCTTGGTTTTTTGTGAGCTCTGGATTCGATTAGTATGCACTAGAGATAGGCCGACTAACCACCAACTAATCGGGAAAGACGACTATGCGGCGACTATTCGAAAAGCATGTCAGTTATAATCGGCGCATATAAATGAAATAAAACTAACATACAGTACCTACCTAGAGTTTGTACGTATACATATAAAGTTGCATTAATGAATATTTTGTTTATTTTATCTCATTTAGATTATTATTTATTTCAATTAGATTATACCGACACAGCAAACATAAAATGAACAGTTGATATGAAAATGTAGGTTAAAAAACACGTCACAATATACTCAGTGGCCGCGTGCGTGAGCTAGCCGAGAAACGGCAAAATATTCCGAACATCTCCCTAAGATAGTATTAGAATGATTTGCATTGCCGACTAGTCGGCAATTTGAAAACCGATCAGTCGGTTAGTCGGCAAGTACTATAGTTGGCTCATCTCTAGTATGAACTGCCTTACGTTCCCATATTAAAATAATATGAGATAAATACACTGCGTATTATGAAATACTTAAACCTTAGAATAGTAACGGCGTAATTTTTTTTTTATAGATAGGTCCGACGAATGACCTGATGTTAAGTGAAGGTGAAGTCCAGACGTGAAAATAGCTGATACAGCAGTTTTACCTGCCACACCAGCCATCTTCACCCTGCCGGCCTGCATGTTGCTTCTTCACGCCTCTTTTAAAGGATCCCAGGTTGTAAGAGGGAGGGAACACGTGAGCGGGCAGAGCATTCCATTTACGGATAGTGCGACAAAGAAATGAGTCACCAAATTTCTTTGTACGCGTTGGAATTGTGGCCACAGTTAGACGGTGAAAACGTAGGCCAACGCGCGTGGTCCTCTGAAGGAAAGGAGAAGGTGGGATAAGAGAGAATAACTCCCTCAGAACACTCGCCGTGGTACAGACGATAGAACGCGCTTAGTGACGCCACGTCACGGCGTAATTGAAGGTGTTTAGTCACCTCCTCATCGCCTATGATGCGGATCGCGCGCCGCTGTAACCTATCCAAAGCATCGAGCAAGTACTTGGCGGAGTCATCCCAGAGGTGCGAGCAATATTCCACGCAGGACCGCACTTGGGTTTTGTACAACAAGCATAGTTGATCGGGCGTGAAAAAACGCCGCACCTTGTTCAGGACTCCGAGTTTGCGTGAAGCTGTTTTGATCACGGTTTCGATGTAGTTCTTTGGGTTCAGGTCTGAGCGAGCTTCCATACCGAGCATGGAAATGTTGCTCTGTAGCGGTAGTGTTGTGCCCTGATGAGAGGGAAGGGGAAGAAATGGCGATGTTTTTGCCGTGAAAGCGCAAGCCTGAGTTTTCTTGGCATTGAACTCAACCAAGTTCCTGGTACCCCATTCGGAAATGTGGTCCAAAGCCTGATTGAGTTCAATGACAAGATTTTCCCGTTTCTCCTTGGTTACCGCCAGCCCAGCCGCTGCTTGTCCGAGATACCCCGCATGCACTGTACTATCGTCTGCATAGCACTGAATATTCCCAAGAGGAATAAGTCATTGATATGCAGCAGAAAGAGAGTGGGGGATAGGACGGAGCCCTGGGGAACGCCGGCATTCACTGACATGAACCGCGAACTGCTACCATCTGTAAGGACACGAATTCTACGCTCATGCAGAAAGTCAGCTACCCAAGAAGAGAACTGGGCTGGCAGACCGTATGCCGGAAGCTTGGAGAGAAGGCTTTTGTGCCATACCCTGTCGAACGCCTTGGCAATGTCAAGGCTGATAGCCAACGACTCGCCACGCTTGTCGATAGCCTCACCCCAGATATGAGTTAAGTACGCTAGAAGATCACCCGTCGATCGTTTCGGTCTAAAACCATATTGACGATCAATAATCAGGGAGTGATCCTCTAGGTAGCGGGTCAGATGGTTATTAAGGACCTTTTCTAGAATTTTACATAAAACTGAGGTGACTGCTATTGGCCGGTAGTTTGCCGGGTCTGAGCGATCCCCTTTTTTGGGCACCGGTTGCACATTAGCATCTCTCCAAGTCTCCGGCACACGCCCCAAAGAATACGAGCATTGCTACAAGCGCGTGAGCACGGGAGACAACTCCGCTGCACATTTTTTAAGTACTACTGCTGGGATGCCATCAGGTCCACTAGCTTTCCGGACGTCGAGTGATTGCAATTCGGCACGAACCTCGCGCTGCCTGATTTTAATATCAGGCATCGTTGTGCCACAGTGAGGTAATGATGGTGGCAGTACATTGCAATCATCGATTCGGGAGTTAGCCGCAAGAGTTTTGCCAGTAAGTCGGCTTTCTCCTGCGGCTTATGGGCTAGTGTTCCGTCTGGGCATCTCAGAGGTGGCAGCGAGGGCTCGCAGAAGTTTTTTTGCACGGCCTTGGCCAGACGCCAGTAGCTACCGGAGCCCGTAGGATGCGTCATAAGTTCCTGGCCAACACGTGCAACGCGCTGGGCATCCGCTCTGATGTAAGCCTTCTTACGCCTTGGAAGCAAAATTGTAGGCTGCTTTGAGTGAATCGACCTCGGGATCCTTGAGAGCGCGGCCTCTGATCCAAGCACGATATGCCGCTTGCTTACGCGAAGCAGCTTCAGCACAGTTGTGATTCCGAACATCTCCCTAAGAGGAACCAGAGGTTATATCAGGCAGTGGTCTGACGAGCCCAGGGGGGCTCTGACCACAACCTGATAGCCCTGTGGATGGGTCGTGAGCAGAAGGTCCAGTAAAGAAGACGCTTGACTTGGAATATCTGGGATCCTGGTGGGCTGATCAACCAGTTGCTTCAAGTCATGCGTGAGAGCAAATGCGTGAGCAGAGATGCCTGCATGGTCAGTTTTGGAAGAACTTAACCACAAATTGTGGTGAGCATTAAAGTCCCCAAAAACACCAATTCTGCATTGGGAAATTGTTCCTGCGCGTCATCTGCTGCCCGACTAAGGTGCTCAAAAAGTCGAGTTGTCTCAACATCGCCGGTGTGGGATCTGTAGAGGCACACGTAAACTCGACGTGTACCCCCAGCATGGAGAAGGAGGGATCTTCCAAGCAGCGGAGACGGCGACAACAAACATCCGCCCGAACATACAGGCATACACCGGCTTTCGCTTTGAAGGACTCTTCAAGCACGTAGCCTGGATAATTAAGGTAGCCTGTGTCAGTAGGCGGAAGTATTTGTGTCTCCGTCAGGAACAACAATGCTGGCCGTGCTGTCTCAAGATGGTGGTGGACAGCGTTGAGGTTAGAGTGGAGTCCGCGTATGTTGCAGAACTCGACCTCAATCGGAATGAAACGAGTGGACGTTGTCGCGACAAGACCGGGCAAATTAGGGAGGCATGTTTCCCCGAATGATTGCCTGCAAAGGATATACGCCGACCCGCCGGACGGAAGGGCCCCCGCACCCCCCCAGAAGTGGCCGCCGGGACCCCACGCCCCGGTCACCAACCGGCATGACGGTCCACCCCGAGATTATGCGTGACATGATAGCGCAGCCTCGCGAACTGGTTAGGAACGCTCGGGCCTCTGTACTGTGCCACGGGCGGCCAGCGGGACAACCGTTTCTACGGGTCTCCCTGGCCGGCGGGTCGATGCAGTCCTCCCGGCATCGGTTCGACGGATGCCTAGCCCTGGACCGAATCCGTCGCGACAACCTCCACTCGAGCCCTGGTTGTACGCTGGCTGACCCCGAAACGCGCGAGAAGCACTTCACGGGTTTTTCACCATGCGCACGGTGGTAACAAACCAGGCGGGTGTTAGGCACCCTACCACCAGCAGAGCGGATGGAAGCTCCGATATCCCTTAGTCGCCTCTTACGACACCCACAGGAAGAGAAGGGGCGGTGAGTTGTATTCTTTCTCCGTCACCGCACGGATAAAAATATTCTTAGCTTAAAACCTTACATCAAATCGAAAATATATATGACTTGTGGCCGCGCTCAGAGACTTAATTAACTTTAATGATTTGATAAACGTTTAGACGTAGGATAAACTGATTCCTACTTGATTTTTATCACTAAAGAAATGATTCTCATACATATAATTTTACTCATTCTATGCTCTTATGTTTTCCTTTTTTGGATAACTTGTGTTTTAAAAAATAGGAGCCCTCAAAAATTACAAAAATTAACAAATATTTAGCATATTTTAATAAGTATTTACAAAAAAAGCAAAACATAGAGGCCTAATATAACTACTTATTATTCTATGGGTTAAAGTTCTTATACGTATATCTAATTTTGGACGAGGAAGTCGACGAGTCGAGAGCCAAACCTCGAATTTTGTAATTTTCAGCGCAATTAAATAACTACAGTGGCTAACGCTGAAAATTGCGTATAAAAATTGCAAAATTCGAGTCGAATGAGTAAAATTATCTTTTATTTATGAAGATCATTTCTTTAGGACCAGGCAGCAGGCGGGACTCGAACCCTTGCCTTGCTATCCGGGCGAATGCCTGCGTCTGCTGCCTGGTCAGCGTGGAATTGTTTTCTAGTAAAATTTTACTTTCCATTTTGACATCTTAAAAAATAAAAATATCATCATTTACGTGCTCAAAAACTAAAAATATAATCATTTCTTTAGAGATAAAAAATCATGAAGGAATCAGTCGAGAACAATACATTGCCCGTCTCATCCTTTATTGTTCTAATTTTGTTTGCGATTAAAGAGTTTTTGAGTGCGGCTATCTATAATCATGGTGATAATAATTAAAGTTAAAGAAATACTTTTTCTAAGGATTATTGTAAATTTTTAATTATATTTAATAAATTATTATAGTAATATATAGGTACATGGTACCAACTCTCATATAGTTGTCAGTTTATGTTAAGAATAAAAATGTTTTTATTATTTTAAGTATGGAAATGTATAAAGAATTAATACTAGTAAATAGAAAATGATTTATTATTAGCATATTTAAGGCAAAATA